TGCTTATCTTCGAGTAATCAAACCATTGTAACAAAATATGAGCAAAGCTCTCTGTATTTATAGGATGGTTTTAACAACAAACGAATTTACAAAAGAATTAATCTCGAGGATTATTCAACAATATTCATTTCACTTTCGGCAAATAATTGTTAATCATTGTCACTAACAACGGCGTGGTCAAGTTCAATTACCGAAGTTTAATTTGCACTTTGTAAAAATAAGAAAAATAATGCGTTTAGCAAAACAGCTTTAACACATCTGAAACACATCTTTAAAATTTGGTGTAAATGGGGATATTTTTAAGATACTATACTCGGGAAACAACTTCGCGAAACTGCTTTGACATTCAGACATGGTTTGATGCTACTCTGGTTTTAGATTGATTGAATGTAACCGAGAAGTTACAATTTATAGACCCAACGTTTCGACACACCTGTCTAGTGCCTTCATCAGGGATGATTTAAACGCTGCAACAAGAGGTCCTTTTAGACGCTCACTAATTAGCTACCCCATTCACTTGATGAAATCTGAAAAGAGCATATCAGGAGAATATTTCTTTTATTTTGAAATCACGTGTATGATTACAGACCAAATTACCATAATTAAGTTTATTAATTTTATTAAGTAGCTCTTCTTGATTCAATCATTTAAAGCCACTTAAGCAAAATCAAAAGGAAGGTTGTCGTGATATTTTACGAAAATAAACAGTATTGGTATAGTCGCTGTGGTAGTAGGAGTTGCGTTGTCGTTAGTTTCGGTAGTAGTAGTAGTAGTAGTAGTAGTAGTAGTAGTAGTAGGTCGGTAAGTGTTTCATCGGCCGAAGTCTTCGTTGTAGTTGTTCTTTGAAAAAACACGGTCAAAGCACTTGTTCTCGTCGAATGAGCTGCCTGTCGTGTTGCATACGAGTTGTCGTCACGACTTACCAGGCAGTCTTGAAAGGTAGTTTTACTCTTTCTTCGACCTCCCTGGTAAACTGTATATCAGTGTTTTGTTTGTTAAGGTGGTGGTGAAATGCGTCGATTTCGTCGTGTCGCACGGCGGTGAATGCACCGTCAACGTAGCGTAACCAAAAACGGTATCGTTTGTCTGCAAGTCGAAAGGGCGCTTTCTAGATGTTCTGCCTCATAATTTCCGCTACAACAACAGAAACTTGAGATAGCTGTACGGTGTAACTGTTTGTAGTGTACTGAAAGTAAGTTGACGTTTGTCAAAGGTTTAGTAAATCCATAATGTCCCCTGTCAGTAGCGGTAGAGGGTCAGTAGATTTTCGCATTGCAGTCTTAGTACATTGTAGTGCCAATTGAAGTAGAAGCGATTTCACATTAAATGACATTGGTCTGTAGTCGTCAGGTATCTATATAGTCTTAGTGGCGTAAATGAAGTCCTCAGTGGATTGTAGTTTACGTCTGGATTTGATGGTGAGCGGTTGTAGTCATGTTGTCGTCAGGTACTTGGACAGTTGGTATGCAGGAGAAGTACAGAAAGGAGCAATCTTCCTGATTAGTTGACAACGAGTTAGCTCTATAATTTTACCCTTGGCAGCTTATTGAAAATTGAAAAAAAGTTTTCCAATTAGTTGCTTTTATATTTAAAGCATAGTTTCACTAAAGTGATTCATGGACCACTGTCGTAATTTATTTTCAGCTTGCTCGATGATCTCTAAGCTGAAAGAGCGGCTCACTGCTGTAGAGGGAGAGATCGAAGAGCTGGAGAAAAAAACCGGGGAAAGGGGACGATTCTAAAAGCGTTGCTCGTTTCTAGCAACAAAGGGAAGCGTTGTCCGTTTCTAACAACAAAATGAAGCGTTGTTGGTTGGTATGTACTCGTTTCTTACTCACGGACACTTCGTAAGCATGAGAAACTCTTTCTTGGTTTCTAACAATACCATGAAGACTTTGTAATAGCAAAAGATAAGCAAGGAGGATTAGCCTGGAAAGAAACTAAGTACAGAAATTCGTTAGTTTATTTCATGAAAGCGGCAGATCTAGTTGATATATACCGTAAAATTCATGCAAAAAATAAAACCTACATATATGAATAAAAAACATTGAAGCTAAAATCACGCATAGACTTTTTCTTGATAAGTGGAAAATTTCAGCATCATGTTACAAAAGTGGAAACCCGAGCATCAATCGCGCCTGATCATAAAGCAGTCTTTATGAGCATTAATCTGAATAAGGAATTTAAACGCGGTCCTGGATTATGAAAATTCAATAACACTCTTCTCCAGGATGGATGCTATTTACAATTAATCAAAGATTACCATTCATGTATCCTGCAAAAACACGCTGATGTAAATGATAAACAATTGCTCTGGGAATTGATAAAAATGGAAATAAGATCCAAAACAACACTATATTCTAAAAGAAAAAGCAGACAATCCAAAACGCGCGAAAGTGCTATTCAAAGCAGAAGAGAAAAATTAGATTCCATAATCTGTAATGACGTTTGCTAAGACCAACAGTACTTAACAGAATATGAAAAACTAAAGAAAGAATTACAAGGGATGTATGGAGCTAATGGCAAGGGCGCAATATTCAAGTCCAAGGCTAGATGTATTGTAAAGGAGAAAAGCCTACAAAATATTTTCTTAACCTTGAGAAAAGAAACTATGAAAAAAAGATTATCTCACAACTGTATAATGGCGAGGAAGAACTCTTATCAGATCCCAAAAAAATAAACAAAGAGATAGAAAATCAATTAAGTCAATTCTACAAAACGAATTTTGACCCTGGAGAACAAAGGATGTATCAAGAAAATTTCAAAGCTTTGTAGGAATTTGAACCTCAACCAATTTGTAGAACATGAGAGTCTTGAATTAGAAGCTGAAATAAATATTGAAGAGGTTCACAATGCTCTGAACAGTTTCCAAACCAACAAAACTCCCGGCAACAATGGCTTCACAAAAGAATTCTATGAAGCCTTCTTCGATCTTAAAGGTGCTGCCCTCTTAGACTCATTAAATGTAGGATTTGAAAGTGGAACATTGTCTATATCACAAAGACGAGGAGTTATTTCATAAATCCCAAAAGATGGCAACAATTTGACTACATTATCTAACTGGCTTCCAGTCACTCTGCTCAATGTAGACTTCAAGATTCTTGCAAAGACAATTGCAAAGAGAATTGAACCAGTCCTGCCGAAATTAATTCATCCTGATCAAACAGGGTTCATAAAGGGAAGATTCATTGGACAAAAGGTCAGATTGTTGAACGATCTAATGCAATATACAGACGACCAAAAAATACCGGGAATTCTGATGTTCACTGACTTTGAAAAAGCATTTGATACAATAGAATGGTCCTTTTATTCGAGATGTACTTAAATGCTTTAATTTTGGTCCTGTTATTAGAAAATGGATCTCAATACTCTATAGGGACGTAGAAAGTGCTGTTATGAACGGAGGTTACTCAACTCAGTAACTACTTTAAAGTCTCAAGGGGAGTTCGGCAAGGGTGCCCACTCAGTCCCTTATTATTCGTGTTAGGTGTAGAGATCCTGGCTCACAAGATAAGGCAGTCTACGAGCTGCTAAGGAATAAAATTACCGCAATCAGTAGAAGCCAAAATTAGCAAATTTGCAGATGATACAACTCTTATTTGCAGGGACGTAAACGCTCTCAGAGAAAACATGAACGTTTTAAATAAATTTAATAAAATTTCCGGCCTGAAATTGAACAAGAAAAAAACTAAAGCAATGTGGATTGGTTCAGCTAAAAATAATAAAACTAAACCTTTGGGCTTTCAACCCTATCAAGAACCAATTAAGTCACTAGGGGTAAATTAATCATATAACCAAGACAGAAATAATAATCTGAATGTTTTGAGTCAAAATTCATTAGATGGATACTAGGTTAAATACGTGGCAAACGAGAGACTTGACTTTGTATAGTCGCACAATGTTAGTTAAGTCCCGAGGCATATCCGAGATAGTTTATGCGGCCTAAATGCTTAGTGTTCCTGAAACGGTTATTAAAACAGTGCAAGGTAGAATATTCAAATTCTCGTGGGAAAATAAAAAGATAAAATAAAAACAGCAGTAATTTATAAGCCATTCTCTCATGGTGGTCTGAACTTCCCAAATGTCCACACTGTGGTAAAATCACTACGCTTGAGCTGGTTAGGCAGGTTTTTAAATTGTACAAATGAGATCTGACAAGTTATTCCTAATAATTGTTTTAATAAATAGGGAGGATTATCATTCCTATTGAAATATAATTACAACTCTAAGCACTTTGACAAGAAAATGCCTCTTTTTAATAGCGAAATGTTAGATTATTTCATGGAGTTACGCAGTGGTTATCCTGATGTTTACAATAGTGAATTTATTCTTTGGAACAATAAAGAAATTACAAAAGAGAGCAAATCTATTTAATGGAAATATTTGTTTGAAAAAGGAATTTATTTCGTACAGGATTTACTAAATAGAGACGGTAAGTGCTTATCTCTGGAAAATTTTCAAAGGAAACATAATTTTGAACTAAACTACTTAAAATATTTTCAACTTATTGCTGCAATCCCAAATTATTTGAAGAGAAAAGCACAGGCAATTGCTGTAACAAACAGAAATGTATTTGAGGAATGGGATATTTTCTATCTGTCTAAACAAAGTTATCTCTGTAACTAAATGTAGATGTAAAGATTACTATAAATCACTTCGGGAAAAGATAAGGACAGAGCCTACCGCTATTAAAAGATGGTCGAGACGTTTTGCGAACTTTGACTCTGGTTGGAAACAGACCTTACACAAAATTTACAAAACGACAAGTGACAGAAAGTTAAGAGAATTTGGTTATAAGGTTTTCCACAGAATGTGAGTCACTAATGAGGAACTCAAGCAATTCAAAATCAGGAATGATGACTTATAATTTCAATGGAAAAATCCTGATTCATTACAACACACCTTTTTTGAGTCCTATGAGTATTCAATTCTATCAGGAAATCCTATCGTGGTTCAATACTTTAAATAACACCCACATAAGTTTATCTGTTGACCAAATTTTACTTCAGAATTACCCCCCTCCTGCTGTTAGCGATGACCTCCGACGCCAACTGGATTTGCTTATCCTACTAACAAAAAGGTACATATATAGTTGTAAAATTAATGAGAAAAATCTCAATAATTTAAAATTTATAAATAAGATAAAAATGCAATGGAAAATTGAGAATTTAATTCAAGGTAGTCAAATACAAATATTGTCAACAAACCTCTTCGTGTGTTCTTTTTTTTTTTCGTGTTTTATTAAATTTATCGCATTGGTATTTCATTTAGTTATAAGCAATCAAGTAATATAAACAATTTTACATTAAATAAATGTAATCTTGTACATATAGGGTAAAAAACAAAAAAACTAGAAGTCCATATCATGTCTTATTGCGAAATAATAATAAAAATAATTTAGGAAAAAAAAAGAGATGTGAATAATGTAAGAAAAGTGTTGTAATTGCCAGTGGTGTAAGTAACCAGTATTGTAAATACTGTAAGTAATGTATGTAATTAGCCGTAAGTGATATTGTGTATTGTTATCAGTGCAAGTAAGCAGTATTGTAAGTAATGTATTATATCACGGTGTATTGTCGAGTACTGTAAGATTTATTAGTATTATCATTATTTTTAAAAAAAAAATGAAGACTTTGACTACACAGAAATCGATTGTATGGTCGGAATTGAAATATGTTTGAGCAACGATTCAAAGCGTTGTTCGTTGCCAACAACAAAGCGAAGCGTTGTTGCGTTGTTCGTGTCTAACAACAAAATGGAGCTTTGACCTTTTACCGACATGTCAAACGCGACAATCGACATTCTTTTACCAAGTTTTCTCATCTGTTATTGTTAAGAAAGTCACAAATAAACACAAAAGAACTTCATTTGTATGTTACGCTGCATCCGTGAATTTGTTGTTGTAGAAACGAACAACGCTTCCCTTCATAGTATTATTTAAGATTTAAGCTTACTCGTACTTTGGTACAATACGCTTTCCATGAGTATCATGCGCGAAGATTGGGCAGGTATTTGGAGGGAAGGACCACGGTGCAGATTTCCTCTCAGCCTCCTCGGAGACCTCAAGCACCCTTTTCATCAACTTTTGGAATGCTGCGCGACCTTTGCAACTGCCTTTGTCTCGCATTTGGGCCAGTTTGTCCAAGTACTCACCCATGGTCTTCAGGCTTTTGAAAGGGCATCTATCTTTGAAAGCGGGGCAGTTTCCAGTGATGTCTTTGAGCTTATCAGTCAGACCTCCATATGGGCAAACACCTTTACTAAATACTGGGCACTTTTCGGCAATCTCATCGAGCTTCAAAAAATGCGGATACTGCAGGATAAAACGAAGTTATGGACATAAGTTTATTGGCAAAGCCCTGATTGATAGCCAGTGACAGCACAGGCAGCCCAAGCTCCAGCTGTGAGATGATCATCTCATGGCTAGAGAGTGGGCTGCTTAGGGTTACAGGCCAGCTGCTTATCACTCGTAAGTCTATCGCGCTCTTTTGATTTAAAATCCATCGCTCTGCAGGATGGTTCTCATTTCGTGATTTATACTGAAAAGGTGAAAATGATGGCATTTCATTGGCAATTTACCGATAATGGGGAATTAAAAAAAACAATCCCCTTGATTTGAAAACACCTAAGATGGGAACTTTGCATTTCGAAATGATATCTTGCTGAGAAGTTTGTCACTTAGATATTTCTATAGTAGTAGATTTAGACATAAAAGAATGGGAAAACCGTGCACAAGATCGATCGAACTGAAGAAAAACACTTAGAAAAAACCTCAAGCAAAGGGGAGGAGAAGCTTAGAGCTATTTGAGGGTAAAACACGGCACAACGCAAGGCAAATCAGGAACAACTGATAGACGCTTAGAACGAGAACAGAGCCGGGCTGTAGAGAGGACTGTCATTCTCAAGTTGGTCAACACAGTCATCTTAGGCGCTGCTCCAGCGCTACCCATTCTAGAAGCGCATATGCTGGCCACTTGTGACCAATAGATGCTACATTATTATTATTATTATTATTATTATTATTATTATTATTTAGTAGAATTTACCCACCACAGTGTACGCAGGCATCAAAATTGGCTCTCCCTTGCTGTCCCTGGCAAACGGGCAGCCACTCTTGAAGAAGGGGTAGGAGTCAGTTTCGTGCTCTACGTGCTTTTCTTACTAAGAAAGACGACAGCCTTCATAAACACGATCAATTGACCTTCACTTTTGCACTGGTCAAGCCATATCAAGCTTGGATCACTTGAGGCTTAAAAAGGTATGAGTAGAAATTGATTGCAAAGTTCAGTGGCGCGGCAGTAGTTCACTCTGTCACTGACTCTCCCAACTAATTGCATAAGATGAAGGAGTCAGTTTAAAAAGCGAGCACACAAAGCAGGGGGAGGGGGAAGGGGGAAGCGACGAGGTCTGGGACCGTGAAACGATGATCACACAAATTGCAAAGCCGTCAATTCACGGGCTTGTCAGCGGTCTTCCTAAGCCACGCGGGCCGCTCAAATCCTTTACGTGCGGAATTGGTCTTGAATTACTCTTACGGTTGTTTTTCTATAACGATTTGAAAATTTTATCGTAGTTTAATTATATATTATGAATACCCCCTTTTCTTTTGCCTTTTTGTTGATTTTTCTTCGGTTAAGCCTGCTCGAGGATGCGAGGAACCCTAATAATTAATAATTCTAAATTCAAGATCAAAAGTCTTTCAATAAAATATTTAATAGGAGTGGTTGGAGGATTTGCTTTTTTTTTTTCATAATGACGTCAATTTTGCCTTATGAATTTTTTTCCTATCAAAGCCACGTTTTAATTCTGTTCTATTTCATAATGGTGATCTATTTTAAATGGGCTTAAGGATTTTGTATCGAAGAAACCTTTTCTTCACTCTTCCTCTTCTGTTTGCCATGAGATCGTAAAGATAATCATGACTCTAACAATAGTAATGATAATAATAATACTTATAGTAATGATGATAAAAATGCAGGAGTTTCTCACCTCTTGAAAGATGAAATTAATAACTTCAATCAGGACAATAAAATTATAATCAGTCGGGCTCTCATTAGAAGCTGAACATAATATACCAATACAGGGTGTCTTCTTAACAGTTTTGAACATTGCCCAACTGTGGTAAATCACTGAATCTCAGAAAGAAAAGATGGAGAAAACGGCAATCATCTTAGCAATCTGACAGTTAATCTCGTACCCAGATCCTACTGTGTACTGAGACTAAATCACTTGTCCGTAGAAGGTCTGGGTTCCGGACTATTTTCCTGAAGATAGATCTAGTCGGTGATAATTAACGCAGTTAGCCGCCGTTAGTTTTTAAAATAAAACTGCATTTGCATCAAAGAGAAACACAATATTTTCATTAATTGTGAATTCTCAGAGGAAAAAAGTTTTTTAAAAAAAATTTGGTATCCACGCCATTATGAATAAAATTTTATTGTATTTTCTTTTCTTAATATTTCAAATGTAGAAGCGCCTCGTATTTACTTTGCCAACTCAACAAGTAGCAGTTTAATTTGATTCAAAGGCGAAAACTTACGCAAAACAGACGCAGTCGTAAGTAACGGATAATTTTTGGTGCGATTGAAGTGCACCGGAAACTCTTTCTTTTTTCATATGACATTGCACACATATAAAAGTTAAAAAAAATAACCCTAATCCTAAACCCAAGCTAATTCTAGATAATTAAAAACTCAAATTTAAGTTCTTCTATAGCAAGTTCTTCATTGTACTGGTGACCGAAACGGAGAACTGCGAAAAATAATTTTAAAATGATATCAAGTTAAGAAATCTGCAGGGGAAAACGGAAATAACTTAAACAAGCAGTTCTTACGTAGTTAATCTTAACATTTGTTCGAGGCTTAATCGATAACACTTCATATGTTTAATCATATTTCCTGGACGCATTTCCCTTTGAGAATATTCTTTAACCTTCTCCATTAAAATTGACTTGTTAGTATAAGCCATATTTGGAAGTGGCTTGTGATTGGTTGTTTTGCTGGTGTGGTAGGAGCGGCGGCCATCTTGTGGAGAAAGCGGTGTTTCCGGCTGGTTGTTGGAGTTTATTTGCCGCTTCTAAAAATTACTTTTCATTTACAATATAATAAGTGTGTAGGGATTTGAATACACGTTACATCCACCATGGTAAGTAATGTATTTCCTGTACTTGTCATTGGAAGAAAAGAGCAGTTTCGATGTACTCTCCATTGCAATCAGTGTTCTGTTTGTTTCTGTGGTTGTAAACCCGCCTGAACCCATAAAGTTTGTCCTTTACTCTGAATGTCTAGAACTGAAGATCTTTCCTCCTTGGAATGGCGTATTAACTTAACTGGAGTGTCTGATATACGACAAAAATATGTGTTGTACATGACCTATTTTGGTCTTGTGGAGAAAATGATGTCCTTCACTTTGTGTCGGCATTAGATTTGCATATATATACTAACTTTGTACTGCGATTTGTTGTTGCTACAGACTGAGAAACAGCTAGACTGTGCGTTAGATTTAATGCGAAGGTTGCCACCCCAGCAAATTGAGAAAAATCTGAGCGACGTTATCGATTTGGTGAGTTGACATAATTTATCTTAGGGAGGAAGTAGATCGTAAGTTACTCAACAAATTGTCCAAGTGATGTAGGTGCATGTCTTAAGTTTTGGAATTTACTCACAGCGAGTCAACTTCGAGCGTATTTGCGTATTTCTTATATCTAATTACTGACTTGAGTGGATATGATTATCATCTAATATCATTAAACTTGTAGTAACTGCGATAAGTGACATGTTGAGGTAGATGTAAAAGTGAGGTCTTCATCTTCAACTGTTTTGACAAACAGCTATTTTGCCCTACATGTTGAATCATTTACCCCATTTTAATGATCTTTGGCTTAACAAAATGGAAGGCTAGGGACAGTCTTATACTGCTAAGAATACAAGGCATCTTCTATTGGTCTCTTTGACATAAATGGATGATGGTTAGGCATCATTGCTAGGCACAAATGAGCATTCAAGGCACATTTTTGTTTTGTCTGTGGGTGACCTGAATAGGACACTAGTCAGACTACATAACAGTTTGCTAAAATCAAAACTGAAATCTACTTGTTTCATGAAAAATGAATTGAAATGTGGCTTTTTTTAGAGCTTTGCTCTAAGACAAGGTGCTCTGTTTATAAGGAAATCTTCTGGGCTCTTACCATCTTACCATTATTCACCACAAGTTGTAGTAGTCTTTCCTTATAATACTTAGTTTGTAGCTTAAACATCTTAATCTGACACCATGTTTGACTCAGCATTTTTTGTTAATCCTCCAACTACCAGAAGTGAGTCAGATCTACTTCACATTTGAATAATCATTCAGTGAAGTTTTAAACCAGCACTACAAAGTCTCTAACAGCATTTGAGATTTAATTTCAATTATTTACATTTTCTGATGCTTTCAGGTTCCTGCTCTCTGTGAAGACTTGCTATCATCTGTTGATCAGCCACTCAAGATTGCTAAGGATAAATCAACTGGCAAAGACTATCTTCTTTGTGACTATAATAGAGATGGAGATTCCTACAGGTATAGATGTAAGACAGACTATAAAACATGGTCTGTGTTTGTTAAAGACGTGATATACCCTGCATAATTATGCCACACACTGTTAGCACTTGGAGAAGTGATCTTTGTAAAGTTTTACGTATGTACTGCATCAACAACATCCAAGAGTTCCCTTAATTTTACTTTGAATTTTTGTTTTGTTTTTATTCTTAGCATTTTTCATGCCTAATAATGTTCCAATTTTTTTCCTACTGGGGGGACATGAAGTGATTTAACAACCTCAACTGGTAGGAGACAAACCTGTTGGCTATTGGTGAACATGGTTGAGAATTTGGCATTGCAATTGTAATGTTGTCATCACAGGACCAAGCTGCCTCCTCACACCATGCTATATCTGATAATATAAATTAACCCTCTACACCCTAACATCAGTATTTGTATTCTTAATACTCTTCTCTATACATTTCCTTTGGTATTGACAAGAAGAATTCACTTAACAATCAAAGCTTCATAGGTTGGCAATCATTTTCTTTATTCCTATAATCTTAATGAATGATTCAGCAATATTACTGTAAGGAGAAATTGGATGTTGGTTACTCTTAGGGTTTTAAGGCTTAACAAAGTTAAACTTGTGAGGCAAACTCCTATCCTTGGGTTTTTTAGTTTAACAGGTATTGAATATCCGTTTTCTTGTGAAATATAGCTGCAGTTATGGTTCTCTTGTTTTTCCCTCAGATCACCATGGAGTAATTCTTATGATCCACCTCTGGATGATGGTGCAGTGCCGTCTGATAGGCTAAGGAAACTTGAGGTGGATGCAAACACTGCCTTTGATCAGTACCGAGAAATGTAAGCTACCTGACAAACTTCTTTTACATACATGTAACTGTTTATCAAGTCAGTTTTCTTGCTGAGTACTCCTGCTGATAGTGAATAGAAGTCTGATTTTTGCAATTGAGGCATAGAGCAAAAGAAAGAATGTTACTTTTCTTCTAATCCCTCTATAAACACAGTATAAAAATGTGTAAAAAACCTTATTCACAGTCTATTCACTTTTCCAACAATGTGTGCAAATGACCAGATGCAAGAGGCAAGGAAGTTGTTTTCCATAGTTTGCAATATTTTGCCTAATTTTTATGTTTCACCACAGTCATTCTAAGCTAGAGCACAAGATCCTCAGAAAACTTTTCATTCGTGTGATATTTGTGTTCTTTGTAGGTATTTTGAGTCAGGAGTGTCTTCAGTATACTTATGGGACTTAGATCATGGATTTGCAGGGGTCATCTTGATCAAGAAAGGTTCGAAGTCTTCTATAAATTCATTTACATTTATTTAGGTAGTCTTAGGAGTTGGTTTGTACCATTTTTACTTACAACCATTGCATTTCATGATCAGCTGGCCCCATAACTTCAATGTAAATACATATAATGTCACCTAAATCAAACTGACAACAAATGTGCTCTGTATACAGCTTTAAAGTAGCAGCAGAAGTATTTAGATCATGTTTAAAATGTGCCCTAACAAGAGAAAATGTTTGCTGTCCAGTACTGTTGTGGCTTATTCAACAGCTTGTTATTTTGCCTTTATTTCAGCTGGAGATAACGATAAGATCAAAGGTTGCTGGGATTCCATCCATGTTGTGGAGGTTCAGGTATATTGCCAGTTAGTAACAAACACATTAACTAAAGCACAAAACTTGTGTAATGTTAAAGCTGGACTGTGATTTTTTTTTTATTTCTCAGGAGAAAAGTAGTGGCCGACAAGCTCACTACAAGCTCACATCAACAGTCATGCTTTGGCTTCAGGTATGAGTAAACTCTACAAGTACCTCTGATGAGGAATTTTTGGTTGTTGACATTGTTTTTGTGGCTCCATGCCAAGGATTTGCAGTTTCCTCAGTTTGAGTACTCATGCTTTTTACCTAATTTGATATTTAACTGATTCTTTTTCTCTTTGCCTCAGACAATTAAGAGTGGATCAGGAATCATGAATTTAGGAGGAAGTCTGACTAGACAGGTATTAATGCATTTATGAAAATACATTTGTATTACCCATTTGATTGTGTTTGTACCATGTTTGGAGTTGACACACATGTGGAGTTGACATGCATTTGCATTTTGTACTTATTCAAAGATTGCAGCTGGTAATTGAATTGAATGATTCTAATGTAAATTAAGGAAGGTTAAAACCAAGTAAAGGGGGCTGTTTTACCAAATCTTTTTGAGGCGCTTCAGGGAGACTGGTGTTACTCTGTGATATGCTTTTGCCCAGCACGCCTTATTGGCTTGTTAGCATGCTTTGTTTCTCTCCATCTCTATCGTTATTTCATCTTTCTTCTTTGACTAGCAGGGTCTTTTTGGTTCCCATATTTTTAAAACTTTAGGCAGAACAGGACACTCCTGTTAATGATGCCAATCCACATATTGCCAACATTGGAAAAATGGTTGAGGTACTGTTCATATTTTCTTTTTTATAGAAGGTCATGCTGGTTAAAACCATAAAATATTACAATATTAAACATGTTTAGGGTTGTTCTAGTCTCTATCTGTTAAGACACCTCATCTAATGAGTTACACCTCTTTCAAGCTGTTATATATTCCTTTAAAAGTAAGGTATGGTCATCAGAAGTAAATTTTATATAAGGAGGCATTTGCTAATTGATAAGTTTGTCCATCCCTATCAACTATTTGCCAGATAGTGTATGACTTTGTGAGGAGAGTTTCTATTTCAATTCAGGATATTCAATCCATAAAAACTGATACCAGAAAATTGTATAGCAAATCAGTTTCAATTCCTTGACAATTCTAAATACAAGGAAATGTGTTGGAGCTAGTAACAGCATGTGTGGGTATGCAGGTTGCAATTCTATATTGATCTACTTTAAGCCATTCATATTATTTTCCTCTTTAAAGGACATGGAAAACAAGATGCGAAACACTCTGAATGAAATATACTTTGGTAAAACAAAGGATATTGTCAATTCCCTTAGGTGAGAATGGCTTCCTGTGTGGTACCCTTGGCATTTTAACCCTTGGTTATGCAAGGTCTTTCACACAAGAGGTTCTTTTTTTTGTCTGTTTGTCTTTTTGTGGTAAACTTGATATTCTTTAGTAGTGATGATAAGCTCATACTTAATGGTCCTCTTCAGTGCTGCATTACACATCCTTACTACATGTAGTTTCATGTGTGATAAGTGCATGAACATTACAAAGTTGCTGCTTTTTTATTTAGCTGAAGGTTACCACAGAGAGAAATCATCGCTTTTGCTAAGTTAATGTTTTGACATGTCATTTTATTTCCTCTTCTCGTTTATTTTCTTTCTTTTTCTGGTTGACTCCCATTACAGAATAAGAAACAGTGATCATTGGATGCATGACTTAAGCAGGACTTATGAAAACTATTATAATGGTGCTAGAAATTAGGTTATTATTATGCAGAAATAAGCCTAAGGACTAGTTAAAGATCTCAGGGCAGATATTATTTAAATCTGTTTTGTTATTCTTGCAAAAGAGGAAACATTGAGAAACTGAAAATTTTACCTATGCTTAATTTTCAGGAGTATCAATAGTCTAGCTGATCGAGGGAAACAGAAACAAGTACAGCAGGAGCTGTTTAGTGTTCTCAAAAACCGCCAAAAGTAGTTTTTTAATCTTAGTGACTTCACTCTAGAAACTTGTTGAAAAACCCTTCAATTTGGAATGTGAAATTAGTTGCTGGGGATTTTTTAAAAACTGAAAAAAAAGTCACCAAAGCTTTTGTATAATTTTGCTGCAACCAAATATTTTTCAGAGATTGAGAAGGGACTTGGTGAAAATTACCCTCCAGAAATCATTTCATGAACTTGAGGGGGTGACTTTCTGCTTTAATTATACGTATTTTTAAGGAAGCTGTTATCTTGTATGTCATTGGCTTTTGCATAAATGCAAGGTCATGGCTTCTGTGTAAAATGAGCTCTTTTTGATTACCCGAGTGAGCTTAGGGTGAACTGTGATGTTGTGTTGCTTAGAAACCTGGGTGAAGTGCAATTTTCAATTGAGTGTGAAATGTAATCTGATATTGGAGTTATCTCTCTTCCCAGTGCTGAGTGATTGCTATGAAAAGCCACCTTCACATGTGTGCAGAAACCAATCATGATTTTGTCACTTGTACTCTCCCGCACTCAAGGCTGGTTTCATAAGTTGTTTTGTGTCTGATTCAGCTGCTTTTGCCTTACACAATAGTTCTGATTGGCTCTGGTGATTACTCTGGTCATGATTTTGGTGCATGCAATTGAAAGCACTCCATTGGTAGTTACTTGTTAAAATAAACACACCTCTTGATTTATAGAAATTAAAATTAACTCATTGGACTGTTTACTAAGTAAAGGAACTTATCTTTTTCCTATCAACTTGTTAATTCCATAATTGTCATTTAAGTATTTTGATCATAAATTTTGTTACTTATACCCCCCTGGATGATCAATGGTTAATTTTTCTCAACTTTAAGACAAACATTTTTCTTTATATGTTATATGTACGATCCTTCAAGTCAACTTTAGAATTATACACATGTATACATTTTGATGTCAAAGGCTGTTTCAGGGAATGCAAAACAAAATTATAAAGAACATAAACAATCCAAAAACCTGGAATAAGGAACCTCCTCCCCCACCCCTTCTCATGGCCTAACAACTTGTTGAAGTGTTACTGTACATGATGTGTGATCTGTATGAGTCTTAAAAATTATAAATAGAATCCATATGATAAAAAGGCTTATTACTGAGAAATTTGTTACACGCTCAGTAACTTTTTTCCCCTCAGATTCTGAGAGACTCTTTAAAACTCTCTTCTTAATCAAACATTTGTTAGAGACAATTACTTTGCAAGGTTATTTTAGTGGTTGAATATCATTGCTTCTTCAGATCCTGTTTTTGTTGTTGTTGGTTCTCTACCTAAGCTCAAGGTTAATAATTATTAAAGAGTTCAAAACAAAGCAGTGTTCCAGTGTATCAGAAGCTCTGTTAATAGTGAATAAGGCTTTCTTTTTCATAATCCTAATTTCAATGTAATGTGACCATACGAATGCAACTGTAGTTTGGTATCATACTTTAGGTGATTCCTCAGAAAAAAAGTTATGGAACCATGTTTTTGAAACTTTCCTTAAATGGTCCTTACCAATGTCTGTTTTTGAAAAATACCATAAAAAATATGTCACCATGCTTGTCTGGGGGATATGAAGGGCTAATCTTACCCCATTTATGCTTGTACTGGCACAAATCATGCACATTATTTTTATTGGTTTATGGTACATTTTGTGGTAGCTGGAAGCAAGGGTTTTCTAAGAAACACTTAAAACAACCTGATAGGTAGAAAGTCTCAAGTGTATGGGAAAATTTTATGTATAATTTGTGGAAAAATCGTGCAGTTTCAAAACAACATCAGCTCAAAGTGTTCCCCACTCATCGCTTTAAAGGTCACAATTTGTATCATTGAGTAAAGGGCTTCATGCTTACAATCAGTTGTAGCTTTTTCCCCTTCAATGAATGTTTTTTGAAGGGGATGATTTGTACACCAAAATTTTGCAATTAAAAGAATATATATCACAATGATTATTCAAGACCTAAAGACCATCAAACTTTTTTCTCTGGTCCAAACAATACCATGTTCTTGGAATGCATGCAGGGTTATTAGCCTGATTATATGACTTTTATGTGCAGTATAGGATGCACAATGCAATACTCTGGAATTACCTTAAACAGGAAGATAAACCTAGAAAAGATAAATTGATCTCTTCCACCAAAAATTCTAAATGAAACTGGTGCATATTAAGGGGTAAGTTTCTAAAGAAACTGTGATGCTGCGTCGGTGGGAGAGTATAGCAGGTAATTTAGTGTTAACAACTGGGTTGAAAACGTAAATTAGCCACCGTAGAGGGTAAAAAGCTGACGTTTCGAGCGTTAGCCCTTCGTCAGAGCGATATTAAGGACTGGTGTTACTGGTAACTACATTTTGATTTAATCAGAAGTTAAATTAACCTTCAGACAATTGTTTTCAAATAGGTTTAAATGTTAATTCAATCTTGCTTAGCAACATGGCTTCATACATATGAAGCAGCAGTAAACTTGTCTTTTCTGCATTTGTTTGCAATCTGTTGGAATGAGCAGGAGCTACACAGAAAGCATTCTTTACTCATGTAATGACTTCCTTTAGCAGCAACAGTTTGAGAATGGTTCAGTTGCACATAGTGGTTTCACAATTGGTGGTATCTAGAGCTGCATTTTAAACTCATTTGGCAACAACTCTATCAGGGCTTGGTTACTCTTTGGAATCTCAAAAGGTGGCAACAAGTGAATGGTGATATATAATTTTGATGCCAATTGTTACTTCTTTAACTAATTTTGGTGCCTGAGAGAATAGCTACAAAATAATATAACTCTGATGTTAGAATTTATTTTACCATTCCTTGTTTCTTGAAAGAAAAAGTTGATTTTAAGCTTTTTTCAATTAATAGTGAACCATACATGCATAACTTCCTTAAAACTTTAATCAAGCCAACTCATCCAGAGTCAAGAAACTGAAGAGCAGTACATTTTAGTCTTTGTAGAGGACCCTGTTTACTTGGCTTAGTGGGATGTCATGCAGAGGTGGAACTGATCCAAGAGGAACTGAAATTGTATTATCATCAATGTATCGAGCATGTATATCTGCAAGTTCAAAAACAAAATATTATGTGAAACCATTTGATTTCTTCTCTATGACAGGAACTTTGACGTGTGTTATGTCAAAAAGTGTGGGGGGGGGGAATGGTTACTTCACCCTCTTCCCTCTTCTTTCCTTTTTGACTATCACACACCCGTTGTTAAAATTTCTTTCTCTCCCCAGACTTCAACTACTGTAAAAATCAAAGATGGCACCTGTAATTTTCATCAAGAAAGTGCTGAGCACCTGCTCACCCTTAAATTATGCCTGCCTTGCAGGCTACTAAAATATTTGCTCAACAACCTACTTCATAATATGAGATAAATTGAAACAAATTCTAAATATTGAAGGTTGTTACTGAGTGTGTGAGTCATATTTAATAATAAATTCCTCCTGCTGATCATGTTCAAGGTCTGTATGTTTGTTTACAGACCTCTAAACTTCCAAACCACAACTCATTCCACCAATTCATTTCTTTCTGCAGCTTACAAAGATGAATATTGTCATTACTAGGCATCCATTACAAATCCAGATTACAGAATATATTTATTCTCACCTGTAATTGTGTTGATAGAGTCTGGTGGGAGAGTGATGGTGAAATTATATGCTATATAGAACAAAACTGCAAACACAAATGCAACACAGAGATAAATTGGTCCAGCTAACACCCAGTACCTGGTAAATGAAAATAATGGTGAAATGAAAAAGTATTAAATTTCATTGTCAAGAAAAACAGTAGCTGTCTCCACCCAAATAATCTAAATTGCAAAAATTACAATCCCCTTGTCATCATGCCACACCTATTCCCTTTTATATTCAGTAGCTACTCTTATTTAAATGGGGGAAGAAAGTGAGAGAGAATAAGTGTTAGGGGAAAGCATACTATGTCCAAGTAGGTACCCACTGTTAATTCATTGTGGAGTGCTGTTCATGAAAAAGAATGATATTTTATAGAAATCACTCTCATGAGATTTCCTTTCACTTTCCAAAATCACATGAAACATTGCCCCCCCCATTCCTCCCTCTATCTATCGGTGTTTATTTCTTCCAGAGTGTCCCCAAGAAGCTCTATTTTTATTTTCACACCTTCCCTCCATACAAAATTCATAAATTTCTTTGCACATCTGTGTAATAAATTTTGGAATATGGAACCTTAGGATTAAAAACAATCCACCCAACTTGTTGGTGAGCTTAACTGTGAGCACACGGTTACCTTTGAGGAAGATAAGTTATTCCAATACTATGAAGCCATTCTTCTGGGAGGCAAGCCCAAATAAAATACAGGCCTAATAATTGAAATAAATCAAGAAAATCAAATTATGTTAAGGTACAAGTTAGGCTGCTTTTTCGTAAATATTGAACTCTCTAAAAAGTTAAATACAGTTATTATAGCATGAGTTTACATGTTAGTGATAATAGAATGCTTATTTGATATTCTAGAATCTGGAGAGGACTCGTGCATAACATCAGATCTAAACCGTCTCTACCTTAGTACTAACCAAGTCCAAAATAGGTTCCCAAGTACAGTACAAATCCATAGATTGCCCTCTCCGGAGTAGGCGAAGGAGAATGTTCTCCCATTTTCAACTATAATCAGCCGCTATTATTTTCAGTAGGCTCTCATGACGTTACTTTCAATTGATACCGCTGACAAGTTCAGGCTTTTGACGATTCTTTGAGAAGTTGTAAAATCAGTATGGAAGGAAGCGCAGCGAACGAAGAAGGTAATATTTTTCTTTCTCGTTTGTAATTATGTCTTATACACCAAATAATAAGTGTGGTTATTCTTGTCGCAGAGTCTGGTCTAGTGCGAATTCTGAACGTGGAACATGATGCAGAGGTGAGTTCAGCTCCCCCTACCTCCCAAAGACACTTATAGACTTTGGGAGAACTAAATCACTGCCGCTAGAGAGAATCTGCCGTAACTGAAGATTCTTTTTTAATCTTGCAGGATGTTGACCTGACTCATGCAAAAATTGAAAAGCTAGAAAGCTTTGAGAGACTGACTCGTGTTAAGGTATGGTTTTTGGTGGACTTGCAGTCTCCCTTCCCCTCAAAATGATTGTCATTGACCAATTTCCAATCACATGCATATGACCTGCCATCTACACATTCTTAGAATATTTCCAGCACATGATAAAAACCCTGATTAAAGCACAAATTTGCTCATGTAGAATGTAAATGAAGTACCCTGTACGTTATCCATTCTGTCTTGATACTTACAGTAAGTAACTGTAAATCTACTTGTTAAGGCTGATATACATGTAGACATAATGACCAGACTTGCCTTGTTTGTTTTCAGTCTCTTTGTTTAAGAAGAAATAAAGTCACTAAGATTGAAGGACTGAGCACATTGACAACCCTTGAAGAGCTGGACTTATATGATAATCAGATTACACAGATAGAGGGACTGGACAACAACACCAACCTCACGTGAGACAAAACTCTGTACTTAACAAAAATGGCAACAGAAAATATCATGTTTCAAGCTGGACAAAGGGGCTAATGCTCTGACAAAGGGCTAACATTCTAAACATCAGCTTTAGAAACTCTTTACCATGGCCAATTTACTTTATATACTCAGTTGATACAACCAAACTATCCTTTACTAGCCCCCACTGATGCAGCATTAAAGTTTCTTAATCCTTTAACTCCCATGAGTGACTGAGACAAAATTTCTCCTTACAATATCAATGCAATGTCAACCAGATCAGTGATGAGAATAAAGAAAAACATCAATTTGGGGATAATTTGTTGATCCAATACTAAATTCTCTGAACTAACAAATAAGAATTTTATTGTTGATAGTAAGGAGAATTACAAATTTTATCTGGGAGTTAGAGGGTTAAGAAACTTATCCCCTTATTAATTGTTTGTAGAATGAGACTGTCATTTTAATTCAGGTTATTCTGAGGGCCAATTAAAGTGATGTTTTGACCCTTGCATTTGATGAAAAAATTGTAATCTTGACAGTCTTTTAAAAGCACATCATAAATTATGCCATAAGCAATGCTAAGTGGCAAAAGGTTTTGGTGTAATTCCTGGCCTGGCAGGTAATGCAGGTAACAAAATTTGTTTACAATGACTTAAAGGAAAATCACTCCATATCAAGTTTAAATCCTCTAAAAGTTGAAATTGAAAGGGTATGCTCTGGATCCTGTACCTTCATCTGCACCTTTCATGGCAACAACTACAGTAACTGTAATGTGAGACAGTAAGCCATAATTTGAGGGATTGAAACAGCTATAAGTGTTCCCTCTTTTTGACCGTGTTAAAATAACTTAACTTAATGTTCATATGAATTGCATAATTGATTACTAAAGAATTAAAAGATTTTCTGAATTGAAAGTTTTGTTCTTACTAAATCTTCAGGAGTTTGGATTTGTCCTTTAACTTGATCAAAACAATTGAAAACCTGGGATGTTTGGTGAAAGTGACAAAGTTGTTTCTGGTTTCAAACAAGATCTCCAAGATCGAAGGACTTCAGAATCTACCGCAGTTAGAAATGCTTGAACTTGGTGCAAATAAAATAAGAGTAAGTGTTATTTATCTGATACACGTATAGTGGAAGTTCCTGTCAATGAACACCTTTAGAACTATGATAATGTGTTCATAACGGGAGCTAGCTGCTTGGAAGAAAGTTTGTTTTGAGTGGCAGATAGAGGTGTGAGTAAAAGATGTGCAATTTTACCCAGTTAAAATTCAAATTACATGTGTAAGATTGGTGTTTCAAACTGTACCCAAGTGATTAAAGGTATGGTAACTAGACTAAGAATAAGACATGGTGCTGTTCACTGCGCAATAAATGCCCTGTGAAATCATTGTGTCAAACAGCAAAGAAGAATTGGCTGATTTACATAAGATTCAGTTGAGTCTAATGGGTTTTACCTTCATGGGTGCTTAAGTGCAAAGAAGAAAACTCCTTTAAAGTATCTATGGCCACTTACAAGAATGTGTGCCATTGGGAATGTGAAAGTACTGTCTAATGGTGTTTCTAACAGGGTTTTGTGAAGGTGGTTATCAGTAGAGCTGCTTGCTTGTGAAAGTGTCTGTTTAGAGATCTTCCAGTGTCATACCCCTTTTTCTACTAGAAAGCCAAATGTAGGTTTTCATTTGCTTTTGATTTAAGGTTCTAGAGGGGTTTGAACATCTCACACAGTTGCATAGTTTATTTGTGGGAAAGAATAAGATCACAAAGCTTGAGGTGGGTGCCAAGTTTGCTTTTTTGTGTAGATGTGTTTGGTTATCACAAGTTGACAATTAAAAGATGAAATTTGTACTTGTTGTCAATGGTAAACTTTTTTCTCAAAAGGACCAAGTGACTTGGTCATTTGTCCATTCCTGATTTTCAGGAAGTGTGCACATTATAGGACAAAGCATTGGCAAGTCCTAAATTATTGCCTATTGTTAGCCAAATATCACATTTTCTGCACAAGCCTTTGCGGAGACATCTTAGATTTTCAAATCTTCCTACTGTTCATCGCGGGAAAACTTGAAATCCTAAAAGAGATCGCGACCGCAAAAAAAGAACTTCCGAAATTTTATCGCACGTGGGCTTTTTTACTTTAATTTTTCATACTACTGTTGTTTTAGGTTAGACTTATACTTAACTTCATTTTTGAGACCTGTATGTTTACTTGTGATTGTCTTTTAATTGAAAAGAACTTTGTAAACACACCAACCGTAAATTAAATTAATGTTAATAGTATTGTAATACATGTATTGTAATGTAGTGTATGCATAATTTGTGTAAGTATAAGTATCAGTAGTGTTAGTAGCAAGTACAATGTAAGTGTAATTAATGCTGTAAGTAGTGTAAGTGATCGTCTTGTAAATAAAATTGTTTAAAAAAAAAAAAAAAGTGTGCACAAGTTTTCAGTTAAAATTGTGATATTTTCTTACTACTATGATTACTATTGTGACAAGTTGTTGTTATTTTTTTTTTGTTTGTCAATACTTGTGGAAATTTTATTTGTTTTTCAGAATCTTAGTTGTCTCACAAACCTGAAGCTTCTTAGTATACAGGTAAGTGGAGTCAGAGTTAAAAAAAAAGGTTGGATGTGTTGTACTGTTCAATTGCTGTAAGACTATCGTAATTTTGACAACAATTTTACTGTAGATGCTAAAGTGTTGCAATAATTGCATTTCAAATTGATTGTCTTCACATGTATTACCAAATCTTACAATGCTTTGTCTGAATAAATAGGGGCATTTTTAATGGCCAACCATTTTTAAGCCAAGATATTTTTTTTATCTTTGAATGTGGGAGATGTAATGGTGGTATATTTTGTGTAGTGGACTTCAGGGGAGGGGTCAAGGTTTGAACTCAGGGTGGTTCATTGGGTTGAGTTATTGAGTAAAATACTCAACTCTTGCAAGGTCTCCCATCACCTGGAAGGGGGGGATAAGTCTCCCTTCAATTGGGTGGGATAATTCTCCCTTCACTTAGGGAGGGTAAGTATCCCTTCACCTAAGGGTGAGGGGTAAGTCTCCATTCACCCAGGAAAAGGGGGGTAACCTCTAGTGGACCAATATCCTCACCATACATGTGTTCCTAATGGAAAGCAGAGATATACTCTGGCAGTTTGGGCCACTGGCTCAAGAGTAACCTTACCATGTCAGTGATCAAATTACAGTTAGATCGCACCATGGTTAGATCACTCCAACCTAAAGTTAAATCGCTCCACTTGAAAGTTAGATTGCTCCATCAAATAAGTGACTTCACCCCTGAACTGTGCAGAAAGAACAAATAAAGCCTCATGTAAGGGACTCATGAAGTGCAATCTACTTTATTAATTAAAGATGGTGGATATCAGTTTCCTTACATCAAACAGCAAGAAAGGCCACACTGGATAGTATTGGTATTTTAATGATCCTTTCCAATACACTTCAGACTAGAATGTTATAATTTATTCCACAATCATTTATTCCATCATTGCCATACATCATACATCAGTAGCGCAGTGGCTAATCTGAAGGACAGAGTGAGTACTATGTACTGGAATTGTTGCAAGATACATCATCACCTATAAGCTTTAAAAATCATTGGAAAGTAATACTTCACATTACAACATGGAATAAATTAACTTGTGTTGGTAATGAAGTAACTTATTTGATGGAGCAATTTATTTATTTTATTTGATGGAGTAATCTAACTGGGAGCGATCTAACCATGGTGCGATCTAATGAGATACCTGGTGATCTGTTCATCAGAACCTGGTCACATGTTCTGTTTTCTTGACAGTTTTATCATAAAAGGATAAAACTTATTATTACTATTTTTTTTATCATAGAGTAATCGTATCGTTAAGCTAGAGGGTTTGAACAGTCTAATGAACCTAGAAGAACTCTACATCAGTCATAATGGCATAGAGGAAATAGAAGGACTTGATAATCTGGTGAGTGGAAAAGAGCTAGCTTTTTTATGTTTATGGGAGTCTTTCAATAACATGAAAATTCCAAAGGTGCAGAGCCATGGGTGTGGATTCATTTCTTGTCACTGTAAATCAATACCATATAGATAATCTTAAGGTAGAAAAAAAAAACAGAATAGCTCTGGAACCTCAAATCTCAATTCAGGAACATGACCTAATGAGCCAAGTGATATATTTGACATGTTTCCTAAAAAGTCTGCAACATGATGGATGGTAGCATATGATGCATTTTCAGTGACACATCTCCCACCCAGCAGTGCATAAGTTCTTGAAAGGTGTTGAAATTGGTGGAAATTTTTATCAAAGTAGACTGGCCTCCTTCCATCAGGAAAAAGGGATTACTTTAATTTACTTTTAAAAAATTATATTGAGTTGCAATCATTATCGTGAACATCATGAACATCTCTTCTATGTTTCTTATGTGTCAACTATGTACACTGAACAGTAAGGACAGAGTGGGTGCTGTATTGTAATGCGCCCTTACCGTTACTCTTTTGTTTGCACAGACAAATCTTAAAACCCTGGACTTAGCATCGAACAGGATAAAAAGAATCAGGAATATCTCCCATCTTGTCAACTTGGAAGAATTCTGGGTATATTTATTAACATTTTGATTTTGTACTAATTACTGGAGCGCTAAACATGTAAACTTGTAAAGTTCATCCTATTAGTTGAAAATCCCTATTCGTTAAAAGCAAAGCAGGTAACTATTTACAAGACGCAGTCAAGGAGCTAAATTAGGGACTGCAGTGAAAGAATTTCAGTTTTGTGGCTGGGAAAAGATTTGAACAGGGATAAACAGGTTTCCAATAAGCTACCCGCCCCCACCCAGGCACTTGGTATTGTTGTCTATATTTTTTCACTTTTTAGTAAAAGCATCACTATATTAATGGGTGACACCCCTTCCCCCCTCACCATTATTCAAGCGTCCAAGATCAGCAAAATGACTCAGTACAGGTACTTTGAAAGTGAGCGCTCTTTCCCATTAGCAAAATTGGTATTTATCAGCCACGGGGCGTTTGCCATAAGGTATGAGGAGCTCAGAGAGTGTGGGCTTATTACGACGTGAGAGTAAGATGCAGGAATCATTTTAACAGAGCCCGTTCACAAACTCTCTAATTTCTTTTAGATAATCATCTATAATGCAAGGTAAATTATAGCTGCGAGGGATTTAGTGAACGCACCGGGGTGGGGTGGAGTGGTAGTAAGGGTGGGTTTCGCGCTCATTTGCAGCCACTCGCCCCTCGCCTCTTTGCTTAACTATGAAACAATTCAATACCAAACAAAAACAGACACTGAAACGAAACGATTGTCGCCTTACTGTTTTCGACAAACCAGCCGATCTATTGCTCAAATAATTAATCATCAAAAATTTAGGCCTGTCAGGGTTTTAAATTTCTTCGTTGTTCTCCACATGCAGTTCAATGACAACCAGTTAGACTCGTGGGAAGATCTGGACCAGTTCAAGAACTGCACCAAGCTCCAAACAGTGTACTTGGAGAGAAACCCCATCTGGCGAGACACAGCGTACAGGCGGAAAGTTAAACTCGCTCTTCCAACAGTCACACAGATTGATGCTACGTTATGTGGATGATAGATAGATGAAATTGGAGCAATTTTCAATTGAGGCGCGAAAGTCGAATGCAGGATTGCATAAGATTTACCTTAATACACTCTGTGATTGGCCTAAAAAACTTGAGCCAATTCGTCAGCGAATAAGAGTCAAAACTAAAATCAATCACGACTTTATCGCTCGTGTTTTCCCGCGCTCCATGCTCGTGGGCATATTTCCTTTAATGCGATAGACCATTGTGATTATTTTGGATTTGGTATTCGAAACTCAATTGAAAAGTGCCCATTTGCTTGCGACGGACAAAGTCGGAAAAAAAAACTTAAAATTACAGCTTTTCAGCAAGAAGAAATCTGAATCGTTGATGGTAAAGTAACGCAAAACAGGAATTTCTGAGGACGAAGATTGGAAGCTAGAGAAGAAGGAAAAAAGGATAAGAATTGGAGAGAGATTGATCCACATTATGAGTTGTTAAGGCTTAGACGTACATTTTCATCGAGGGAGGAGTGACACGAGGACGTTGGATGGTAAAAAGAGCACTAGTCTTAAAACATCAGATATATTTTAGGCTCTCAAATTCGTTGGCCCTGACGCTATTGGCACAGATTTTATTCATTTGCGAAGGTTTGGAAATTTTGATAATAAGAGACTTAAATAAAAAAAATTAAAAAAAGGGATGTTTCGAGACAATTTTTACGAAGTTTGCAAAGGGTCTGTCATAACTTTGCTATTTTTAAGATTATTATCTTAAAATTCTGTACACTTAACCGAAGTATCAAGTCTTAAGAATTGTTGATTGGAACCATTAGAAGACGCGGCCTCTTCAATTTGCGTGTGATTGCCCTTTAGCGTAAACGAAGGAGGTGATCTCGACGAAGGAGATGATGAGTTAACAGAAAGGAGCAACTAGGTTGTTGGCCGTGATATGTCGCTGCTACATTCCTCCACAAAATGTCCCTGTTTATGTACAGTATTTTGAATGCACTCTTCGTCTGACTTGCCCCCATTCCCTCATTTTCAACGCTCCAGAAGTTACGTTACTCCACCCGCGGGAACATTTTTAGACGAATCAGGGAGAGGTTTGCCGGGGTCTGGCACTAATGTCAGTGCTAGACCCTTCCAGACCTCTTATCGGCTGCCTCATACTATCCAACGAGCGAAGAAACGCTCTTGCTGAAAGGCTTCTAATGGATTAGTCAAAGTCTCGCGTGGATAATCACATTAAACACCTTCAACTCCTTAATAGTTCGTGAGGGAACACGCTTTGCGGTCCTTCACACGCCTCTTCTAAGAATTCTGCGCGAAATGTGTTTCCGCCAGAATATCTCGAAGACCATGCCCCTACATTCATTTAATTTGAATTAGGTAACCACATTGTTATTGAAACAAAAAAAGTAATTTGATTTCACCTCTCACTGCGCACTTAATTAATTTCAAGAATTTTCATCTAGCCGCTTTCAAAAGACTGAAGAACACCAATTATTCGGCTACAAAAGATACAAGTCACATATTCTTCCTTTTCAAATACACACTGAGAAACTTCTTGTTGGCTAATTCTCTTCCTTTTCGGTGAGTTAAGTCGCAATCATTTCCTTTTGTTTGTGACGTCCAAAACTACTTAAAAATTAAAAATACCACAAAATATTTGGTAGTAACGATATCAAAAGGAGCATTGGCAAACTGAATGGGAACTAGGATGAAAAAATAAATGAAGAATTTCTAAAGCCCAATTTTGCCAAGGTGCACAAACTATGCCCCCTTAATGTTCGTTTGCTCACACATACCACACCGTTTGAAAGAAATGTCACTTTAAATATATACGATAATAGTCTCGAGTAATTTCACGGTTTCGTTCCTTCGTTATCGGCAGGTATTTACACGTACGCCGTCCATATATGCAGCGTATCATTTCTAGTATGAACTATCTTGTGCTCAATTTCGTTTCTCGGTGTACGTCTCTTCATCTTGACGCAATTTTTGTGAGGGAGATCCAAACTATTTTCGGTATTTTTCTCAACTTCCCCACCCTCCTCGTTGAAAGAGTAAACATTTGGATTCAACATTGCGCATCTGCTGAATAGCGCTTCCAAATCTTGCGCAACCTTTTCGTACAGCGTAGGATCTGACTGAAGTGTTTGAGATTCACTCTCTGAAGGACTGGTGACTTTAGTACTTTCGGCTTTAGGGTTAAGCGGCTTGGTGTTCATCGCCTCTAACATAATGTCAGATTCTGATCTGTTAGTACCCTGTACAGTGCACTTGTCTCTTCGTAACTCGATGTCTTCTTCGTACCTTTTCTCGCGAGATGTAGCTTGCGATAAAATGTCCTCCTTTTTGTCTTTTCTCGGGTTGTTCAGTTCTCTGTCTCCCAGCTTTGTAGCCCTGATGTACGCAATGTTGTGGAAAATCTTGCCGTACTCCTCTTGAAGTTCTTCCTCGAAATCATCCACGTAAAGCATAATTGTCTAGGACGTTTACCTCTTTTTTGGAAGACACTCAACGGAATCTCGGATGAACAATAGTGCTCTGATTTAGTGAACCCAGTCTCAAGTTTTTCCACTAAAAGACTCCTCAGAACTTTTTAGAAACTGAAGCTCAGACATGCGCCAATTAAACTGGTGTTGTTATGCAATGAGAACTCAATTATGTGCCAAAAGTCATGTCATCTTAAAGAAACAGAAGGTGATTACGTTTACAATAAGGGAAAAAAATTTTGACAATTAGAAACAGACCGTGAAAATAGTTCAGAGAATTACTGCAAAAAGAAAAACATGCCCAAATAATCCGGTTATCTACAATACGAGTTCGAAAATACCCGACTGATTGGTATGACGCCCCAAGGCGTAAAACGTAGTTTTAAACAAACAATTCAGTTGCCATAGACATCAGTGCATAATTCCGGATCACCCAGAGTCCAGTTCCAGAGTATTTTGGATTAATTTTTTTTCTTGTTTTGGGTTTTCAAAAACTTGTTTCAGATCGTTCATATTTTCCACTGAAATTTTTATTTTTTTTTGTTGAAAGGAGTGAAAATCCAACGTTAATCAACAGCGGTTTCACGGAGGTGTGAAACGACGCGGCGTGCCGTCCTTTTAAGAGCCTCCTGCTTTTAGTCGGGCGGGCCAGTGTTGGCGGTAAAATGGCTACTACAGTTTGTAGCTCCATTTTTTAAGCTATATCTTTTCTCCTTTCGCTGGCTTGTTCTCGAAATTTCATTACTTTCGCTCCTTTAGTTTTTCGAATTTTAGACGCGAGATGACGAGCGTGCGTGGACTCGTGCGTGTATGTCACTCCAAATCCTTAGGATCCACGCCTTGTTTTCCGTCCAACCTTAGTCCTGGCTCTAGCAAGTTTCAAGATGGCAGCCGAATTCTGTCTGAAGGCGGTACTCATTGTTTTGGAGGAGCTCACGAATTATTAACCACGATACATAACATCGATTCCTTTGATTATATTGGTGAGGAGTGAGAGATAAAAATGGATCTCCTAGGATCAATTCTTAACAGCATGGATGCTCCACCATCTACAGAAAACAAGAAGGCCAAAGGTACCGTGTTCCTTTGTTGATTTCCGCTACTCGCAAAGAAATTTGCCTGAACTTGTTATGAAATATAAATTTTTAACATACCTGTTTTCTGCGAATGGTATTTGGATCAATGTTTTTGTCATTTTTATATTTTCTCACGTGTGATTTGCGCTAGAACTTGAATCTGAGCTCACTGAGTCTAGAGAAGGATTGATCGCTGTTACAACAATGCTAGGAATCAGGTAGAAATCCTGAATTTAGTCACACAAAAACAAAGCAAGTCGTTTTTGTCGTTATTTAACATGTAGGTGGTATAGATTTTAGATTTCAAAAGTGCAAATTACTTAAAATCAATTTCTACAAAGATGCAAGTCCTGCTCATTTCACCAAGTTTAAAATCCTCTCTCATAAACTGTGGGCTCAATAGTTTTTGTCTCATCCATGAAGATTACCTTGAATAGCTGGAAAACATGATTGGAAAGGGAATTTTCACTCAAAAGCACAGCTAAATCGGTTTACTTGTGTGCAAATGTAAGATAAGCAAACATGGATGTTCTGAAACCCCCACCCCCCTTGGTAGATCGTGAATACTCCTTGCATTTGCCTAAACACATGCACAGCTTGATCAAGTGATAGAATGAAGCATTATTTTCCTTCACAATTACCCCAGCATTAATAAGTATTTTTGTTGAATTACAGAGGAGAAAGCCAAATTAAAGAAGCTCCAGTTGGAACAAAAGAAGAAGAATGCAGAATTCCGTTCAAAGGTAGGGACTCCTCTAATGTCATTATAGAGTTATCTTTTACCCCCTTTCTCTCCAAAGATCTCATAAGTAATTCTAATTAATCATTGATTTTATAATGTTTTGAATTTCTATGATTTGCATTAAGACTGAAAAACAAGTCGATGAATTTATAAAAGATACCAAAGAAACGAGACTCAAGTTTCCACCAATGACAAGAGTGGAGAGGAGTATTGTGTAAGTTTATAGGCATTTATTGTTTTATTGTCAGTTTACCTACTGTGGAAAACTTCATCTGTGTTTGTTAGAAATTAATCAAAAGAATTAACTGATCCTGCCTCTAGCAAAAAGTGAGAATGCCATGTTTGATAAATAGTAATTTATATTATACTTTCCTAGTATTGTGAAATTTATGAGACATTGACTTATTTTTTGTTGTTCTCTGGGTGTTCACTAGTAGGGGGAGATCAAAGAATTCTCTGGTTACCAAACAGACTTGTATAGCTAAACTTGGATGCCTAACTCAATTTTTTTCACTCAGCTACACTACACTATCCTCTTGATATTGAATTTCTAAATAAAAACTCTGTGTTCATTTCATTAGTCATGATGTTGCTGAGATTGCTGGTCTTACTACATTTTCTTTTGGAGAAGATGAAGTAGACAGATATGTTATGCTTTTTAAAAAGGTAAATATTCTTACATGCATGTAAAATAACAAAGAGTATTTAAGCTTTGGGTTGTTGTTGTATTTTTTTAATTTCATTTTGGTTTGGAAGGAATTCTGCATAGGTAATCTCTTAATTTACAAATGGAGACTTGATCTTTTCACTCCATAGATCTTATCAGTATTTTGCCATACTGTATGCCATACAATTTGTATGATGTTAGTTCCGAGAATTTGATACTGGATCAACTGATAATCCCCCTTGTAATATTTTTCTTTATTTTCATCACATTTCTGTTTAATTTTGTATTGATATTGCTAGGAGAAATGCTGTCTTGGTCACTCATGGCAATTTTATAGGTTTAAGTGTCATGTAGCTAAGACACATTTTTCCAGCATTGTGAATTAAAGTTTTGAGATTTCTGCTTACTGTTTCTTTTCTTCATTTCTTTATACTCCTGTGATTGGATATCCTATGGATGGGTTAGATACCAGTATCTCAAAATGTTTTTTGTTGTTGTACACGTAACTTTGTTACAACTTTACATATTATGATTACCAAGTACTTATGACTACCTTGTTTATTTCATTTCCAGGAATTTCCTCCTTCTGATGAAGAACTTGAGGCATACAGGAATGGACAGGTAAAAAATTATTACATAAGATTTATATACAATTTATTTTGAGGAATTAATCTCTGGAGACTAAATGAACATTGTTTAGATGATGAGGTTGACAGGATTTTTCTGAGAATATTCCTCAAGCCTAATTGTTTTAGTTTAGTCACTCAAGTGGGTATCAGAACCAGGTGGAAGCCATTTTTAAAAGTATTGCCCCATTGTTACAAGCTGCTGCATAATTCTGGGCCAATCAGAATGCAGGCATTTTTATCATCACCTGAACAATCATACTGGCTATATGATTTAATTCAGATATTGTCACATTTACCAGAAATGATGCTCACTGTTTTGATTTGGAGTTATCTTTAACTTCGTGCTTCTAATATCAGTGACTTAATTGAGCAGTGGTGTATCCTTCATTTTAATAGGAATTTGATCCGGAGAGTGCAGAAAAGCTCAAGGAGGCATCTGAGGTATGAAGTGCTTTTATGTAACTCTTTAACTCCAAGATCTCATTGTTATTTTTCCCTCTAGCTGCTAAACATTCCTCACAAGTTAGTCTGACAAAAATTTGGCATTAGATCAAGAAAACAACTTCTAACCGTAATTATTAAGAGTATTCCAATTACTAGAAAGGGTATGAGGTTAAACCCTGGCTGTGTTTTTCCATGAACACTTTACTCTTACAGTCTCTCTCTGCCTCCACCAGCATTCAATGTGATTGGATGCACATCTGATGAACTTAGTCTGGCTCATTGGAAAAATTTCCCAAAAAATATGTCAACAAATAAGTGCATTTTCTATCATAGTTTAATTTACCCAGTTTGGCTTTTGTTTTCCTCAAATAATGAGATGCTCATTTGAGGTGTAATAGGAGTTTGTAAAAATAGCAGTTAGAGCTGTGCCAAAAGGTAGCGATCACTGTGGCCAATCAGAATAAAGGTTAAATCATCATTAGCCAATGAGAGGGCAAAGAAAAATAGGCAAATTTCTGAAGGTACGGGAAATCATGTGACAAATTTGTGAATGGTTAAGTTTTGCATTTGGTTGTTTTAGAGGGAAGCGCAAATTTTCTAGACTAATCACAACTAAAGCAATGGCAGATTACTGCCAACACTCAATTAAAAGCTTCAATCTATGAAATGAGTTTGTTGTGTTTCAATATTTCTTGCTGTTATTGCAAATGAAACCCTCGATTTCATGTACTAGGCCCAGATTTCTGACTCGCGTCTAGACATACCGAACATGCATGTAGCACGTTCTAAACATTTCCTACCACCCTTGTCATTATACAGAGTAATGTTGGTGGTCCCAGTCAGGAAACACAGTGCAGGTCGTCAAAAATTTCCAAACAAGCACCGTCCACATTTTACAAAGACAAGTACAGACACTTACTTGGTACTGACAGTGGCAAAGATGCCGCTAAGGCTACTAAAAGTAACTCAGCTTACGGTTATGGTAAGTTTCTGGTGAGGAAAAAGTAGTGCAACCTCGCTTTCACTCAAAACGTCGGCTTTAAAACTCTTTACGGTGGCCGATTTACTTTATCAACTCAGTTTATTAAACCAAATTATCTTATTCCAACTCTCCCTCCCCACCCCCACCCCCCCACCACAACCACAGACGCAGCACCACAGTTTTTTAGAAACTTAATCCCTCTCTGATTGCAACATTTGAAAGCAAGAAGTTGTATGACATTTACTTGACACGTGCAAAATGAGTAATTCTTAGATTAGTCAGTTCATTCCCGCTGCCTTTGAGAGCTGTAAAGAAACCTATCACTTGTTAAGGATGACACTGTCTGTCTCGCATATCAATCTTTTTTCTTGCTTGTTTGCTGATTTTATACTCGATAATCAAAGGAACTGACGTATAACACTCGTCTACCTGACGACACCTCGCTAGACTACGATACTGACTCTCGCGCAGGTTGATGAAACGGGTTTTGTCGAGGTTTCGCTCTGTTGCAAGCTCGTCCCTGCGAGTTGACACCCCTGCCACGACAACTTCACCCCACATGGGACAAGAATTTCGCTTCTAAGCCTTTCTACTCATTGAATTTTTCTTCACGCCACTTCACGCAAAGCCACGTCACGTCACGCCATGTTACACATGTCACTTTCCACTGTACCGTTCTGTGACAATCTGAAGATCACAATCTAAACCTGATTTTTCTGGTATTTTTGTAGTTCCCAGCGAAAACAAGCGGGACTTACGTTCAATTGAGGAGACTCTTAATGATATTCGTAAGAGGAAGAAGTTTCGCCCGGGTGAGGCTGATGATGAGGAGGATGATGTTGAAGCTGAAGACAGTGGCTAACCTTCCCGTTATAATCCTCGAGGTTCTCGAGTTATTGTGGGAAATTTTTGGATTGTCTTAGAGAGGATGTTACCTTCCCAATCGTTCTGCCATCCAGTGAGCAGAATACATTGTTTTATATCGCCGCGAGGGTCGCTTCTAGTCAATTTTGATACAGAATTTAGCGATATTCAGTGAAAATGCGTCTTCTCAAAGTAGATTTGAAGTTGATCTGATTCTATCACTCTGTGGTTAGTTTTAAATTCGACCTTAAGAATTTTTTCGTGATTTCTCAGTAGTCTTATCGTACAAGAACATGATGTAGTTGGAATGTTGATAGTGATTGCCCCTGTTCGTACAAGAATATGATGTAGTTGGAAAGTTGTTAGTGATTGCCCCTGTTCGTAAAATTCGTCAGCTTTAATGGACGTTTTAATGATTCAATTCATCGACAGTTTTAGGGGGGCAAGGCTGATATTCAGTCATTTTAAATGAACACATGTTCCCGTTTTCTGACTTCGTTGGTCGAGCTTGATTGTAGCTCTGCATTGGTCAAGAGGAGAATCGGCTTGTATCCTTCGACCAATCAGAGAGAGGGCCGCAGTTTTAACCAGCTAGGAACAATGGAAAAGCCACTCGTGACTTCGCGTTCTGCATTGTAATTTCCCGCCTTTGACGCGGGTTGCAACTCTAGCTTTGAGTTTCGATTGCTTCTTGATTTAATTGGCATTTTTCTGTGATTGGCTAGATGCAGTTATCTTGCGCTGAGACTTTTTCGTCGTTGGGTATTTAACACGTTAATGTTTGCTGAATATCTGTGAAACACCACCACTTTTTTCTACTTTTTCTGCTTTCCATATTTTTTGTAAGACATGATGGACATCGAATTTTGAGAGCCTGTAACTGCACCAATAGTGGTTATTTTACGTGTTTGACAGTTTTGAATGAATTTCATTTAGTATGTAAGTATAGATCTCTATCTCGTTATTTTTCAGAAGAATATAAGAAATTTATCGACTTATGTCAACCGATAGTTGTCTAGAGTATAAAACTCATCAGCTAGAATAATGTAATATGAATAAGTTAACTTGCAAAAAATAAACAACTTGTGGCATTGTACAAATGAATTTCACCTTTTCTAATTTTTTAAGCCAGTGTTATTTACAGAATTTTTCTTGTTGAAGGACATCACATCGTAATTTGAACTTTTCGAGGATGTTCGCAAAATCAAGGCAGTGGTTGCAAGGCAACACTTGATTGCCGGACAATTTTCAATAAAACGCCTTTTTAAGGTTCGTAACTCTGTTTTGAAGGATTTCGAATATATTTGCACTTTTGTACATTGTATCGTTCTCCCACTTATTAGAATTTAGGTATGACATATTTTCTTCCATAATCTTTTCTTTAGAAGGCAACAACGCGGCTTCAAACATCACGTAGGATGTGTGAATAGGGCGTTAGTGAAACCTTTCATTGGCCGATCCTAATGACGGAAACAACAGATCAGTTTGCACAGTTTTGGCACATTTCAGGAAGCATTTTGATTTTTATGAGACCATTGTGTCGAGCAATTGTGCGGCACCCAAAAGCAATTTCAAATTAATTCTACTGCGGAACGCTGCGAAACTATTAATTCGTGTAAAGAGACCGAAAAAGAGAATATTAGGTATCCTATTGTTGTGAGTTTTTAATATTGTCTTTGGTTGTCAAATTTTATGCAGAACCTCTTCACAGATGAAAATAATTTGCCTTCAGACAAATTTATTCGGTTCGAATGTTTGTTCAGGATGTTTGTTCGTTAAGTAAAGTTCACCAGAAATATAACAACTTTGGGAAGAAACCTCGTTTCTTCTTCACCATTTAAAGAAATATTGTATATTTTTTTCATACATTCTACTAAGAAATAGCGGCAAAGATCAAGTCAGATTAAAAGTGCTTCAAACTGAAATTTGCATGCATACATTAGTTTCGAAACCAGCTGCTTACAAAAGTGAAACAGAATTGTGTTTTTCATAAATGCCTGCGTGGAGCTTTTGAGTTTTTCTACTTTTTTAATGCTCATTTTTATGCTTATATTTTGTCTTTGTGAAATGGAAATTGGTTTTCACTTGTATTTTTTTCTCAAGTGAATTGCGACATTTCCTGGTTATGATTCAATTTATGACGTTCAGAAATTAAACTTAGTTTTTTGAATAAAACTCAGGGATTTTCAAGGGGAAATTAGCATTTCTTCATAATAAAGATGATTTTTTCCAGAAGAAATTTGTAGATTTAACATAAGCCAAATTCAAGTTGTAAACTTTGTTTAGTGAGATGTTCGTTCCTGGGAAAAATTAGGTGCTTTATCATCTTTGATGTTTAATACTAAGGTAAACCGTAGCGGTTTTCAAGCCATGTAAGGCATTTGTCTTCGATTTCTCGTGTGAGGTTCTCCACACTTTTCCATTGCCTGGTTCTCAAGAGTTCGTCATTATTTTTTTCTTCGATTTCTGCTGATTTGCTGTAGTTTGCCCACTCTTTCCCTGAAAATGTGTACCTTCTCGAAATTTTAGGGAAATAATTTGTACGCGTCCACATACGAGTTGTGTCGTGTGCTCGTGTTGGCCATGTTCGTAGTTGAGTAATTCTGGGTTGGGTAGCGGAAAGCGGTCCAATGTCACTGAATCTTGATAAGTAAGAAGGTCGCTTGTTAGATGAAGAACAACGTTGATTTCTAGCGGATTTTGTGCTACAGTACGTACTTGTTTGCAGTGTTGGAACAATGTTGTTGTTTGTTTTTATTCTGTTCAATTTAGCATCACTTTCATCTGCAGAATTGATGCCGTTTGTGACATCTTCAGATGTAGTTTTCGTCGTACCATTTTCCGTCGAAATTTCTTCATTTTCAGTCTCTTCGCTGTCTTCGAGAATTCGTTTCGCGTTGTTAATAGAAGATTGTACGTTGCGGATAAACCTCTGGGGATGAATTATCCTTCGTCTTGTTTTCTCGCGAAATGTACCGTTTGATTGCGATTTTTGTACTTTCACTTCCTCGGCGAAAGAACGCCCCCGCGCCTTCCTTTCTTCTGGCAAAAGATCAAGCCTGCCAAGTGAAATCATAGTCTGTTTCATTTCCTCCGACATTGGGAACAGCTCTGGAGTTCCTTTCCGATGTAATGATGGCTTTTCCATCGCAGAATTATTGTGTTTTCGTTCCCTCTTTGGCTTAAGCCCATGATGGTCGACGGCTGTGCTTTTGTAGGTCGAATTTTTCTTCACGTTTGGTTGCTGCAGCGGCCTTTTCGTAAACATGTTTGCCAGCATGACCTGTCTGGCCACTTTTCGAAAATTGAGCGTTTCACTTGTTATTTTACCGTTTCTGTGAGGTATTTTTCCTGTCCTCGCCGTTGTCCCTCTAGTCTCCATTTCGGAAATTTTAAAACTCGTCATCAAGAACTGTTGCGAAAATTAAACAGCAATGTTCCCCTCTGTCTCCCCGAGCAGCAACAAATTTATGACTTATTTGCCTAGTAATGTCTTCCACGTCACTAGAACGCGCTGTTTTTTACCCGTTTCTTGCAACACTGAGTTAAGACATTTCTTCTAACAAAGAGATGTCGGTTTCAGTGTGAACTAAAGCACATGTGATCGGAACCGGAGTTAACCTTCGAATTCTGAAGATTCAAATCATTTTTAATCAAGCTCTTTGAATTCTCGAAATGCAAATAAAGGTCTATTTATCGCCAATTATGCTAAAAATAAATAAAGATCGCCGATAGCGCATTGAAATTACTTTTTCCTGAGGGTTATTTGACATAAGATGTCAATAAAACAGCGACCTATTTGTAACTCGGCTTTTGTTCCCCAAGTCGGTTGGTGCGATGCTCTCAAAATGAGAATTAAATATTCGCGAGACTCTTAATGTCGGTTTTTCTCGTGTGTTTTCGTTATCCTATTTTGAAAAAGTTTAATCCCTTAGCTCTCAGGGATGATAAACATGTAGTTTCTCCCTTTGATATCCAAACGTTATCTGACAAAAGGGTGTTGAGAATACTAAAACTTATTAGGTAGAAGTTGTTATTTTGATCGAACACCAAATTCTCGTAACTAATGAATAAGGAAATGTGTAGCAGCTAAAAGGGAGAATTATCAATCAGATCTTGGGAGTTAAAGGGGTAATTACTAACAATCTTGTAATTTTGCATAATACTATGATGTAACATTGTGGTGCTAAAAATTCATTTTATAAAATATTTCATAATTAAGAGAGGATAAAGAGACAGAACTCATACCCCTTTCCGACGACGACTGTGTAAAAATAATTTTAGCGCGCGTTCCAGTGGCACGACTGTCTTGAGAGCCCAAGGCTAGTGGTTTGTTGTTTCGTGATACAGTTTGATGTGTAATGTTTGGTGGTTTGTGGTTTACGCAGCTGTTTTGGGGATGACACCTCGTTAATCAATTTTAGGAGGTGAAAACCTCTCTAAGCTAAGCCGTCCGAAACGCGAGCTGTGAAAGCGCTACCTTAGAGCTCTATACTAGAACCCTAGGTTTCTATTTTACCAACACTCTATAAGATAAGAGGCGTGGAGGAAGTTGTATTAGAGAGTTGCAGTCGTTTATACAGGCAAATTGCCTCTCGGGTTTTCAATTCATAATTTATTTGACAGAATACAGCGGGGGAACCGTGCATTTTAGATTCCTCTCTTAAATTGTTACGTTAGCTAGAATTTCGCGCATTTTCAGTTTGTCTCTTTGACTGTTACTTTACAATCACGCGTATTTTTAGTTTACTTTCTTAGATCTCGTGCATATTTTGTTATCTCTCTTTGATGGTAACGTTAGAATCTTGTGGATGTTTAGATTCCTCTCTTTGATTGTTACGTCAGAATTACGTTCATTGTTAGTTTCCTGTTTTTGACTGTTACGTTAGAAGTTTGTGCAGTTTTAGTTTATTCTCTTAACTTTGATTGTTATGTTACAATTTTGGCGCATTTTAGTTTCGTCTTTTTGATTTTTGCGTTTGAATCTTTTACATTTTATCGTTTCCACAGGGTCTTGATGTTAGTAGGCAAGTCAAGAATTTAAAGAAAGCGACAGAACTTTTGAGTCTGTAAAACATGTTTCGACAGAAACTTCTGTCATCCTCAGTTAATTACTGTACAAAGCGTTGAAAGTTTAATTATATGGTAAGTAGAACAATGCTAATTATGATGAATAGTGACAATAAGAAAAGAGGTAAAGCATGAAAGTGTGAGAATTAAAAGGATAGTTTTAGATTTATATGGTGTAATTGTTGATTCAAGGATAGTTGTTCCTTTGAATATTAATAGCCTCTTTTATCTTAAGTTGAAAGCCGGTAGTGGCGTGATCTAAAACATGGAAGTTATCTGCTTAACACAAAGCGCGACAATGTGGAGAATCTTTCAGATGCTTGAAAATGTGAGAGGCTCTGTCACTGACTAAGTGCTCTCCAACACCTAAGATAAAAGAGGCTATTCACATTCAAAGAGAACAACCATCCTTGAATCAACAATTACACCATGTAAATCTAAAACTATTCATCAGAATTAGCATTGTTCTACTTGCTATCTAATTCAACTTCCTACGCTTTGTACAGTAATTAACTGAAGATGACAGAAGTTTCTGTCGAAACATGTTTTACAGACTCAAAAGTTTTGTCGCTTTCTTTAAATTCTTTTACATTTTAGTTTTCACTCTTTCATCGTTACGTTAGTATATCTGTTGCATTTTTAGTTTCCTCTATTTGATTATTACTTCAGAATCGCACGCATTTTCAGTATCTTGTCTTTGATTGTTACGTTATCTTACGTATTTTCAGTTTCCTCTCTTTGATTGTTACGTTAGAGTCTCGTGCGTTTTTGTTTCCACGCTTTGATTGTTACGTTGGTATCTTGCGCATTTTTAGTTTCCTCTTTTCGATTGTTACATCAGAATCGCACGCATTTTCAGTATCTTGTCTTTGATTGTTACGTTGTTATCTTACGCATTTTCTGTTTCCTCTCTTTGATTTTTACGTTCAAGTTAGAGTCTTGTGCGTTTTTGTTTCCAGTCTTTGATTGTTACGTTTTTTTTAGTATCTCTTGCATTTTTAGTTTCCTCTCTTTGATTGTGATCCATTTCAGTTTCTTTCTTTGATAGGTTTTTAAGTATCCTGCACATTTTCATAATAAAGTTTCTTGCTATAGAATAAGTGTGGCTTGGCAAGTTTTTTGGCTTTACCATTAACTTTTAGGGTTATCTTCCGGGAATTTTTTTTGGTTATTGCTTGAGTTATTGCGTTCCAAAGACTTCTTCGTTTTATTTTCACACTTACGTTCGTATTTTTATCGCTTGCGTCTCTTTCGTATCTTCGAATTCTGAGGAGAATTCAGAAAATGTCATCAGGTCAAACGCGACCTACTCACACAGCGGCCTTTGAAACCTCTCCTCGTTGTTTCTTCCATGTATCTTTGCGAGTCTAGTTTGTAGTCTGGGAAACCTATGATGTTTCACGATGTTGTACTTGAACATCCCGAAATAGATGGACCCCTGTTTTGAAGAGGTTTGTTTTGGTTTTTGATGCGCTTAAACAGGTGTCCGTATCCCATTCAAAAACCTGATGTACTTTATTTCCAGGGTGGAGATTAACTACAAGATAGAATGCAGATCTTTTGGGGTTATCAACATTTCCTAAGAAGACTTAAATTTTGTTTACATCAAATTTGGTAAGAACCATGCATTTTAGATTCACTGAAGTCGCGTAAGAGTTAAAAGCGCATTAAATGGAAAATAAGAGTGTTTTAAACAGGGTGTAGCATTGCTGTGTCTACTTATTGAGTCAAGTTAAAGACCTTAAAATGGCTAAGTTGGCGACGATAATTGGAAACTTATGCCACTATAGGCTCGATTTTCGCCGCTTTCTCGTGCTCAGCCTTTGCTCTTCCCCGAGAGTGGGTTCAAGGAGAAGGGATGGGGAGAAGGAACAGCGCAGGCTCACGTTCACGAACAGCGACTGGTGATCAAGCTGAGGGCAACTGTTGAGGTGAGGCAACATTATGGTTGTAGAGATACTTCAATCACTATTCTGTAAAGAATAAGGAACCATTTTAAAACCCTGACACTGGAAAATTCAATTCAATACCACACTGTCACATTTTCCACTCAGACAAAAGGCAAGGAGACACATTTTGCCTTATTGAAATATATTTAAATTTTCTGTGCATTCATGAGGTGGGAGAAACACCTTTAAAAAAAATACCAAAAATAACCTAAAATGTGCTTTTTAAACACAAGGTTATGGTATTTTTTTCAAAGGGAAAGTAACAGTTCACTCGCATATGCAATAAAAAAAGCAAGGCAAAACAGAACAAAAAAAAGTTGAACAAGCCATTTCTACTTATGTACAAGATTGTGTCCTAACATAAATACTTTGCATGCATTGATATGCATTATGGGTAACAAAAAAATGTCTTACATGGTGAAAAATTTTTACATCCAAAATTCAGTTAAAAACTAATGTAAGTTGTAATTCTATGTGCTGATTTATGTTAGGCTTAAAACGTTCTGGACTAGTTTCATTATTTTTAACCTTATACATTTCTAAATTCTACATTCTAATCAAATGAAAAAATTATTAGCTAAAGCCGATAAATAAATACCCAAAAAGTGTAACTATCAGTGTTGCCAATTAGTAAACTTTGCTAGGTTTAAGTCTAAATTCTATCTGGAGAAGAGAATTGTGTTGCCGTCATAAAAACTAGAATACATGGAACATAAGCAAAAAGTACTATTAACAAGAGACATCAAAGTAATTTGTTGAACATATTTAAGCCTTGATGTTAACATTATCAAGTAAAACAATTTTCAATTTACTTTTTTCAACATTGTTTTTCCTTCAAACTAGTCTCTTTTAGAGATCAATTTTTTTTGGACAAGATGTTGATTATGTTATGACAAACAAGGATTAAATATGCATTTTAGAGTGCTCTGAGCCCAGCGACAAATTCACATAACATTTTTACACACTTAAGTTAGAAACTGTTCTTGTTATTTTTGAGACCATAATACAAGTTAATTCCAACTGGTACAATCTGGCCTTGAGGTCTACTTGCTGTTTGATTTGTCAGCTGGGCTCGGCAATTCCTCAGCGATCTGCCATTATTAACACAAATGCTATAATAGACAACGCCACAGTAGACCATCCTCCACCATATGACCAGCTGAAGAACACATCATCCTTCCAGTTGAAAAATGTGAAGACCAACAAAGCAATAACCACGAGAATGGCTACACGCAAAAATAGAGGAGATGGTTTAAGACAAAAATCAAAATCAAATTTTATAAGCCTTAAGGTGCTCCTTCATCATAAAAGTTAACACTTCAACTCCCAGAAGTGATTAAAATGTAACATCTCCCTTTAATATCCATACACTATCTAGCAAATGGGTAATGAAAATACTTAAACTTAGACAGGTAGAAGTTATCTTGATCTGTCACCAAATTCTCATAACTAATTAACAAGGGAATGATTAGAAGCTGGAGGGCAGAATTACTCAGATCTTGGGAGTTAAAGGGATAACAACAAGATCTAATGGTCATTGCATACCTGCTGCACAGAAGAATCCGCCTACAGTGAAGGATGGAAAAGGATGTCCCTTTCGTATTGCTGCCACAATGGCTATGATAAAAGCAATTAAATGGCAGATAAGGGCCAGAAACATCAAGGCAATCACAGCTCCATTCCAGTCTGAAAAACAGAAACAACATCCATCAGTACTCAAAACATTTTCATTCTTTGAGCTAGAGAGCCAGTAAATATTTCTGTCCCTTCCCAAGGATAACCATTTTGTTAACCCTTTAATTCTTAGAATTGATTAATTTTTAACTTCTCATTGCCATTCCAATACACGATCTTGAAAACAGGTTGTGAGGATAGCAAAGCTTGTCAGCAAGAGGTTGTTATCTTAATGCAACATAGAATTCTCCTGTATAATTTACAAGGAAACATCTAGCAGTCAGTTGGAAGAATAACTACTTGGATCTTGAGAGTTAAAGGGTTAAAGCTTATGACGGCAGGACATGATGGTGGTGTGGAGTAGATAAAGGTCCTAAGGTTGAATTCTGCTCTGCCTACCTGCTTGATTTTTTTTAAATTTCAGAGTCAACAGTCAACCTAATGAACCCCCATAGACGAATTTATTTACACAGAATCACAAAATGATAAAACAGATTTTGTAAATCATAACACAATCGTAAATAAAAAAAATATAAACTGCTGTTCATTTGTGTTAGGTTGCTATCAAGTAGCATGTGACTGAATATGTCTGAGCTAAAACTGGGATATGTCCAGTTTTTTTTTTTCATTATTATTTTCAAACAACACATCCAAAACCAGGGAGATCTCTGTTCAAAATGTACTTCAAGATTACAAAATGTTTGCTGTTGTTTCAGAAGAAGGGAAAATCTCTTTTCCTGATTAATTATAAGGCAGTGAATGTTTTTGACAGGAAAACATTTTTAAATATTTAGTCTCAAGAGGCACTAGACTGTTTCTAGAATAATAAAGATATCAGCTAGCCTCCAAATAGAAGGAAAATATATTTAATATATTTCCTTGCACATTATTTGCATGAGCATTTGTTGTTGGTCAGTTTTCCTTGAACTTCACTGTCTGTAATTTGTTTGCTTCTTGTCAGAGCATGTCTTAGTGCAAACTGAGGCTCCTGTTAAATTGAAATGTGTTGTATGTGATACTATGAACTATCACTGTTAATGTTCAGAATATTATTTGTTATGGCATCACTCGATGTATACTACTTTCTTTATAGTTGTAGGCAATTGCAGGATTCTGTAACAATCATATCTCTGTTTATTTTTAACGTAAATGCATATGTGCTTCCTCCATAAAATATTTTAGGCAAAAAAATCAACCCTGAAGTTTCTGAAAATCACACACTGACACATTCAATTAAAACAAGATCATTTGCTTCTGTAGAAGAACAATAAAGTGCGGTGGACAATTGTCCAATCAAATAAAATTTCTGGACAAGTTACCGAAGAAAAGGCATGTTACACTTAAACCACATAAAACTGGACTTAAAACGGATTATGCTGTTTTTTCAAGATTTCTTAAAATCATACTAGAAACCTATAAATATTTAACTTAGCAGTTACAAGCTGTTCTGCCTTTACTCAAATGCTTCACCCTTACAACAGTGCTAGTGGCAAATTAAAACTTGATCAATTTAGCAACATTGACTTGAAAGTCCCAGGAAACAGAAAAATTAAAATCCTCCTGTTGCAAATCATATCTCTTGTACCTTTAGATTATTTATTGACAAGAATCACCGCTATTTGCGGAAAATTCCAGAACATGCTTGTATTCTAAGAAAGGAGTATGTTTAATGTGTTATATAGAAGCTTTAGGCAATAATTTAAAGGTAGCTTGTGACATTAAACTAAAATTCGAAACATAAAAGTTTTTTTGAACAACAAAGATTGTTACAAAGACTCAAAAACCCTTAGAATATGTATAAGAACGGTTCAGAATTAGAATAATTATTCAAAACAACTGGTTGTAATTGGTATGAGTTAAAGTTTCGAGCCGTAATCAATCTCTAAACTCCACGTTAATAGAAATTTGTCATTGACAAAAGTTAGTCTGTAAAGTCAATTTGATGATACAGAGATCTTTGTCAAGTTGAGAGTCTATAAGCAAACTTTATGTCCTGACAATCAGTCAGGTAATGAACAAAGCAGATGTAAACAAGACACGCAAATATTTTTCCTTTGACATACTATAGATACCAAATGAGAAAAAGATGTACCTGGTCTTCCCAAATCGTGTAATTTAGTGCAGCTATCTGCGGCAACAACAGTGTTGTTGATCGAGGATTCAGAACAAGTTTGAAACAGGCCTTCATGATGGTATTGTACACCTCCGATTTCCTTCGCTTCTTTCCACCACACTAGCCAAAAGTCGGTGGCAAGGGCCAAAATTCCCAACAGAATTGCAGCTAAACAGCTCACAAAGCTTGTTATGACTTTGATCATTGTTTAGTATTAACGCGTGCTCTCTCAGAGCTTCGCTTTCCCAAGAACGAAGTCACAGGGTGTGCCGATGGAAATTTGAAAAGAATCTTTACGTAGCGTTCTGCTTGATTACAATGCATACTTTCATTTATGTTCGCTTCACTTCACGCATAATATTTTACATACGTATGATTTTAGAAATTACTGCGCAGTGGTTCACTAGTTACAATTATTAGTAACTTTTTTCTGGCTATCTCACAGAAATCAAATGAAAGAAATCGTCACTGACAGATAGTTTCGTCGATCGCTGCTCCTTTCGGTTGTGGAGTAAAACACAAGTGACTAGAAAAACCTGTATGACGCCTACTTCACACTAGTAACCATTTTCAAATGCTTACAAATCAACTGCTCACCTGATTTCAGTACATCTTGGAGCGTGTGCTTATCATTGGAACAGTCAGATTCCGCGCTTATGAGTTCGTCTGTAACGTTATCCCTTGATTCCCAACAATGTCTGAATAAACCTCGGTAATGAGTGATGTTTCTGTTGTGTGAAACTATCACCCACTGCAGCCAGTAGGTCGTGGCTAAGCTCAAAATGATCATCAGCATCGCTGCAAAGGCGCAGACAACCGACGCTATGACTTTGATCATGATAACACGTTTGTTGTAGCGACAGATCGGAACAGAATTTCTGAAAATCGTTCGAATCTGTTATACAGAACTGCCGTGTAAACTGAAACTGAACTCCGCTAGGATTTGTGGGTATGACATTAATATGCGCGAACGGCGCGCGGCTCGTGCGGGTATCATGCGAGTTTACGCGCGGATGCGTGCGGGTACGTAAGCCAGGATCACGCTCGTGTGACGGTGGAAAAAAGCAAATATATAATTGTTGAACTCTGACCTCGGTTTGCTTCCAGAGTGGATTTCTCTGACATAGAATATTCAGTGAAGATCTGGTAAGTCATCTAGGGAAAATTGGACTCTTTTTCTCTTACTTATGAATAATTTATTTCATGGGACGATTTAGGAAAAGAAACTCGGACAGACCTTTTTATTTCAAGTGGAAAGCAGCGAACGTGCCTCGCTCTTTGATGGATCTGTGCGATTCTAGAATTTATCAATTTCTTGACACGCATCAAAACTTAGAAGTTCCTTTTGCAAGCTATAAAGCTTCACCAGTCAATTTTTCTCCATTTGACATTTTTTCCACTGGAAACAGAAAAAAACGAAGTTCTCTTTATTCTCATCTTTTTAGTTTTCAAGAAATTGGAGGTCCCTACTCGGTGCGTGATCAGTAAAATTACGTCATTGCTTATTCTGATCGATTGCTGTTTTCTCATGGGCAAAATAACACGACCGTTGACAAGCCTCTCGATTGTTGTTACGTTATGTAAGGAGATAAGTTCAAAGGAAACTGTACACCTTTTCTCCTGCCTTTCTTAGTGATCTGCTTCTTGGCATAGTAGTAAATAAACCTTCTCGTCGCAATATGCGAAATAAATCGATCTTCTCCACGTCTTCCTCGCCGGAATGGACTGGAACAGTGAATTCTGATAAAAAGGTTAGTAGTTATTTTTAAAATTTTCAGGTCTAAACGAAACATTTCACGTGCACCTTAACGACGTGAGGTCAGCTAAGCTTATTGCTGGTGGTGGATGCAATGATCGAGGATCGTTTTATTGGTTAAGACTCTTTTAGAGTTGAATGCTCGTTCACCTTCAGCCTCGCTGGTCCTAGCGATCGTACGTACTTCATGTTTCTTCAAAGGTCACGAGAAATAAACTTGAGACCATGTACTAAATTCAGGCTGCGTGGTTGCGTAACGGTGTGTACAAAAAACTGAATCATTTTCGCTCAAACTGTTTTGCAAATTTAAAAGGCGAGGCATAAGATCTACTTTCGTCGCGTTTCAATACGGTTGAATTTGTAGGCCTTAGCGATCTTCGAGTTTTTGCGTGCTTATGTGTCGTACGGGAGGTGAGGGGGCGGTTTCGAACTTCCAGAACTTTATGTCAAAGCAACATGAGATTTCTACGGCATGAAGTCGAATCCTGTTTTTTGTCTCTTCAAAGCAGCAATTTGCGTTTGCGAAGTATTAAACGGGTCAATTTGTGCCCATATTTTGTAATTTTTGAAATTTCCAAGTCCATCTACCTGGGTGGACAATCAACATTAAAAAAAATAATTTGTGACAGGAAATGGTCGTGATCACCCTTCTAAATCTATTTATGTACAGGAATCTGCGAGACAATGTTCTGAAAATAGATAAATGATTGGATGATAAATTTGCCCGGAAAAAGGAAAAGGTTCTAATAAAAGCAAGTTAGTTGTTTCTGTTCCAGTCAGAGCAAAATTGAGAGAACCGATTCAATCTGGTTGACAATTGTTTTTACCATATGACCTATTGATAAAGTTGCAATTCCCTAATCTCTTTTTCAGTGTCTTAATTTTTTTTTCAATGCGTTTAATTTTATTTGCTGATCTTTTTCCCACTTATTTTCGATCGTTTAGATGGCCAGCGCTTTGGATATTCACCGTGGCAGTAGTGAGTCTGTGAGTGTTCCCATTTTGAGAGCAACTGAAGTGGGTGAAAGATGGCCAGTATTATTGTGGTTCTACTTGAAGACATTGGGGCTTTATCATTCTGGTAAAGGCATAACTTCCCTTTTTATCTTTAAATCAACTTAAAGCCTTCCATAGTAAGGTTTAAGTTTCCTTCTTCTTGAAATATTTATGAAATATTTCTTGTTTTTATAATTAATGCTATTAATATTCTATTGCATTCTTCAAACTTTATTTTTGCCAAGTTTTTCTGTTCTCAGATGTTTGGCATAAAATACCAAAGATGTTTCCTGATAAGTGTCATTCCATTTAAACATACGAAATTAACTTTTTTGAGCTGTACGTTTATGTTTCCTGTTTCTTAAAAAATAGCTGTTATTTGGTTTCCTTAACTTGTTAATTGTCATCTGACTAGTAATTCTCCTATTACCTTCAATAATAATATCCTGTAGATTAGTTGAGAGAATGTAATATTATCCAAAAAATAGTGTCCTTCAAACATTAAATATTTCTATTCTAATCACTTTGTTTTCAGGATAATATAGATTAGTGAGGGAGAAGTTGCTTGTAAATCATTTTATTACCAACATAGTTATACACTTAAGGTCAACATGTGAATTATTAATCATTGTTGCGTGCTCTGAATACAACAGAATGCCTTGTCAGTCATGTCATGGGTTCCATGTTTATTTTGATACCGTTGTGTTATATCTGATTTATCTTTCTCCCTTCAGGTTTTCTGGTTCGTTCCAAACTATGCAACAGATGTGCAAAGTCAAAGACACACACTGCCCTCTACTACACAGATAATCAGTGTAAGGTGTGTGACAGCCTGACTTGGGATTACAAGGGTGTGCCAACTGTTGTCACTGATAATGAAATAGGCTCATCATTTCTGAACCACTGTGGTAGTGGATTTCTTTCACTGATGTGGCTCCTGCTTATAACTGGTATCACATTGGCTAACATTGTGCTGTTGATTGCAAGGTATGCAAATTCTGGCTGTGATATTGTTCATGTGCTTGCTTGGATTGGAATGAAGCTGTTGCTCTACATTGGACCATTCATATGTTTCGTTTCTGTTGTCCACGCCACATGGCCAAGTGTATTCATGGGGAGCTGGTCAAATGCATTGGCTGTAGAGTTCCTTGTCCACCGGATGAGATTTGTCAACATGAAGGATAAGCAGTTTGCTGGTTATGCCCTCTTTCTTGGAAGTGTTGTTGTGATGGGCACCCAGTGCCTGAAGATAACAGCACCATATTTTGACCCAGAGCTGGTCTCACCCATGGTTGCTAATGAAACACTTTCTAGTCTAACAACCTTAGTTCCTCTTCACTTTTTTGTCATTGTAGAAGGTTACATTAATTTTGGTGGATTTTGCTACATAGTGTACCTTCTGCGTTGCAGCTATGAGTCGGAAATCAAACTGGTAACAAAGTTTCTTAGAGAAAATATTGACAATATTGATTTGTGCAGAGCTCGTTTGGCTGAAGCATTTGATGCCTACCATATATTCCGTGAATTTTCGTCAGGTTGGATTGCACTGAACCTAATTTTGTGCACAGTCTGTCTTTTCCTGGAGTTGCATGTGTGGATTGTGAAGACTGATCCACTTTCCGTTTTTCAATATGTGCATTCATTTCTGTTACTCTTCTTTTTAATGCTGCCAATCATCTCTCTTGGTAATGTTGATGTTGATTACTTGTGGAATCGCTTGGTTCGCCAAGTCAGTCGTCAGAGGAAGTCAGAGCAAGAAGATTCCTGGGATAAAATTATGCAGTTTCTTCAGGAACAGCGTGCTGGTGCACGTCCCTGGCAAGCCGTTTTGGCATTCTTCTTGTCAACTATTGCAGTTTTCTCTGCCATTCAGTTCAGACTGTGGTCAAACAATCAGAAAATCAATGTATATACAATGACAAATGGCAGTTTATCCTTAATGCAGCAATCTCATTACTCATGAAATTCAATTTTCAAATGGCATTTTTTTGCAATGTTTGATGCAAATACAATGGTTTTATACTGATCACATTCTTGGTAAGATTACTGGACAGTTAGATTTTTTAATTGTTTATTAATCGGAGGGGATATTTTTATTTGTTCAAAGAAATGATTGGGGCTGGAATGAAATGTACTCTTGAGGAGTTAGAGTCATGAGATAAATGTCACCTTTTCAAATTGTTGGGACTTTTTAACTACCGGTAATAACAATGAAGATTTGCTTGGATGGACATAAAATTATAAGGATGTATCAGTAATGAGTATTTTGGAGAACTTGTTGTCTTTCATATCCTGTTCTTCAGTTAACCCACTAACTCCCAAGATCTGATTGTTGATTCTCCCCTCTTGCTTCTACTCATTCCCTAGTAAATTGGTTACAAGAGTTTGGTGATAGATCAAGGGATAACTTCTACTGGATAAGTTTGAGTAGTCTCATTACCTGTTTGCTCAATAATGTCTGGATATTTTATAGAGAAGTTATTTGTTAATCACTTCTGGGAGTTAAAGGGTTAAGTAAATAAAAACTAGGAATTGTAAGAATTGGACAATAAAAACTTCAAGTCAATTTTTCAGATTATGTTTATTGAACTTTGTGGTCTGTTGAATTAAAAATTTTAAATTAGAATTTTCCTGCAGAATGCTCAATATAAACAGCTGAAAATTTCTTGGCTTTGTTATTATTATGTTACACAATCATAAACCTTCCATATCTTTTCTAGTAAATTGTGCAATCTTTTACTTTTGATTAAATATTAAATAAAAGTTTATTCACAATGGATACTTCTCACATTAACATATTGAAATTCTCTACCCATCCATGTTATTACCTTTTTTTTCATTCTAATAACTTCTACTTACTATGTATATCAAAATATTTCCATCCCTATCAGGGATGGATCTACAACAAATTATACAGTAGAACCTCCCAAGGAAAACAAAATTGTTTGAGTTAGCAGAATTTCAAGCTAACAGGAAATGACTGAAAAATGGGATCAAGGGAGATTGGATCTTTTTTGAGTTAGTGGGGAACAAAAAATTGGTTGAGTTAGTGCAGATTTGAGTAAGCTGATAGTAAATTACCCAAAAAATAGTTAGAAGGAAATCAGATCTTGTTTGAGTAACTGGGCGGTTTGAGTTCACTAAGTTTGAGTTAGTGGGGTTCCACTTGTACTATGTGGTGGAGATGTACATTAATGGAGTGATTTTGTTTGCATTTAATAAGTTCTTACAATACTGGTAAACAATTAAATAAATTTTGAGTGAGAAATTTTGAAATATATTTTGTGCCTTGCAAAGCTGTCAAGGAGTTGAGTGTATCCCATAACCTCTAATAATAACACATTTGTCATTGATGTTAGGGGAGTCCTTGCTATGTAAAGAAAACAAATTTTGCAGCTATTGATCAATTCAAACTTACTTTCCTGCTGCCCAAAGTTGGATAAAACCTTGCAACAGCAAACACAATCACAATATTAAGTTAAATAAGCCAAGAGTACTTTGATAAATTGATTAACTTATCTATTATGTTTTCAAAGTCATCCTAAATATTAAAGCTTATCTTTAAATACTTCAAAGGCTCAGTGGAAAAACTACTGATGTAAATTTCTGTACATTCCCCCCACCCCACCCCTCCTAAATTGCCTCAGTTTTCCTGGCATGTGGCCTGCAACTTAGTAGAAAAACAATGTCCAGCAATTTGCTTTTCATTTTCTCAAACTTGGGTTTTTGTTTGTTTGTTTGTTTTTCTGTAGACTAAAAGTGTCCATCAGGTTTAGTGAACACAGGTTCCCCTTGGTTCTTTCAATTAATGTTTACTACTAATCTTAGTCTTCATCCCCAATTTCAGTGATACAGAAAAGTTTCTGTTTTAGTCCTGTAACTCTGCTGCTACCTCCGCTGCCTCCTGTCCCAGTCTCTATCCTGTCCTCTTGCCATTGGATAGTGGCTTCTACCCCCACCCCTACCACCATGTCCTTGATGCTGTCTCGGGCTTTCCTCATCAGAATATTGTTCCAGGTCTGCAGACTCTTCCTCAGGATAATCAGGAGATTGTTGGTTCCACTTTGCATTACTGACACCTTTATTTTTTGTCATTTTCTCTGAATATGATCCTTGCTGCAATCTGGTGCTCTGGGTTGGGAAATTGCGTCTAGGACTTCTTCCCCCAGGTTTAGGATCATCCATTGGGTGACTGAGATGTGTCTTTCTTGTTGGATGCATTTGATTGGGAGGTTCCTCATCAGCATACCTGTCTTCAATGGGCTGTTGCCGCCTTATTACTTGTTTGCCTCTTGCTGCATTAGTATAGCGTTTATTATAGTCATTGTTCTCTTGCTCTTCAGCACTATAATCAGAATGGTAGCTCTCATTGTCTGAAAGTCTTCGTCTTTCCTTTGGACGCCCACCAGTCAGGACCATGTTGTTTTCCATGCCATACTCCTCCTCCTCCTGAAAGACAGGAACCTTTCCCTCTACTGACCACTGAAGAATACAGAAATCACGACTGCCAGTTGTTATGAGGTAGGTGTCTGATGATAGGAAGAGCATCCGTGTGACAGGACAGCTATGACCTCGCCACTGGTGATAGTGAGCCTACAAAAAAAATCATAAATAAACAATAATAATACTGACAAGTGTTATTGGCCTGGCCCCGGTTGTTCGAAAGCCGATTAGCGCTAACCCACGATTAAATCGCCCTAACCCAAGAATAAAATTTAACCTACGATTAGTTTCTGTTCCTGAAAGCGCGATTAGCACTATCCCAGGGTTAAAATAAAGGTTAACTTTAACACACCTAGCGACGTGGATTAACTCACTAATCGAGGGAAAACTTTCCCCAAACAAAACAAAATGGCCGACTTATTACTTGGCGGATTAGGCTTGATGCCGGCCCCAAGAAGGAAAGAAAGGACATTTAGGCTACCAGACGACTTTTCCCTGTCCAATTTTACTGATGAAGAATTGAGAAGTCGATATCGTTTTTGGCCGAGAGTCCATAGAATTTTTATCTGAGCTCCTTCGCGACGATCTTGAAAGAGATACATCTCGAAACCATGCTTTGTCGACAACTGTGCAAGTCCTTGTAGCGTTGCGCTTTTTTTCGCCTCCGGAAGCTTTCTTCAAGTTATTGGAGATACTCTGGGCCTGTCAAAGTCATCCGTGTCCCGTATAATCGGTCAAGTTTCGCTTGCCCTTGCACAGAAACAAAGAAACTTCATCAAGTGGCCATCGACCGAAGAGGAGATACTTCAAAACAAACGCGGTTTTTTACCAAGGGGGATTTCCTGGGGTGATTGGCTGTGTTGACGGCACCCACATCAAGATTCAGGCACCACATGAAAACGAAAACGATTTTGTCAATCGTAAAGGGTTCCATTCCATAAATGTGCAAGCAATTTGCAATCACAAAGGTAGGTAAAATACTCAAATGTCACAATTAGTGTTCTATAAAATTGCAAAATAACCTTTGGCAGGGAGGGTACTCCCCTTATAGAAGGTTTTAGATTGAGATTTCTAGCACATCAGCTGCTATGGGGTTGCATTGTTGGGAGTTACTAGATTGCAGTTTCACATATTCAGGAAATGGGAGTAGTGATAAAATTTTTTTTTTTAAAATATTTTTGAGTCAAATGGTATAGGTGGAGTTTGGTTTGCAAACACACATACAGAAAATTTACCAAAATTATCACACCAATATTTTAGTGACAGTATAAAAAAGTAAAAAACAAGGGAAAAAAGCAAGAAATAATGTGGGATATTTGTGAATATATTGCTCAGCTAATGACCAACAGAGTGCAACAATCAGCAGGGATTTCAAAATGATGCAGTCTCCCAAATTTCAAAAAACAAATTAAACAATGAAAAGGTTTTCCAAGTAAACTTAATATTTGTATCAGTTACCCCAGTTCATCATAGACACAATTATTGTTGTTCCTCTTTGCAGTACATTATTGTTATAAACTGAGATGAGATTTTCTACATCATAGGTAAGAACTGGTCACATAACTTCTTTGCTGTTTTATTTTAGGCATGTTTACCAACATTGTAGCACGATGGCCAGGCAGCACCCATGACAGCTTCATATTTAGGGATTCAAGAATTGGCCAACAACTTAACATCCAACACCAGTCCCTGGAAGATGGTTTACTGTTGGGTGACAGTGGTTACCCTTGCAAGCCGTACCTGATGACCCCTTACCTGAATCCAGTCACTGACAAGCAGCAAGAGTTCAACAGTGCCCACAAAAGAACAAGAGTGGCAATAGAACAAGCCTTTGGCTGGTGGAAGGAAGGTTCCATCTGCTTCATTCTGAGATCAGAATGAAGCCAGAAAAAAGTGTCCATCATTATCGGAGCATGTGCAGTTTTACATAACATTGCAATTCTGAGAAAGGAACCTTTGGATGGCTATGCTGAGGCTGATGATCAACCTAATCTTGTTTGCTTCCGGGGTCCAGAGGATGGCAAGGTCATCCGAGACCACATCTGCAACACCTTTTTCTGACAATTTTTAATTTTTGTATTTCTGCCTTATGCAATCAGTTTTGCTCTTAATTTAACTTCCCATAAAATATAAAAAATTCATATATGCATTTAAGGGGTTTCTGGTTGAAAAAAACACATTAAAATAAGTTTGACTCAAGAATCTGTTTTATTACATTAAAATACATTTTGAGAACAAAATACATTGTGTATGTTTTATAATAAATTATACGAGAACAACATTTGCCCAAAATATTTCTTTAAGAGGACTTATTACACTATTCCTCCTTTAAAATGAATCGGTGTTGGGAACTACAAAATTTGCATTTAATGCAGTTGCGAAGGTTTGGTTTGCATTGACCTGTTGCTCCAGAAGATGAATTTGCATTTTCAATTTTTGTTTTTAAGATTCAACATTTCCTTCTGAGTACACAGGCATTCGTACTGCATTTTTAAAACATCGCCATTACTTATCCTTTTTGAAGGCTTCCTCTGTTCATCAACCTTGGCTGGTGAAGAATGCATGTCTTCATTAAGGCTCAGACAGTCTTCTTCAAACACAGTCTTCGCAGACTCTGCTGGTAAATGAGCATCTTCTCCTACAAAATATTTCAAGCACAATTAAGGTTTCACTCAGGCTCAAAAAGTGTGAATTTAGTTTTATGCATGACATAAATGAAATAACAGAAGGAGCATCTCTCCCGCAAGGAATCTGAGGCTTAAACATGTAAAAAATAAATTATTCAATTTCATAAAATGAATTTGTGTACTGGTAGACTTAACTCAGTGAAATCATTCACGAAAATGCTTATAAAATCTGTAAATCATGTACCAAAAGTTAAGCTTATTTTAGACAGATAAAGGGGAATCAGAGCGAATCGACAACGAGAACCGTACCACAGTTTAGTGATCGAAAAAATAGGACATGATAACAGGTACAACAACAAATTATTTCGTCAATCACAAACATAAACAAAGTTGCGTCAAAACGAAATAATAAAAATTAGTTATTTACACATGTAAATAGCCGATCGTAAATATTTGAAGAACATTCCTTAGTACAAGATAAATAAAGAAATAATAGGAGCACTTTGTCTTTGGCAAAACGAATTTTAACCGAATTATAAACCGTATCCGAGACATTCTTCGAAATCAAAGGTTTTTGTCTCACTCATCAGATCGCTTTCCAAAATCACGGAGCTATGCAATCTTCTACATATGAATTAATCAAGTGAAGCTGAAATTTATATATATGTCTGCTAAATTACTGACAGTCCGTCATGAGCGTTCGTCTATATTCAGCTTAAACAGGGTTTAATCGAATGCAACCCTATAAATGCCGCAAAAGCAGCAAACCGGTTTGGAGTTCTCCGTAGCAGCCTTCGCTTAGTGAAGTACACTCATGAAATGTGACGGGATAATAAACTAAACAAGGTAAAACTTGATTAATACAGTTACGGATATTGGAAAAAAAAACATGCAAACTTATCTTTTCCTCCCTTGTGTCCGAACATTTCGTATGCTCAAAGACGGGAAAGCGATTGATAAGCTGAAAACCCCGCCGAAACAACATGGCCGGTTGACTGTCTACAATTTTAAAACTTTTGGTAACCTAGAAACAATAGAGAATTGTTTACAAACCTGTCTCAAAGCCAATCAAACCGCTGAACGCCGGCGTGTCCTCAAGCACCTCAATAATCTCTTTGCTGGCAACACTCGGCGACTTTGGAGGCCGACCACCTCCAGTTATCTTGGTCTCCCTCTTGAATTCTGCAAATTCTTTCTTGGCGATGCTATGGAGATTTTTCCACTTGTCTTTTTACCTCCGTGACTGTTCGCTTGGCTGTTCCGACCGCATTTACCGCTTGGGTTATTTCTTCCCATAGCATTTGTTTTTTTTGTTGGTCACAGCATTCGTTAATTTGGATTGGATTAAATCGAGATTTTTTTTTTGACATTATCGGTGATGACTTCAATCTCATAAACTGAAAAATTATGCTTTCTTTTTCTATCTTTCGTTTGGTTTCCACTTCCATGTGCACTCTCCCTTTCCGCCATTTTTTCCCTCCAATTTTTTTTCGCGCGTAGCCGCGTAGCTCTTAATAACCGGTTTGACTGGTTTAACCTCAGCTTAATCGTGGGATAGTTAATCAAGGGATAAATCTGCTTTCAGGAACGTTATTTTAAACCTAGATTAGCTATCTTTGGGATAAGAATATTAATCGTCGATTAACCTCTAATCGAGGGATAATTTAATCGGCTTTCGAACAACCGGGGCCAGGTGAGATGGTATTGAAAAGGGGTTGTCAGTGACAGGGACTAAAATTTCAATAACATGTGATTGGATAGAAGTCTTCATTTAAGTCAAGTGTTGAGTCTGGTTTTTGATAACTACTGATTTTCAATTAGTTGAAATAAAATGTTGTACAAGCATCAATTAGTGTCTCCAACACAGCCTTTTTTTGGACTACCCTTATAATTAAGCAGGTAATCACATGAAATCATTGAATGTTACTCCACCTGTTAACTAGATAACAGCAATTTCACTTTTATTCATAAAAATTATAATAATTACAAGGAAAAAGAAATACTAACATCATGATAAAATACAATACACATATAGAAATACGCCAAGTCTTATTTTGATCTAGACTTTGAATTTATCCTCATCTTGTACGAGTCTTCAACATCGTAGTTAAACTTTACGGTTACAAGGACTTCAATAAATGACTTATTACTCACCCCTGGTTGACTGCATGGGAATCTAAACAGACGGATATATCCCAACTCATCTCCTACAGCAAAAATATCACGTGACCATGACAGGTCAGAACTATTCACTAAATTTCCATCATCTGGTTGAGGAGGCCACACTCCTGCATAAGTAAGTGATGAAAGATATAGGAGTTATCATGAAAAAAATGTTTCAACTGTTAAAGAATGTTCTCTACAGCTGTCAAAAATTTGCCAGCCATTGGTGTAGAGTTTCATAAACTTAAAAGAGGTATCATTCCTTGGATCTTTGTACATTACAATAATTCTCTTTATTAATGGTTTGTACTAGCATTTTGTCACATTTTCAGAGCAGTAAACTGAACTATGTTATTGATAAATATCTTTGTCGTTTTGCCTTTCCAAAGTTATACACTTTACCTGAGACATTGGATTGGCTTTGACTTAAGACCTCCTGTTCTTACCATCTGTGTAGTCTAATATGAAGGCTAGGAAAATGGTAAAATTTTTCTCACAATTTCACATTTCTCATCCAGCACCCACTTTCCCCATTTCATACCTGCTACATCATATCCTAACATGACATTTCTTGTGGACCAATCAATATCGCGGATAACATCTTGTGACTCTTCTCTCAGAAATCCACCAATCTCCCCTGAAAAAGAGGATTAGAAGCACATTAACCGAGGTATAAAGTTAATTCTCCCAACTGAGTATGGTAAATTTCTTTGTTATTCAATCAAGCTGATATTCCCTCAGTGATATTATTTTCATTTTCTTTATCCACTTGAATGAAGGTTAATTGGACAGTCACTTTAGGAAGGACTGGCAGATGAAGTTTCTTTAATTCCACAAGATTTATGCTGAGCAACATTCACTTTCGCATTGGTAAGAGGAGGAACAGAAAAACATTTTTAATTGCCACAGCAAAAGTTTGAAACACCATGGTGGGAGTTTACACCACCATGGTAAAGGTGAGGTGTATATTATAGATAAACTTGATTCACTTACAAACAATGTGTTCGTAGTCAACAGACAAACTCTGAAGGAAGCAGCCATCAAGAGACCAATCCAGAAACATAATTGGTTCGCTATGCCCCTGTTGGGAGAGAGAGAGAGAGAGATGATTGGATTCTTCCCAATAAAATTCAAATGCTTTTCTTTCAGAAAATAACAACTATAATTTACAGCTAACTACAAATTGAAATTTTGAACATCTTTTTGGTCAACTTGCCCTTCACCAGTTGGTCTGATGAAGGGCTAAAGCTTGAAATGTCAGCTTCAGAACTCTTTATGTGGCCAATTTATATCATCAACTCAGTTGGTAATGATAAATTACATCTGACTTGAGTGTGTATGGACTTACCGAACATGTGCCAACTCTCCTGTAAGTTGTACCCTCATCATAGACTGCATGAACAGAAATATTGCCATCCTGAGAGGCAATAGCAATGTGCTCTCCATCTGATAAAAAGTCAAACAGTTTTACTTTTATTTATTAAGTTAAACATGTTTCATCATTCAGGATCATTACTGAAGTTCCATGACCTCACATTTGTCACTCATTTCATATCCAAAAAGAGTTATTGAAATAATGTTGTTCTACTGAAGATGATTAAGAATAGTGCTTTCAGTTAATTACACTTTAGCTACATGAAAATTTATCTTAGTCCATAAAATACTAGTGAGCAGAGAATTAAGTCAATCCTATTCCTAGTTAAAGAGCTTAGAAATTAAACCAGCCTCTATCACAAAACAAACTAAGAAACTTCTCCAAACATCAAGTTCTTAACCCTCTAACTCCCAAGACCTGATTGACAATTCTCCCCTCTAGCTGCTACTCATATCCCTGTAAATCTGTTACTGTATGAGTATTTGGTGTTAGATCATGATAACAACTCCTACCTGATAAGTTTGAGTATTCTCATTACTTGTTTACTGGATAATATATGGATATTATAGGAAGAAGTTACATGTTGATCACTTCTGGTAGCTAAAGGTTTAAAGCAATAAACTCACGTGGATTGGTGCGGCCATGATATGTTTTAGTCAGGTGAAAAGTAACCATACCTTTAGCATATTCCAGATCAGGTAGAGGGTCTGTTCCATCTTGGAATGAAGCAATGTGCATACCTGATTCACACGACACCACAATCCACCTGAAAAAGTTGAAAATTTGGTGATTAAGCAGTTTCTAAATAACAACCAAAAAGTCTAATTTTACTCTAACTTATACCTTCCCACAGTTGTTCCCAAAGCTAACACATCACCAGTGGAATAGAAAGCTGCTGATTTGACAGGAAACTAGAATAAAGGAAATCAAAATTAATAATTCATTCAGTGCTTGAGATCTTCAACTGTTGATAGTCCACATGTCTGAAAAAGGTAATTGATCTAAAGGTTTAATCTAAACACAAGCTGAAAGGCCTATCCATCTGGTGCTTATCCTAGTTCTACAGCACTACGCACAGTTTGTTTAATTCCTCTGGAGAGATTTTAGTCCATCACAAGTTTTGCACCCTCTCCCCTTCTGCCCTGCATTTCATCAGCTTTCATCAAAAGAGCACTAATACCCATTTACACTCCTGAGAAAAGAGAGTAGTAGGGATAGTCAAGTGTAGTCTAAACTTCTAAGATCTAATGGCAGCTCATTCCAGAGTTTAGGTGCAGCAACGGAAAAGGCCTTGTCTCCGTATGTTTTAAGTCTTGACTTTGGAGCCGCCAGAAATTTTTGATCAGTAGAGTGTAGCGTACGTGAACATCTACATAACTAAGTAATTCCATGATATATAATGGTGCCATACCATTTAGGGCCTTATAAACTAACAATAAAACTTTAAAAAGAATCTGAAAGTGAACAGGTAACCAATGCAGTTGAATCAATACAGGGGTGATATGATCAAATTTCTTGGTTAAAGTAACGATGCGAGCAGCCGTGTTTTGCACAGACTGCAAACTACTTATCATATGCTTAGGGAGGCCATACAATAAAGAGTTACAATAATCTAGTTTTGAACTAACAAATGCATGAACAAGAATTTCTGTAGTTTCCTCAGTGAGGTACTTCCTAATTTTAGAAATGTTGATTAATTGATCCAATACCAAAATTGATCCAATACCAAATTCTCCAAACAATGTAAGTATAAAATCATATGAATTGTGTGGCAGACAGTTTGGAGAATGAGAAGGGAGTGAAAAGGTTCAAACAAAAGTTACTAACTCTTACTTAACCCTTTAACTCCCAAGATCTGATTGTTAATTCTCTCCTCTAGCTGCTACTCATTTACTTGTGAATTAGTCACAGGAATTTGGTGGTAGATCAAGACAACAACTTCTGCCAGATAAGTTTAAGTATTTTCATTACCTGCTTGCTGGATAATGTGTGATATTATGGGGAGAACTTGTTAATCACTTCTAGGAATTAAAGGAATAAACATGGCTCAAGCAGAAACTGTGATAGCTTACCTCCACACTGATCGTCCAAATAACCTGATGAGTTTCAGCATCCCACAAAGAGACTGTGTGGTCAAGAGATGCACTGATAAACTGTGTTTCATTAGGATGTACAGCTAGGGCATGAACTTCATCCTTATGACTCTACATGAAGATATAAAAGCTGTTGTTAAGCTCTAGATCTTTTCCACATGAACAAGGCATTGCAAATGAAAAAATCTCCATTATGGTATTTTTGATCTTCTGCAATTGCAGTCCATGAATTATTTTTGCTGTGTGTGATTGGTCTAAAACTGTCGTAAAAGGTAAACAAGAAAAGTGCCTGTACATTTAACAATTTGATAAATGACAAGTTAGATAATTATTGGTTTTTCACAACAGCTATATCTAGTACACTGGGAAATTTTTCTGTGATCAGTGCCAAGAGTATCACCTGCTTGAAATGCATGAATAGAGAGCCTGAGGAATTTGTGCAGAGCAACTTGAAAAAAGACTGGCTCCTATATAGATGTAAACCTCAAATATTGCACAAGGAAAGCAATTTCAAGGGACCACACATTCTGCATATTGATACTAGTGTCTCCATTTTTCTGAGATTTATCAATGGCAAATCAGTAATACCTAAAAAGGGTTTTGTTTCATACCTGAACAATTGGATGAAAGGTAGTATTCAGAGAGCCCTCTACAACATCATTACTTGTCACTCCAAGAATAACACTGATGTCATCTCCATGGCCTGAATGCAATGGTTCAATAGCACAGATTCCCCCAAAATTGCTATCAAGCTGAGAAATAACACCAAAATATTTTTAAGCTAGTAACATTTAATATAAGCCCCACATGCTCTTCTAGTGATGACAGTAATGTTATTCCTATGAAAGAACAACATCTTGGATAGAAAGTGTTTTCCTCACCTGAATTTCGTGTAGTGGTGTATTAAAATATTTGTTAGCATCCCAAGCTTCAAGTCTGCCATCCAAGCCACCACTTAACAGAGTCCCATTTTCAAGTAACCTTAGACTTAGAATACTTTTCTGCAGATAAAAATGAAAAATACAACCTTAAGTTTTTGTATTGACAGTACTGTTATTTATGAATGAATGAAGGAAAGGATTCCTTGGACAGAAGCAGAAAGAAAAAGAAGCAACCAAAAAAGGAAGAAAAGAAGGACAAGAGAACAGAAAAATAGAATCAATAATGAAAAGAAAGTGGAAAAAAGGTAACAGGGAGGGAAGATGGAAGATGGATGATCTGGATAGCAGAGAGGAGAGATTGGATGGAGAGGAAGGAGACATGACAAAGGAAGGAGAAGGGAAGGGTAAGGGGGGAAGGATAGGGAGTGGGAGAAGTAAGGAAGGCAGAGGGCTGAATGAGAAGGAAGGAAGACAGGGGAGAGGAAGAACACTGATGGTGAAAAGATTAGGAGCAAAGGGAGAGAGGATAAGGGTGGCAGGAAGGAACTAAAGTGGTATGATACAGCAGATGAAAGGGGAAAAGGAAAGGTAAGGAGAATGAGATGGAAAGGAGAGATCAAAGAAAATAAAGTATTCACATCACAGCTACTGAGATGGACATGAAGCAAAGTGGATTTCTATGTGAATTCAAAATCAAAGTGACAAAATTTATAATCTAAGGAAACAAATCTTACCTCATGTGCATTTCTAACAACAAACTTGATCTTCTTTGACACTGAAATCCAATGAAATTAAAAGACCCAAATTTAGTTAGTCCTTTTTTACAATTCTATATGTGGAGATGATTCAACTTCATAGCAATAATAGTAAAAAAATGCACTGGACTATTTTCATAAGAAGTTACCTTTTCCCCAAACTGTGATGGAACCATTAGAGTCACCAGTAATGACGTCTCCACTGGGTGAAAACTCTAAGCATGTAAAGTACTGGGGAATTTCATATTTCTGTAATGGTAAACATGATAAAAATTCAACATTAAGGTGAAGAAAAACATATTTGGAGTTTTAACCCCTTACACCCTACCATCAGTTTGTATATTCTCCATACTGTTCTCTCTACATTTCCCAAGGTGTCAACTAGGGGAATTTGTTTAATAATCAAGAGCTTCTCTAGCTGGTGATCATTTCCCTTATTCTCAGGACCTTAATGTGTAATTCAGGGGTGATATTGTTAGGAGAAATTAGATGCTGGTCACTCTTAGAGGTTAAAGGGTTAAGTAGCTGGTATATACCATGCCTGGCCAAATTACAGACTTATTCAAATCAGTCTTAGAATTTAAAACTACAAGTTGCAAGCTAAAAGAAACCTTGCGTTCACTATACAAGGTTCATGTTGGATGAGTACCGATAAATTCACCTCAAAATAGCCACTTTTCCTCTCTAGTCTTGTGTTGTGAAGTCTCCAGAAATAGACATGCTCCTTTCCACAAGTGACAAGAGTCTTGCTGTCATCAGGATCAAAGACGACTGCCACAATAGCATTAGACTGACCCTAATTTCCAGAAAAGGAATTCTTTTAGTCCCATCAATACTTAACACCTTAGCATCAGCATGCAAATTCTCCATACTGTTATGTATACATTTCCTTGGTGATGGGGGTGGCCCTAATAACATTAAATTGCTCAACAATTAAGAGCTTTTTTAGTTGGTGATCATTTCTTTAATTCTTGTGACCTCAATGTTTGAATCAGGGTTGATATTGTAAGGAGAAATTAGATGCTAGTCACTGTTAGGGTTCAAAGAGTTCAGTCATCACCTTGTTTTAGACCACTCTACACTGTCTAACAGTTTGCAGAGTGTTTGAACATATGAACAAAATGAATCGCCTAACTTGGTCTCAAGTTTTCCGTTGTTAAGTTTGTTGATCTAGCAGGAGTTACAGATACTCTGATTTTTCTTCAATGCTCCAGGAAAATTAATATTTACAAGTAAAAATTAATTCCGTCTTCACACCTTGCTCTGTTGTGTTATTGCTCTTTCTTCCCATTCCCACACAGTGAGATGATGCTCATCATCCAGTGAATCCACACAGGCCAATTGTTTTCCATTATCCTGTTAACAATTTAATAATAAATAATAATAACCGGTAAGCAAGAAACTGAGTTTTATGTGTCATTGACCATCTTAACTGGCAAAACATCCTTATGCCTGCCAGTATTTCACTCAATTTTTGTTAAAAAATCAGATAAGCAGTTGAAAGAGATGATGAGCACAGATGAGAACACATTTGTGGGGAAGAAAATGACTTCCCCTCCACAACTGATAGGGGAACTACCCTTTCGATTACTGTGAGAATGTTCAAATTCAATTCAATTATGTAAATCCAAAAATTTCATTGATAGTCTGTAGTTCTTGTTGGTTGATTGCACAGTCTGGTGCAAAAAGCGATTGTTGTTGTTGACACAGAGTGGATTTTAAGCAGTAGTCATCATCAGAGTCAAGTGGAGAGAGTTTTTAATTTGTTGGTGCTTAGCAAAAATGATTTAGAACACAAGTAAACTGCTACCTGTGGGGCAGTGACTGCATGCCTAACAGAATAACTGCCTGACAACAAAGTAAATTACCTGCAGAGAAAATGCTAAGCAGGAAACACTCAAACTGTACTCCTGAAGGGCCAGAACAGCTAATGTGATTAGTGTCTCTGCGTCCCAGATCCTGATATGACTCTACGCAAATTAAAGATATTTATAATAAATGTCTTGGCAGTTTTAACTTTAATGAAAACTATTTCTAACTTATTTTACTTCAGTGTCTCTTTTAAACTAATAATTTGTTGGAGAAAAGCCAACAAACAGCAAAAAAACTTGGCTGTTTATCCACAATACCTCTCCTTGACTGGGAAACCCATCTACATTTATCTTAGTGACTAACTGCTGAAGATCGAAGTAAAGTGACTGATAAATTATTTAAGGACATGTAATAACATTTTGTCAACAATTACTGATAATTTTAATTAGCATTCATCATTTTAAAAGTGCTATAACTTACAAGTTCATTTTGGTCTACTGATAGCCCACATGCCTGTCCTGTTGCAATATACCACTGATTGGGATGAACAGCCATACTGGGTAGAAGAAATTTACAGATATATTAATCAGTTACTTCTAGTTGTGATTGGTTTAGTTATGCATTTGGTTTGTAGGGAAAATGGTGCAAGTTTTCTGAACCAAACACAGAGAAGGGAAAGCAAACCCAAAACAATCCCTGATTACTTTTAACACTTCATTGAAAATTACTTTTGCTTGCAAACCAACAAACCACCATCTGCCTGCACCAAACTGTGCTGACTATTTGTTACCTCAATTTTCATTTAATCTTCATCACAATAAGAGATTGTTAACCAGTCAGAGTTAATAAGTGTTAAGTTTTCTAGAAAAATAATATCTATCAATTGTAGGTGACTGTTTTAAGCTCAAAATAGATGTCATGATTTCTGGATAACCTGCAGCACATTGCTTACCATTTAATATCATCAGCATGTCCAGTGTAATGCCGCTGAGTGTTTGTTGATTTGTTATATATGACCACCATTGTAGCAGCAAAATAAAGTATTTCTCCAGATGGTAAGATGTGTAAATTATTATAACTGTCTTTGCCATGGTATCCATATCTAAATCAAATGTCAAGGATCATATAGCAGCACTTATAATTCTTTGTCACAGGTTATATCATTAACCCTTGAGGGAGTCTATCTTGAAAGGAGAATTCTCCAACTAAAATTTAATAGTCTCATTCAATTTTTTATTCCAACCTAGAGGACATTCACTGGTTTCTTTATACTAGTCCCAAGTTAATTGATCTCTTCACCCTTTACTCCCTAACATCAGTATGCATATTCTCCACACTGCTCCTATACATTTCCTATGGTGCTGACAAGGAGAATTTGTTCTACCATCATGGGCTTCTTTAGTTGGTGATCAACTCCTTCATTCTCATGATCTTAATATTTCATTCAGGGGTGATATTGTAAGGAGAAATTAGATTTTGGTCACTCTGAGGGGTTAAAGAGTTAATGTAATATATGGTCTAAGTATAGAAAAGATACACCCAAGAGAGTTGCAGCTTGGAGTCTGGAGGTGATACTGGAGACTCATCAATTGTATAGTTATCCAAATCTGATGTGTGATGATAAGTATGTACACGTCCTTTTACTTTTATGGTCACAACTTGGCTTTTAACTGAAAAGAGAGAATCACATGTAAGACAGCAGTTGCATTATTGCCATGCAATAATGGCCTTTAAATGCACGACTGGGTGTGCTCTAGACTCTTTATTTTCTAAGTATATCCAAAGAGCTACCATCACTAAGTGTACAATGAGGAACTCCCAGATGCTAAATATTCCTTTGTATAAAACTGCCACAGGACAAAGAACTTTCTACTTCAGGACAAACTCTGGAACTCATTAAGACTCTGCTCTTAAGTTGAAACTGACACTAAAGGATTTCAAACTTTGCCTGAAGAGAAGCCTTACCTCAAACCTTTTTAGAGACTTAATTGCTTTTGTTATTTTTATTTAATTTATTTAATTACTTAATTTGATTATGTTATTTATTTACTGGTTAATTAGTTAATTAGCCCATTAATTTATTAGTATATAGTTTTAATTATTTCTTTATTCTGAAAAGCCCATTTGGGACGAATAAAGTATGTATGTATGTGTGTATGTATGTATATTATTTACACATTTTTTGCACATAACTACAATATCAATGGACAAGTGTTTCTTATACTGAGATGCTCCTAGTGGTAAATTCTTGGCACAGTCTTTGCATTCTTTTCACACTTATTTCACATGAAAATTTAACATGCATATGAAATTTTCCTTGTGAAATGCAGGTGAAAAACGTTTGCAAAGCATGTGGAAAAGGTTGACCCTTCTTTACCTATTACCCTTGAACATAAGTACCTGTATGTATATTCACATTAATGTTCTCTGTACATTTCCTATGGTGCTGACAAGGAGAATTTGTTCAACAATCAAGAGATTCTTAAGTTCGTAATCATTTCATTTATTCTTGTGACATTAATAATTGATTCAGGGAGTGATACTGTAGGAGAAAGAAGATGCTAGTCACTCTTACAGGTCAAAAGGTTAAGAGTATCTCACATGCCTTTCAACTGCGACAAAATGCTGAAAGACTTGCACTAGTGCATGTATGCCCTTTGGAGTCTAAATTGAAACGGACCAAACCTAACTTTTACATTCAATACTATTTCACTGCATCTAAGTAAAAATGTAAGAAGCCTACAGTTAAGGTGTTGAGCCACATACCAGTTGATTCTTCCTTTGGTTTCTTCCTGGACTTTTGAAAACGATTTCTTTGAGGTGGAGATCCTGAATGGTTACTACTATTAGATGATGGATTAGACAAGTTTCTCTTAGAACCTTGTTCTGCGCTACTAGCAATAAATGTATCAGCATCCCGATATAACTGTGAGAGACTTTTTACCTGGAAAACAGAATACCCTATTTAACAATTAAAGTCTATGGTGCCACACATCTGTTCAGAAGTATATCATAGATTAGGTCAAAATGTGGTGAGAACAAAATGAGGCACAGGTGCAGCCCAGTGTGTCACTAATATACTCAAAGAGATTTGCATGAAGAAACAGCTTTCTACTAATTGGTATGTTTGACCATACAGTGTTTGTCAGCCCATTAAAGAGCTGGATTTTCATCAAAGTAGTGCCAATAGTCTAGTCCCAGAAGTGATTAACATTAAACTTCTTCCTACAATATCTATACATTATTCAGCAAACAGGTAATGAGAATATTGAAACTTATCATGTCGAAGCTGCTACCTTGATCTAGCACCAAGTTCTCGTAACTAATTCACAAGAAAATGTGAGGCAGCTAGAGGGGAGAATTAACAATCAGATCTTGGGAGTTAAAGAGTTAAGGGCCAAAAGGTAACTATTTTGACTTGAGTAACCAGCAACATGTTATCAAGTAGCTGGTGGAACTCCAGCAGTCATCTGCTTGTTTTGAAATCCCTGAGTCACTGAGTTAAATCCTTTCCCTATAAATGTTTATCCATTTCCACACATCTTTTTTGTAAAGATTACAATCTCCCTTCTTTGCACTGGTATACCAGCTCTCCCAGGGGTGAATTATGCAAATTTATTTAATTTAATTACACTCCCTCAAGAAATTATCCTCTTATAATAATAATAATAATAATAATTATGTTTCAAAAGATCATCAAAATTTTCCAAGGTAAGAGATCAATTTTGCAAAATTCACTTCATCTTCTAGACATCAATAATAAACTTGTGCTAAAAAACATGCATTAAAACTAGCAACCAAATGCTATTAATAATTAAAAACTAGTAATTTCATAATAAGCAACCATCTCTATTCCATAATGTCAGAAGGCCCGCCTGCCTCAGTTCTTGACCGACTAACTGCTTTCATCAAATAGTTAAAAAATAATTTGGAAAAATATGGCAAGATAAGAGAGAGCATGATTTGATTTACCCAATTTAATGTTCATTTATCTATCTATTCGAGGACGGAGCTTGATGCATTGTGTAAAAGCAGACAGGTGGCTATTAAGTCTTGTAGACAATATTTGTCAACGAAATTAGACCGATCTGGTTTCAACGTTTAGGATAATTTTGGTTAAATTCCCTATTGCACGTAGCCTTTTTCTGTGATTTCGAAAAAAAATTCTACCCATGACCTAAAAATAAACGAAAATCAAAATCGCTTAAGAGTTCCGTTTAATCGGAACGAAAAAGAGTAACTCTTAACGGTTAATCTATCTTTCACGCGGCAGTGATGATTTTGTTTTCGTAGGAAATCAGCGAAGCTTGCCGACTGAACGAAAATTAACTTAAGCCTCACCTTGACACCTTCTAAATTGCGCAGTTCCTTGACAGAGTACTTCAACATGTCAGAAATGTCCTTTAAAACAGCATCAAAACTTTTGACGGTTTTCGTGTTCAACAAAATTTTGCATTTCTTGTTTCTGTCGCGCTCACTCACGATAGTTATAACGCGCGGTTTCGGATTTCTGTCGGAATTCCCGCCAAACTTTGAATCCCTGCTAGAGGAAGAATGCGAAGATCCTCCAGAGAAGCTTTCCACATCGAGCGACCGAGGCTTATCTTTCATTTTTTCGCCGTAGCTCACATTTTTAATAAGTTGGTCTCCCGAAGAACAGATATAATGTCTTCCATCCTCTAGCTGGTTGATAGTTGTAATCACACTTCCACCTGGCGAGAACACATTTCTTACTCCGTACGGAAGTGGAATTGCCTTCGAAAGGTCATCTACAATAGTCTCGAAAGATCGGTAGCGTTGCCTAGTCACGACCATTTCGACGCCTTTGAAATGTTTGTCCCCATTTCGATAGAAAGTGATTTTCTTTACAGCATTTACTCTACTTTTTCGCTGGTCTCTAGCTGCTGGATCTGAGGTAGAATTATTAGGAAATTCAGGATTTGATGAGTTAAAATTTCGTGTTCTGAAGTTTCTGGGCTCGCCTGCGGTGAGCTCGTTCGCTGCACCTTCATTGCTCCTTGCTGGCAATGGAATGCGACTATTGTAGTTAAGTTTACCATCTCTCTTTTGCGGTTTTCTATCCCTGATATCTCTGTCAATTTCTGGAAATCTGACATGATCGTTGTCTTCCAGATCGCTGTTGCTATCGGCTGGAAAAGGCGGTGCTTGTCTCAAGCCATTAGCCAACGCTCGACGTTGTTGATGTTGGTTACTGTATCCTCGTCCGCGATAAGACATGTTAAATCCACGAAATCATCATGTTTAAACACTTTTCAAGCAGACCGCAAAGATTCTTATTAGTTTCGAGTATTGAAATTTCCAGAAGCTCGTCAGAAAAATCGCGTGAATCCATTGAAAATACACCAATAACTGATTAGACTGAGATGATTGAAATGAAAATAACTAAATAAACTTCAATTCAGGAGTAGCCTTTTTCAGCTCTTTCGTACACAGCATTTATCCCATTCAACCACGCGATGTTCATATAATAAAGCCGTTTATCTCTTTAAGCTCGGCCTTGTGTACACAGAACTGACAGTTAAGACAACTTGTCGACTTTCGTTGTGGCTTTGCATTGTCACGCAGACATCCTTGAACGATTCTGAGGACCCTTTTGTTTACTTGCCTACGAAATTGATTGTTAATCTCTGAGAGTGTCCCTTCCATTGTTAAGGTAATCAACAGTGTCGTCAAGCTCTCGTAACTAAGCAGGTGTTCGACACCACATGAGAGAAATGATTCAAATGCAAATGCAGTTTCTTCAAAGCAAGCATGCATGACCGCCATTTTGACTTTAGTAGTGCAGCAATGAGAGAGGCTTGGGACAGACATAGCAAAGCGTGACTCCCCACCCCATTGAGTCTCAATGGGGTGGGGTGGGGGGTAGCTGGGTAAGTTTCTCTTGATAACGTAAATTGGCTGCCGAAAATAGTTTCTAGAGATGACGTTCTGAGCGATAGCCCTCTGTCAGAGAGAAGAGAAGGATAGAGTAGTCCCTAAGCTATGGGGTGAATTTGTTGGCTAATTGATGAACCCGTCTGAGACCCTAACTCCCGCTAGAACAGTCACGCCAAAGTCACGCCAGGAGCATGCGTTAGTTACTTACACTGTACTTCGCGTTGCAACGGATTATTCGATAAAGTCCTGTACAAAACAGAAGGAGTAAACCTGTGCGATATATATTTTTTGAGGATCTTCTTCCAGATTGCTATTTTCTGCGGCTGTCTTTCTTCGTACAAGTGTCTTGATCGAACAGGTAAGCATTTGTTATTCCGCTGAAATGTAATGTAAGATCACATAATTTTATACGCGTTGTTGTCCACTTCATTACATTAGATCTCCACATAATCTTCGAAATCCTCTTGATAGCTTGTGTTAATCCACGAAAGAAGCGTATTGATTTGGATGTTATACTTTTGCGGCGCTCATTCCAGATTTCTGTTATTCTCTGTTCTTAGACGTGTACTTCGGTATAAAATATGCCGTTATTCCGTTATGTAAGCAAGGTAATGAGGTATCAAAGTATGCTATTCCGGCGGGACACTAAACTCAGCGCAAGAAACCCTAGTTTTAATTTATTAATGTACCAATTTGATTTCGATTTCTCGTCTCTTGGCGAATTAGGATAGAATCATCCTTTGAGGTGTGCAGTACTCTTTTCCACTTAGATGAAATTTAAACGATTATGTAACTCAGTGACAACCACGGAAATAATTTTGCAAATTTTGAAAAGCGTAGGGTTTATATTTCTAGAAAGAAAAATATGTATTCGATTCATTGTGATCAACTGGTGGCGCAAAACCCCCCTTGAGTCTCATCAGCTCCACCCTCCCCCTCACCCTAGAACAAAAACTCTTGTGTTTTTAGTAGTGGGATCTTTATCCATTTGGGCCAGTTTTCAATCAAAGAAATGCTTACTGTAAGAAGCATTCTAAATTTGGGTAATAATTTGTAAGAAATATAGTGTACAGTATTTTGGCCTGAAATAATTTTTTGATAAGTGCCCTCCTCCCCTTCATCATTCATGAGTCCCCCTCTCCAATAAACCCCCTAGGCCTCTCAAGTGAGCCAACTTTTTGGAGGCCCCTGAGATTGATAAGTCCCTAGGGAACCTACTAGGGTGTTTATGGTACTTTTAGAGGATGTTCCACCTGTCTTTCCCCTTTCTGTTTGGATTATTGGCATTACTGTACATCTCCTTGTAAATGAATTGACCCTTTACTCCCTAACATCATTTTGCATATTCTCCATACTGTTCTCTATAAATTTCTTAAGGTGCTGAAAGGGAGAATTTGTTTAACAATTAAGAGGCTCTTTAGTTGGTGATCATTTCTGTTTTTCTCATGAACTCAATGTCAGATTCAGGGGTTATTTTGTAGGGAGAAATTAGATGCTGGTCACTCTTAGGGGTGAAAGGGTTAAGAGATATGAGTGATGAGTCATACTGAAACTCCATCTGACAACTTTGTCTGTTCTTATTAGATATCCCTTGGTCTTCAATAAATTTTAACTCAAGTTGTGATACCAAATGGGGAGTGCTGGACAAAAACCTGTTGTGCAATTTGGCCAACTCTGGTACAGAATGAAAGCTGTTGTCTACTTATTGGTACTTCTCTCTATGACACCATTCTGTCTTCTGTTCACTGTTAGCTGTTGGTTGTTTGGAAGGAGGACTAGGCAAGATCAACAGATTACAGAAGCTCTCAGGCAGACTGTGCTGGTATCTGGTGTTGCTCACACCAAAGGCCTTCACCTTGCCAAGACCTTGGGAAAAGCTGGTCACAGAGTTATTGTGGCTGACACAGAAGACTTTTGGTGCTCTGCTGTTCAATGGTCTCACTTCATTTCAAAATTCTACACAGTGCCAAATTTAAATTCCTGCAGTGGAAAAGAAGATTATATCAATGGAATGATCAATGTTGCAAAAGCTGAGAATATTGATTGGTATATTCCAGTTAGCCACACAAAGACAGCTGTAGCAGACACAATCATTAAAAAGCGTCTGGCAGAAGTAAATCCTATGATAAAATGTCTTGTTTTTGATGACCCAAAGTTGACCACTATTCTTGACAATAAGGTTCTTTTTCTAAAGGAATGCCAAGAGCTTGGTCTTCAAGTACCATACTTTAAGGAAGTGGATAGTACAAGTGAAGTCCAGGAAATGGCTAAGAAGGGTCATTTCTCAAAAGGCCACTACTTTCTGAAACCATTGATGCCATATTCTGAAGACCGATTAAACTTCACTTGCATACCAAGCAATGCAAAAGAATTTGATAAATATATTGCTTGCTATGAGAGAAAGGTGAACAGTAATAATCCCTACCTGATCCACCAGTTCATAAAGGGAAAGGAATTCGCAGCCAATGCCATTGTTGTGAATGGATGTCTCCAGGTCTTTCAAGTATGCCCTTGTTCGCCAATGCAAATTGATTATGATGTTGTCCAACACCCTGCAATCAAACAGTGGGTAGAGGAGTTTTGCAAAGCCAAGCAACTCACTGGTTGTGTTTGTTTTGACTTCCTGGAAGATGAGGAAACAAGAGAGGTTTACTGCATTGAGTGCAACCCAAGGCTCCATTCTGCTATTGTCTCTTATGACATGCTGCCAGATCTTGAAAGAGCTATTCGTGGGGCCATGGATACTCAATTTCAGCTTGAGGTTCCGGTGCAGCCCTCCCCTTCTTCAACCCATGTCTACTGGTTATACAATGAAATTGCCAAAGTTGGGCTTTTCCAGCAAGGTTTTGGAGAGTTTATTCAGGTTTTACAGAATGGAAAAGATGCAGTCCTGGATGCAAGTGATCCTGTGCCATTCTTTATGTTAAATCATTTTCAGATGCCTGTGATGCTTATTCAGGCAATTATCAGTGGAAAGAAATGGTCTATAACAAATTATTGCCTTGGACAACTGAGGTAACTCAAAGTTACTTTGAATAATGTATGGTTTCCTAAGAAATTCAAACACCTTAACTCATTTGTCTCTCAGGACTGAATCCTTGTTCAATTTCATGCCAGTAAATAGAGGAATGCTTATTGAAAATATAGAATATGAATGAAAAGGGGTTGGGGGAGATAGCTGTGTCAGCCACACCTGTTTCACCTCTCATTCACCAGATATTGACTGCAAGCCAGTCTATCAAACCAGTAAAGAAGACACCATGTACTTAAAATCAGCATTTATTCGGTGTATATTAATTTCATCTTTGTAGAATACTGAAAGGGATAAAGTATTGCTTCATTAGATTACTGTTTGATAACTGCACTATCATGCACCAACAGTAACTATAATTGCTTTTAGCACAAGGTTGTGGTGCAATAGCCTAACAATTTTGGTACAAAAAATTAATTTTCTCTAGGGTGAGTCTGTGTGAATCATCCCAGCTAAGAGTGGAACACTTAAAATTATGTTTAAGAAAGGGTTGGGCTCGATACTTGCGTCTCACACACCCAGTCTTTAGTCCCAATATCTTCTCATTCACCTCATATTAAGGAAAGAAAAAAGACTGCAAGGCAGTCTTACAGAGCAGTAACTGAGACTTCAGAAGTACCTATTAAGTAGTACCCATTTAGTGTACTGTAGTTATTGTGTTAAGTGCTCACCTTGGTTATTTTAGGATAGGTGGATAAGTGAGGCTGTAAAATACAGCTGTAAGTAATGACAGAATTTTCAATTTACTTGGTGTAAACTTTAATTAATGGTTTTGATATCAAGATGTAACTCAAGGGGTCATTTTATTTGCAAAGTGTTCACAGAGGAAATAGGTGTGGCACCACTTCTTCTGGGGAAAGATATACTACCATTAAAATAAATGCATAATTCACTGAAAGAAAGTGTTACAGTTGTGATGGTTGAAGTACTTGCAAATGCTTCTGCTTATTTTCATGTAAAACTGTCATCACTGTATCTAGAACAGGTGTAGATTGAATTGTTTGAAGTGTAAGATAAAAAACTTTGCAGATAAAAGTATTCAAATAAAACCCATTGAGAGCTGATCTCAGTTCACAGTGTTTTATTACATCAATTAATAAATAAACAGGTTACAGGGAATGTCTGATTTTCTCCCTTAAGATCATACTTTTATAAATTTTATCAATCAAGCTGGCATTCTGTCACATGTCGATACTTAGGCACTTATTCACCATTATATTACTGTTGAAGCTTATTCTAGTTTCAAAAGAAGGAAGCCACCAGGATGCTTACAGTCTATTGCAGATAACCAACCACCAATTCATAGTAAGAATTTCCTTGAATGTTTGTTACTACTTTTTTAAAGAAGCTGGTGATTCTCGATTGAATGTCAAAAGTAATGTGCAATTCCTTTGATTTTGCTTTACCTCCTTCTGTGTTTGGTCTAGAAAACTTGCGCCATGCACTACACCAATCAGACACCTAGCAAAAACCAATTGTGACTTGGTCACCTGCATTTTCCTGTGCTTTTAGTAATTTGCTGTTATTAGTTTAAATCCTTAACGACAAATGATGATGCAAGGCAGAATGTTATGATTGGCTGTTGTTATTACTTGGTTTTGGTTTCACGACAATCAACTGAAAACTGCTCTAAAACAAAACTGATTGGAAGTAATCACTGTGGCCAATTAGAAGGAAGGAAATAATTACCTAACAGTCTAACTGTGCTTTAAGTAAAAGCAAGCTAACTGCCTGATGCATAAGAAATTTTGACTGACCAAGTCATGATTGGTGCTAGTTTTGTTTCTGTTAAGAAAAATAAGAAAATATGAGTGACCAAGTCATGATTGGTGTCAGTGTTATCAACAGAGTTGATAATTTAAATTGGCCTCTGTAAAGAGTTTTGAAGCTGATGTTTTGAGCGTTAGCCCTACATCATTCTCTCTCATGAAGGGCTAACCCTCAAAATGCCAGCTTTGAAACTCTTAACGGAGGCCAATTTGCATCATCAACTAAGTTGATCATACCAAAATTTCTTGTTACACTCTTCCACTGATGCACCACCACATGGAAAGTTACCCCCTTTATTCATGATTGGTGTTAGGTTTGTTTCTGATTGGACAAGAGGGTAGTAAAGCTTTTCTGAACCAATCACAGAGGTAAGTAAAGCAAAAGCAATCCTTGGTTAATTTTGACACTCACTTGAAAATGTCTCACTCTCTGGATTGAGAGACACACTTAGAGTTTAATGTCTTCCTTAAGAACACTGCATAGTGATCCAGGCCAAGGTCTGAACCTGGAACTTTAGATTTGCAGTCCACCATTCTAGCCACTAAGCCACAGCATCTATTATAATTTCTACCAAATCTTAAACAACGACTTGATTTTAAGTTTAATGTTCATATTGACAGGATTCAACTGCAATATTGTTAGTGTAATGACCTGGCTAAAAACATCAGCAGCACAGCATGAAGTTAGATAAGAAACAAGTAAATAAAATGATTGACAGATTAATTTAACAAAAATGTTTTTAGACCGCCTTTTTGATGAATTTTTGCCTGGGTCAATTTCAGTGGTGCCTGCAGATCATCCTGACTCAATGTACTTCATGTGAACAAATTTTTGTGCAAAATTATTTCTTTTGCTTGAATTTGTTTGACATCATGTGTTTTACAATCCCCGCAGCAATGTCCTCTGCTGTCTTATTTTGTCCAAAATACTCTGCAAAGTTTCCTGAAGGATCCACAAGGTACTGAATAATGGTGTGATCAACCTAGAAAAAAATTCACAAATTGTAATCAACCTGTACTACATCTTAACCCTTTAACTCCCAGAAGTGATTCACATGTAACTTCTCCCTACAACATCCACTATCCACCAAACAGGTAATGAGAGTACTCAAAAGTATCAGGTAGAAGTTGTTGTGTTGATCTAACACCAAATTCCTGTAACTAATTAACAAAGAAATGTGTAGCAGCTAGAGGAGAGAATATATTAACAATCAGATCGTGGGAGTTAAAGGGTTAACCATCTAATTCTGTTACCCCTTACACCCCATCATCAGTGTGCATATTCTCCATACTGTTCTCATACATTTCCTACAGTGCTAACAAGGAGAATTCTCCTAACAATCAAGAGCTTCCTTTGTTGAAGATCATTTCCTTTATTCTTGTGACTTGTATGTTTGATTCAGGGGTGATATTGTGAGGAGAAATTAGATTCTGGTCACTCTAAGGGGTCAAAGGGCAGCTGAGGACATTGCAGAATTCTACTCAAAGTTTGTGTTTTTAGTACTTTTTCCATTACATGGCTCACATACAATGTAGTCATTGTCTTCATCTGCTGGTCCTGCACTGAAGTATACCCTGTAAGCCTTGCAAACCTGTTGGACTTGTTCAGGTGATCCCGTGAGACCAAGGAGACGTGGATGAAACTCTATAACAGGAGGAACATGTACTTAATAAGGGAAAAAGCAGTGGGTATCTTAAACGGAATTTAAAAAAAACTTTTTTAAGGAATTGCCATAAAATGTATAATCAGACCCACCTTGGACATACTGCTTCACAGCCTTGACATCATCCCGAGATGGATCAACTGTTATGAACAGGGGTTGAAGCTCTGCACCAAGTGCATCTTTGCTCTCATCTATAAACATCCAAAGACACAATGAAGAAATATAAACAGTTACAATAATAATAATAATAACTAATTTTGTAATCTGAAACTACACACTCTTAACCCTTTTACTCCCAAGATCTCATTAGCAATTCTCCCTACTATCTGCCATAAAATACTTATGATTTCAATTTGGAGAATTTGGTATTACATCAACTTGTAGTCCCTTAATTGAGTTTTCTTCTTTATTCTCCTCACTAGTCTACTTGATTCTGTGTTGATATTGTAAGGAGAAAGTCTGTCTTGGTCACTCATGGGACTTAAAGGGTTAATCAAGTTACTTCAGTTCTAGAATTTGCCAAAGTACTATAATTTTATGTTCAAATACACAAATACTGTTTAACCCTTTCATTCCCAGATTTGATCAACATTTAACTTTCCCCTGTGATTCCAGAATGTTATCTTGCAAATAGGTTATGGGAATAGAGAAGCTTAACAGCCAGAGGATGTCATCATGGTGTACGCTAAAATATCTCCCCTCTAATTTACAAGAAATTGTATAGTCACTGTGTTAAGAGTGGAGAATTGCTAATTGGAACTTGGGAGTTAAAGGGTTAAGGACCAAGAGATGTCTTTCTTGATTTAAAAAAAAGACCTTTCCAGTTTTAAATGAAAAGGGAAACTAATTAATTTGAGTTGGTATGAGGAATCTTTATAGTAAACAGCAAAGCATGCTTATGTGCTGATAAATGCACTGCTTTGGAGAGAAATGGAATGAGTAACATGATCACAAGATGCCACTAAATTAAAATGATGTCTGGCACATATACATGTACATTGTTAACCCCCTTAACTTCCAAGATCTCATAAGTAATTCTCCTTACTATCTCCCATACAATTCTCATGATGTTAGTTTGGAGAATTGGTATTGGATCACCTAATAATTCATTAATTGATATTTTACTTCATTCTTGTCACTTCTATGCTTGATATTGTATTGATATCACAAGGAGAAATTCTCTCTTGGTCACTCATGGAGGGTGAAAGGTTAACAGTGATCATGCTTCAGTTCAGCTTACCAACAAGGTCAATTGCTTTTCCCATTTTTTCTAATTCATCAGGGCAAATGTCAGGACAGTGAGTGAAACCAAAGTAGAGCAATATCCATTTGCCATGAAAATCCTTGTCTGTAACAGCTTGTCCGTTATGATCTATGAGACTGAAGGGTCCACCAAGTGCAACTTTCCCCATGGATCTCTTCTGCTGCTTCTCTTTCACTACATTTAAATAAATCAAGGTTTCAGTTTAGCTTTAACTCAAAGTTAACAGAAACATATTCTTATTTCTTCATTGACTGAGCTGAAAGGTACTTTCTCTTTATCCTGAAAGAATGACACTTTCACTGATCAGAATCTTTTGACCTTGTAATAGACAGGTTTTGCATGCAGGGACAATATATGAACCATGTAAAAGCTCTCCTTGAGTTCCCTTTTACTGACTTGCTTTGCATTCAGATCTTACTCCTGTCATTATAGTCATTAAATTACCATAAATATTCCAACTCTTCCTTTAAATGGTTCTAATCCATCAAAGTTTACCCCAAGGTTTCTCTAAAGGTTTACCTTTTATATTCTACCCAGTGTGGTGGCTTTAGACTTAGAAAAAACATAGGGACCCCATGTGCAGCAAAAAGGCTGACATTTTTGTATTTCCTTGTAGGGTGAGCTTTCCAGCTGTGAGATTTTTTTTCTTTTCTTGTTTTTTTCCCAAAGATGGGGGATTATTCTCACTCCCACCATCAGCTATACTTCTGACAAGCATAATGGAAAATTAGCTAATGGTGTAACTAATTTTCTTACTTTGTTCCTTCTCCTCTTTGAGATGACGAACATAGAGCAGCAGCCCCCCGCCAGCAAGTGCACAAAGAGCAAGTGAAGCCCATGTTACAGGACCCCTCTTTGATGATCGCTTGAAAACATCTTCAGTTGGTTTTTGAGCTCCTTTTGGTTCAGCACGTGTCAATGCATTTCTTGAAGAGGATATTAATGTTCTTTTATGAAATGAATTGTTTACTGGCTTCACCTAAACATGAAGAAATTTAAATTCTTGGTGAGATCGACACCATAAATAAAAATTTGTTGTCAGTGTACTAGCAGGTCATTTATCCAGTTAAAATGTATTTGGCACATCAAAAACTCAACGAGGAAAAGTTTGCATGTCTGATCGATGGCGCCGTAATAAATTTTATCCGATAATAACGATATTCAAATTCAGAATAAAGCCATAATTCGGGAGGCTTTGAAGATCGAGGATTAGACGCTATTCTTATTCAATGACATGTACATGAGTTGCGGGGTATTCTGAAGTTGCTCCCAACGATTACATAAGACAGGTTTACCTCGTAATTAGTCGCTAATTTTAAATTTCCTGGCCAAGCTACTTTGAGGTATGTCTCAGGACTCCTTAGCCGAAAGAAGCTTTGTCTAAGCATCACTGATTTTTGCCAAACAGTTGAATGATAACCAAATTTGAGAAGGAAAAGAGGCTCTCAGGCTAATGGCTCAAAAATTCCGCCATGTTTGTTCTAAAGCCGTGGCTACTCAGCTATCCTGTCCACTACAGCCGTGGTCACTTAGCTAACCGCTGTCATGGCCGCCGTTTGTTGTTTAGCGGGTGATTTCGAGTTGGAGGCTGACAACTCGTAAATAATAGCGTTTTTACCTGTTGAGCTGGCTATGCTCTGTTGAATAACTTTTCTGGTTTCGTGATGGAAACGTCAACGTTTTTTTTAAAGTATTTCTAGACAAGAATTGTGCTTGTAGCCAAGGTTTTAGACGTCCTTAAATCTGTCCAAAAATCTGATCGTACAGACTTTGGTTTAGGAATACCCGCAAGCAGTATTTACAATGTGGATCTCGTCATATTACTGTAATATATTCTATCGAATTGTGATTTTAGGAACTCCATGACGTGTCTTAAATCGTAATTGACAGTGTAGTTTTTATCCTATGTACACAAGCGAATGGTTGTCATAGGAGACAGATTGACCATCTAATTTTGCAGAATCCAGTATTTAACGTTACTTCGAGGTCTAGGAAAGAAACAAAACGCTACATTGGTACAAAAACGATTTTAAAAAGCACACAGTGGCCGTCAAGGACATGGAAGTGGTGGATTTAGAGAAAAAGGTTATTGAAGACACCATGGAACATCATAGTATTTACAACTCGCACGATGAAACTGTGAATGCCGATGCCAGCGGCAATGTGACCAATGGTGAAGTAGAAGAAATTAAACAAAACCAGTGGCAGTTCTCAGATGAAGGTAAGTGTAAAAGTCTGAAAAAAAAGAGAAAGGAGAAAGAATATTCCATCATTTTCTGTAGTAAATATGGTTTAGGTCGGGAAGTTGTTTGAAGGGTAGATAATATAAAGCTGTCCAACAGATAAATCAAAATCTAGCACAAAATTTACAGCAGTATCCACCTGTATAGATTTATCCAGTAAATAGCCTTAACCACCCTTGAAACAACTGTGGCCTGGTCAGTAGTGGAGTGGAACCTGATTTAAGAAAGACCTAGAAAATAGATATGTTATAACTTTTCTGTAATACAGTGTAACCTCCTCTCACAACCACTTCTTCTTGAAAACCACCTCTTGAAGTGCAGCAAAGAACAAGGGTTTTGTGTGGCCCAGACCATGAATTTGTCATTTGTGGAAAATGTCTTCCTAAAGGAGGTTTCCTTAAATTCTCTTTACAGTAACAATAACATTCATATTCTTCAAACAGTTCTTTACACTTTTTCTATGTTACTGACCAGATAATTTTTTTACAAGAAAGAGCATTTGAAATTGGTAATCATTTCTTTTATTTTGGTAATCTTCTCATTTGATTCAAGTGTGATACTATCCAGGATTTCAAAACAAGCCAGCAACCACCAGAGTTCCGCCAGCTACTTGATAAAATGTTGCTAGTTACTCTGATCAAAATAATTACCTTTTTGCCCTTAACCCTTTAACTCCCATAAATGACCAAGAGAGAATTTCTCCTTACAATATTAATACAATATCAATACAATATCAACCAGATAAATGTTGAGAATAAAGAAAAATATCAATTTGGGGATAATTAGTTGATCCAATACTAAATTCTCTGAACTAACATTATGGAATTGTATGGTTGATAGTAAGGAGAATGAAAAATTATCTGGAAGTTAAAGGGTTAAGGAACTTTTCACAATCACCCACTTTTGTGGAGTCCGACATCTACTTCAAAACATTTTGAAACCCCTGGATACTGTTAAAAGAAATTAGAAGCCAGACACTCGCAGAGGTGAAAGGGTTAAAGGATGTTTTTATCAGTGCTTATATTAATTCTGATGCAACAAATGACATGTATCTCTTCACTGTCATTTAGGACCTATTGAGTATGAGAGTGACCCTTCATCTGATATTGACAAGAATTACTTCAGTGATGAAGAATCTCTCACTGGGTAAGGCAATTGTAATGAAATATTGATTTCTTTTCAACCCTTAGCCTTTGATCCTTGAACATATAAATGAAATAGGTTTATAAATTTAAATGCTGCCGAGTTAGGGCTGGTAATGAGGAGTCAACTTTAGAGACTCTGCTTCTGTCATCACCAACTTTAAGGAAGTGATGAACTTAGATCAGCATTCAAGTAAGAGTTCTTCTTACATATATGTGGCTTTTATTCTGGTTTGGGTATCATATTTAATTAAATATTCAATCAAAGGTTAAAATTTATTTGACAGCAGGGCAAGTATTCAGATTTTTTGTCTCTTGAATGATTAAAAAGTAGCTGGCCTTTCAGATTCAAGTAACCAGTGAAACTGCAATGGCAGTGGATTCTGGAGAACACTATTCATGTTTTCTTGAAACAAATATTTTTATATGTTTTTAACTATAAGCCACCAGATTAACTAATTATTTAATAACAATGTGACTGTGATTTTATTAATTTTATACAGGAGTATGGATGGGGGAATAGAGGAGGATGAATATGCGTCTGATCCAATTGCTCAACAAACAAGACAGGTCAGTTGTTAACCTTTAACCCTTTAATTCCCATGAGTGACCAAGACAAAATTTCTCCTTACCATATCTATACAATATCATGCAGACAAGTGATGAGAATTAAGAAAAATATCAATTATGGGAGTACTAATTGATCCCATACCAAATTCTCCAAACTAATGCCCCATTCACACCAAAGCTTAAACATGTTTAAAAGTTGTTTTGTTAAACACAGTTTAATTTTTTTTTTCTTCATAGAAACTATTTAGCCGAATATTTTTTACTTGAATGTAGCACATTGGAAATGCAAGTTAGCAAGTACTTGAATCCAATGGAAAATCAAGTTTTTCAGTTCTCTGTTTCTAATTTTCATTCAATGAAAACCAGTTTAACAAAACATGTTTTGCTGGTGTGAATGGGGTATAACACAATGAGAATCATTTGGCAGACAGTGAGGAGAATTACTAATGAGATCTTAGGAGTTAAAGGGTTAAACCCTAAGAGGGAATATCAATTGATTTCTCCATAGAGTATTACTGTTGAGTCATTAATTATTAGTTCATGAGAATAAGGGAAATGATGAACAACCAAAGGAACTTTGATTGTTAAACAAATTCTCTGTGTCAGTTCCAAAGACAATGTAAAGAGAAGAGTATGGCAGATATGGATACTGATGTTAGTATGTGAAGGGTAAAAGCATGTGATTGGAAACTGGTTGAACTGGCTGGTATTTGAACCCTCTCAGCAGACTGTCACAAATGTTTTACAGCCTTTTTCCTTAACTGAAATTCTGTTTGAAGAGGTAGAATTAAGTTAAACTCTATCACATTCATTCTGAACTTGTTTTTGTTGTTGTTTTATTGTACATGTGATTATTGGGATCTATATGTACCTTAAATATCACTAAAAACATTCTTCTTACAGGAGAAATTACAGCGTTTAGCTTTGAGACATCATCTTGACCAACTGAGTGAACAAGTATTGGAGAAAGACTACCTTGTTTCACAGTTCAGGTAATGTAGTAAACAAATATGAATGAATATTATTTTACTTGAAAGTTTGTCTAGAACCACTAATAAGATGTTTTGAATGAATGCCTCAAATCTCTGGTGACAATCTGGTCTCCTTGTATTTTTAGGGATGAGCATAAGAAATGTCAAGAGCATATTGATGAACTCCAGAAAGATAAAGAGTTAGTCAGTAATGAGATTGAAGAAGCAGAAACTCGAAACAATATGTGAGTAAATGGATAACTATCAAAAATTAGTGATGAGGCTACCTTGCAAAACTGTAGATCCTATTTTTAATATTCATATAATCTTTATACTTTTCTCTTTCCATTTCCTGTGGTGTTGACATCAGGAAACTTTGTTTGATGATTTGTTTGATTGTTTAGGGCATCATTCTACAGACTGCAGTCATACCATGATAAATTATGTGCAGAAATTGATGCTGAAAAAGATGTTGAAAGAGAAATTCTAAACAGACTTGAAGAGGCAGAGTAAGTAGTTGTCAATCACATGATTTTGGTATCAGGAATTTACTTCTCCAAAAATATTTTTTTTCCAGTTTGAACCACTCTAACTTTCTTCTGTTTTCTATCTCCATCTCTATCTGTGTTATTAGGCTTTCTGTCTTCCTGAACCATTAACAGTCCTTAACATCAGTATAAATGTTATTTGCACTGTTCTCTATACATTTCCTAAGGTGCTGACAAAGAGAATTTGTTCAACAATCAAGAGCTTCCTTAGTTGGTGTCTTCTGCTAATCCTATGATTTTGGTATCAGAAATATATTTTGCCAAGAGGTCAACATCCCTTTACACTGGCTATATGAATGCTATCCAACAGATATTTCTTACCTTCACTGGTTGTAGATAATTGTGCAGTGTATGGTATTATCTGAACTTTGAGCAGACAGGGCTTGCTCATGTAGTGTGAATGCTGCTTGAATTTCATGTCTTATTGCTAGTAATAAGAATGGTGAATATTTTTCACTGTAGATTTGCTCTTGCACAAGCCACAGTTGAACAAGGAAAATTCCTCCTTGCTGGACAAGAACTTGAAAAAGAGGAGAAGCTTGTGGAGAAACAAAAGGCTGAGTGGTCTGCAGTCCGTCTACGAAAAGAAAATATGAGTGCAGCTGTGGCAGAGAGGAGAAGACGCCTGAGAGAGAAGTAATCTAGTTTAATTGACCCTTTTTCCTCTAAGCTCACTTTGAGTCTTATTCCTGTCACAGTTTATCCATTTCCATAGTTTTTAAATGAAGCTATGAGAGTTTGTGTTGTATCATAACATAACTTATCATAACATAATTAATCTTACTAATTACTACTTATTATCCAACCGTATTAAGTAGAGTACAAATTACGTGCAAATCAAACTCAAATATCCCACAATATTATACCATTATTTGGACAGTTGGTTGTTTTATACTGTAATCTAACACAAGCATTACATAAGACCTGTCACAAACTGCTTCTTTATTAAAGGGGTTAAGTTTTTATAGAAACTGTGGTGCATTGTTTGGGGAGATAACAGGATAATTTTGGTTCTATCAACTGATTTGATAATGTGAATTGAACAACGTAAAGAGTTTTAAAGCTCATGTTTTGAGCATTAGCCCTTTGTCAGAGCAAATGGCAAAGGACTTATGCTCAAAACCTCTGTGTAAATATACTTTTGAATTGTTGAAAGTACTTAAACATGGTAGAGATAAATTATAACTAAAATCCTTTGTAGAGAGCACATATCTGCCCTAAGAGAGAGAGAAAGAAAACACAGACAAGCCATTGCTGCAGCCAAACGAAACAGAGAACAGGCATCCAAGTTTCTTAAGGAGACAATGTCCAGGTACTTTTTATGCAAATACAAAAATTTTTTGTACAGAGAGATGGAAGCCTGTTACTAATAGGGTTTTTTTGGAGGTATGCTGAAAAGATGTTGGGTTATTTGATCAGTTATTGCAGAATTCTGCCTCACATGTGTTCACTTCCATGAAAAGGCAAAACAGTGAAAACCTGATAAATTTTTTCTTTCAATAAATGAACTAGTTTGTGTGAGTTTTGGTAGCCTGATGATTAATGCAGTGGATTCCATATCAAAAGATCAAGGATTTTAGTCCTGATTGGGATCACTGTGTTGTCCAACGGGAAACATTTTACTTTCACGATGCCTCTCTCCACCCAGGAGTGTGAATTGGGGGTGGGGGACATTTTACTTTCACAATGCCTCTCCCCACTCAGGAGTGTGAGGAAAGCTTTAAAAATGAGGTGGAACTCCCTGGGTAATGTGTAATGACATGGGACCCCATCCACAGGGAGTAATAATACTCTTAATATCAGCCTCTGAAACTACCAAGACTGGGGTGACGTCCATCAGCTGTACAAGTCAGACCCATATACAGAATTTTCCTTCAACACTTTAAATCTCTAGATCTGATTGTTAATTCTCTCTTTGAGCTGCTACACATTTCCTAGTAAATTAGTTTGGAGATTTTGGTGACAGATCAAGATAACAACTTTTATCTGATAAGTTTGAGTATTCTCATTATCGCTTTTTGGATATTTAAAAATTATTCCACAAGCGCGCGTTGGATATGAGATGATAGGTAGCCAACGAGGCCGGTAGGGCGGAGTTGGCAATGATCATCTCATATCCAAAAAATGCAAGTGGAATGATTGTTTTATTAAAATCGCCCCAAAAATATGGATAAATCTTTCCAACTTTACATGTTAAGAACAAACGCAATTTGTTATGATGTACCAAAACTTGTTCGGTTTAACTCGTTTTCATGCGCGCGCGTGTTATAGTGGCTCTTAACCCATGACGGCTAAGCCAATGAAAATTCTTGAATTGCATTATTCAATGATCCAGTTTTTAATAACGCATGGATATTATTGGGAGCAACGACCTGTCAATTGCTTCTGGGAGTTAAAGGGTTAAGGATATTTGACTTGCAGGTTTGCAAACAGATCTTAATTCTCTGGTATACATTGCAGAGTTCGTCAGAAGGAAGCAGAGGAAGAGGAACTTTCTCGAAGAAATATGGAAGACAGAATGCAGGCCATACTGTGTCTTAAAGGCAATATTGAAGCTAACAAGGTAGGATGAGTAATTGTTTCCCGTTGCAATAGCAATTACTGTTAGTAGGAAGTGTTGCTGTTATCCTTAGAGATTTGGGTTAAAACTTCTCATAATGATGATATGATATCTCAAAATGGGTCTTTTTAAAAGTCTGCCTATGGGTGATGAAAAGGTGTGAGTCTTTGTTTGTAATCAGCCAGAAACACTCAACTCGGTTGACAAACCAAATTGTCTGTGCTAACAGGCTATAAATAGGTATTACGTATGATTTGTAGGAAAATCTCAGGGCCTTGCAAGCCCGTGATGCTAAGTTAAGACAGGAAAAAGAAGAGGAGGAACTGCAGGAAAGACAGGAGATTTTTGTTGAAGGATTAAATCCCGATGAGGAGTTGACAAGAAGAAAAAGGATCAGACAGTTTGAAAAGGATAAAGAGTGAGTAGATAACATGGAAAACTGTAGGGCAATAAATGAACAAATAGGATAAGTTTCTAAAGAAACTGTGGCGCTGCGTCGTTGACGAGATAATTTGGTTTTGTCAACTGAGTTGATAATGTAGATTGACCACCGTAAAGAGATTCTGAAGCTGACGTATTGAACGTTAGCCCTTCGTTATTTACATGCTGTGACGAAGGGTAACGTCACTTTAAGAAACTCTTTACGGTGGTCAACTTACATTATCAAATCAGTTGATAAAACCAAATTATCCTGTACGGTGATAACATGTTCTTCATTTTATTCAGTTATACCCATCATCTAAAAGCAGTGGCAAAAGTCAGACTGTTTTCCCTTTTTGTTACCTTTACTTGTGTTATTTTTGGTTGGTAACATTTATCTGGTGTTTTTTACAGCTTGTTTATGCTTCAATAGTTAATTTAAAGAGATACCTTAGATATCGACTTGAAAAGCTTTTCATAGCTTCAATAGCGGCATTCAAATCTCTGGAGAAAACAAGTGGATTCACTTCAACTTTTTTAAGTATTTCAGTCCCAGTTGTGTTTCAATGAGGTTATCTAGGCATGGAAAAAATACTATATTGCTTAACTATTGTGAACAGTATGCCTTCAGATTTGTCAATGAATACTTGTTTGAGGGGCTTTTATATGAAAGAGGTCAGCTTTGCCTTCTTAAGAGTTTGTAAGTGTATTACTATAACATTTAATTTTGACACACTTCATATGCTTTTCTTTTCAGAGCATACGAAAGAAGGCAGCGAGAGCGACAGGTAACTTGAAATTACTGTAACTGCAGGGGTTTCAACAAAAGCTAGTTACTGGCGGTCTATTGCCGGCCGCCTCTAAGACCTGTCAGGCACAGCAGCCTGTATGTGTATTACTTTATCGGCAACCGCTTATGCAGAAAGTTGACTGTTTAAACCCCTGCAACGCTGCTGTACTTAATAAGGACCACAAATTTTTGGTTTATATTTTAAATTACATTGTCTTCCTTGTGGCTCATCGTTTTTCCATTTTTAGGTTGAAATTGTCGAAAACATATTGAAAGAGGAAAAACAGATGAAAAAGCGCTATCAACAGCAACCTCAGTTATGGCCAGAAAAACAAAGAGAAAGGGTGAAGGTATTGTAAATTTACAAGAGAAAATAATGGGACAGAGTGGGAATACCAGGGTGTTGGCCGGGATATAAGGATTTCACTTACATCTCTTTTAGCTCAGGACGGTGGTTTCCTAATGAAGTTTATTACTGCCGTAGAAATTTTAATCATAAAAGACCAATATCCTCGCGGTTCGCCAAAGCATCAATCTTACTCAAAGGTTACTAAGTTTGACTGAAAGAGGTTTTTATCAATTTCCGTCAGCGAAAGGCGTTATTCGAAACAAGAAAGCGATGCGTAATATATGCTAATAAACATTAACACAACAGCCATTTGATTCAGTGAAACACGACTCTCGCGGCCTCACAGCAAATTGTTTCATTTTGATCTTTATCTCAATCGATGTTGGAATATTCACAGCGCGTGGATATTTTGTGAGTTGCTTGGAAATTTACCACAGTAACATTGAGCATAGTGTCCGTGCGTATTACATGTTAAACTCTCAAGTAGGGGAAGAGGGAGTGTAACCCATATTATCTGTCTATCTGTGGAAGGCACATGCAAATGACATTGCGATCTCATATTTTGCGCGTTGCTCCTTATACATGCATCATAAAGTGTAATGGAATTATAGATATACCTTTTTACATTATTTTTGAGAGAACTGGTAGACTTGTCACAAACTTAGTAAAATTTATCACAAGAATCTATATTTGTTACAGAGGATAAGCAGGCGACGTCCCAAACCAAAGTTTTTCAAATCAACCAGTGGATCATCTTCTGTGGAGTACAGTGCAGATGTGGAAGATACAGGGGTAGGGATAGCACTAAGCTACTTTATTCAGAAAAAGGAACACAAAACTTAACAATAAATAAGTTATTTCATAGCAACAAGTTTAAACGTAAATGTAGCAGCTATTAAAGATTCGGCTGAAGAATCATGCCATTTCTACGAAGATCCTAGTAGTGTTAAACTTTTTAAACAATAAATTCTTACATTTTGTCAGTGATGTCTTATTTGATAGTATACTCTGCCTAAGTTCTCTTTCTGGGGAGAAAAATAGTAACTCTTGAAAGATTGACGGTCTAATGATATTGAAGGAACATTAGTAGCTGCCATGAAACTTTCTTATTTAAGTTTTTTTTCTCGTGCGGTTTTGGTCTTTTCTGCGCTTTTTAGTAAAACTTCCTCGCTAACTGGCATGCTGTGGTCAGAATTCATCTTGTAAGAAACTCTTCTGCTCTGGTAGAAATACACGATGTAAAGGTAATTTCAATTAAAAAGTTCCCAAGGAAGGAGGAAGTTGAAACATCTTAAACAATTTTGACATCTGAAATTCGTCATCAGAGACGGCGGTGACAGTGCCTTTGACTTTCGCAACATCAGTCACTGTTAAAGCAATGTTCAATTGCGCGTCGAAAGTAATCAAAAGTTTTTTTCCAGTTTGCTCTGTGTTTGTTCAGAAAACTTGCGCTACTTGCTCAACCAATCAGATGCCAAGCTAAAGCCAATCACAACTTGGTCGCCCGCGTTTTCCCGCGCTTTGTGCAGTTTGGTTAGTTTTATTTGGAGTTCTCATTGGCTCTCATAGGTCTTTTCCTTTTTTCTGATTGGCCGTTGTGATTGCTTTCAGGGTCAACATACACCAGGAAAGCTTGGTGCAGTATCTTCAGAAGATGACGAAGATGATTTTTCCCCGTATGGAGAGACAAGTAGAGATGAAGCCAAAGAAGGGTTAGTATCTTATAGAATACTTCTGTCTTTTAATGTTGATCAGCATATTGTTTTGGCTCTGTCATCGAGTTTCAACCATCATTATCTTTATCTAATTTATCCAGTGACTCAGAAGCTGAAGGAGAAGAACTGGCCCAACCAGAATTTAGGGGACTATGGGAAGAGGGTGTTCATAAGGTTAGTTTTTTTTATGTGCTTTTTGTATTGTTTTTCTGAAGACCAAAACCCTAGTCACCCCAACAACTAGAAAGAACACAAGGAAACAAAGCAGTTTCCAATTGAGTGACAAAAATAATCGGCGGTTAGTAGGTGTAGCTCAGAACGGTCTGTGATTGGTACAGAAAGCTTGTGCCAACCTGTCGACCAATCAAATGCTAGACTAAAACCAAGCGCGTTATTTTCACTCGCGTTTTCCCGCGCCTCAGGCAATTTGTTAGTTTATACCCTCATTCTCATTGTCATCATGTGTTATTTTCCTTTGTTCTAAGTGGCGGTTTTGATTACTTTGCTTTTGGTTTTAACACAGTCATCTGAAATACGCGCTATCACCAGAAACTAATCAGGCCTTACTGCGCCGTTCATTGATATATGCGTTTTACACTTCCTGCCTTAGAAGCACCACTACTGACTAACCCGAAGTAGTTTGAAAAGGGTTGGCTAAAATGAAATTGTGTGTTATATTTTTCAGGCATCTGAGAAAAAGGAGCACAGATTTAAATTCGCAACCCACATTCCTAGTAAAATGGAACAGGTAAAACTTTGATAACAGCTGTTATTTAGATCTTGAGTTCCCTAATAGAGAAAAAATATCAGTTCGCATTTTGAAATTCTTTAACGTTCATTGAAAAGAAAGTCATTACACATGCATCGGCTAATGCGTTCAAAAAGGTTAGAACGTTTTAGGTAAGCCTCCCGTTTCTTTTTTCTCTGTCCTTTCATTCATATTCTGTTGGATATGCCAACCAAAAAACTGAAAAATTAAACAAACATTTGGGGATGAGGAAGTGGATGTTATTAGCCTAAATCTTTGATAAAAATCTAAAGCTTTCACCAACTTATTGAGTTCCGATTGTACCGATTCACCTTTCAGAGTGAATTTTACCCACTACTTTAATCAATTATTTTCTTTTAGAGTTTATTTGGTGACGTTTTTTAATTCGATGTTTTTTACAGGAGATGATGGAAAGAGCTCTCATGAAACAGAGAGCAGGGATTGTTCAGAAACAAGTAGCTGCTGGAAGAGAATTTAAGGTTTGTGTGCATTGTGGGAATTGTTACTAACTTGTTGGAACTGCCTCACGACTTACTGACAGAGTCTTTCTTTTTGTGGTACACGAACCAAACTTGAAGGAGACTAAAGTATTAATTGAAAAAGACTGAAAAACACCAAAAGGGACAAAAATGAACTAAGAGGGAGCAAGGATTGCTGAGAATTGGGAGAATTAAAAAGGACTGAAAATAACGAACTAGAAAAATTTTTAGGCCTAATGTCAAAACATGACAGGTGCATATTGATATTTTACCTGTTTCATTCAGACTAACCCTACAATGCTTCCCTCGCTCCCAAACGTTTCTCTACTGAAAAAAAGTGGGCGCACTGGAGGAAGGGACCGCGAGAGAGGAAGAAACCCTAAATTTGTTATCTCTCTTATAGTCCTTCGCGATTCGTGCGCGGTATATTTTTACCTCTTCGTTGTTTTTATTATTATTATTAAGTATTATTTTGAAATTCATCTTGTACTCAGAGGCCTTTCTCTATGGCGCTATCATTGATTTGAAATATGATGGCATGACTAAGTTATTTTCTGCATTTGCATCCAAGAGAGCGGGTTTCCTGACTGATTTCAAACGACCGAAACTGGAATCAAGTTTGACTCACAAACGTTCCAACTGATAATTCTCTTCCTATTGTTCTCTGCAGGGTTGTGCTTTTTACAGTAAACCTGAAGTCATCGTATTTAAGGTGTGTGTACCGGCGGGAAAGTTACTTATTGTCCTATTACAGTAATGCAGCGGTTATGAGAATATTACAACCAGCTGCTTGACAACTGAAACATACGTGATCATTTTTTCTCCAGGACTTTGACGTCGGGAAATCCTACAAGAAGAAAATTCTTTTAACAAACATATCATACACTCAGAACTACTGCAAATATGTTGGCATGTCTCATATCCTGAAAGACTTCATCGAAGTGTTGTAAGTAAACGTCCAGTTTATTACCGTCTCAGAAAAGAAAAAAAATTGCGCTCGAGAGCGGTTCGTATTGCTGCATGAGTGTATCACAGTATCTGTATCGTAAAGAGACTCAGCGGACTGTTACTCCCCCCGGATAGGATGCGAGTCGATCGCAGGTTACCATCCCCTCCCCACACCCCAGCATTTTTACAGTTTTCACTGTCAGTTCATTGTGACCCATTTATACTCTTGACGGGAGAAAGGGACTGTAAAAGTTGTGAAAGTAAAGTGTCGGGAGTACAGCATACAGACCAGGGTTCGAGCTCGGACACCTCGATGCGGATTCCAGCGCGCTATCGATTAGGATAACTTGTCTTACACGAACCAAAACCATAAGTTGATCTTTACTCGGCGATGAAAATACTCCTACAAAACATTTTGTTTTCGTTTACGTTTCATTAGTTTCGATCCACCAGGAGTGATGTCAGCTGGTCTGACTTGTGATTTTGCTGTGACTTTCAAGCCAATGGTGAGTTTCAAAAGTCTACATAGTGAGTTGATTTCTTTTGATATCATGGAAAGGTTAACGTGACATTGTGAACGAGTGTTTTTTTCTTATTATACCCTTGTACAGCTGAATGAAGACTTGGTGGGCCACATAGATTTCCTTGCCCAAACAGGACCCTTTTCAGTTCCAATTCGATGTGTCACAAAGAAATGTCAGGTAATGTTCTTTAACATTTTTATCGTAATTCTTATCTAGTTTTAGTTAAAGTCGTCTGATAAAGTTCTCTTCCATTAAGTGTCGTAAAACTCACACCAACGCTTTCACAATAGCCACTCAGAGCAAAGGAAAATACATTAAGGAGCTGATGAACATCAAATTGAGACACATTTTTGTTTTACTTTACAACGACATGCCTGGTGATTCTCAAGTGAAAGATGATGTTATTCAGTGAAGGACGGGCATAACCGGAAAAAAAGAACTTCGAGTACCCCCAATACGAGTGAAACCTACCACTTTCAATTAGGAAGGGGAAGCCTGGACGGAAGAGAATTTTACAAGGAGTAAATGAGAACTTTAAGTAAAAGCGTGAAGCAGCTTCAAGCGCGGAAAAAGTTCGGACGAGTCCCAGTTGTTTTACTTATTGTTTTGTAGTTGATTCTATAAAAAAGGTCGCGCGCTGAGTATCTTAAAATAATGGCAGAGTGAATCAAAACCAGTACAATCGAAGTGTCACTGTTCGATTGTACTGGTTTTGACTTCCGACACTCAATCGAAAACGATCTTTCACTGCAGGGGCTTCATTGAGAGCCGGCTACAGACGGTCTACCGCCGCCCATAAGACTCTTACTACCGTCTATTTAGTTTGCGAGTACGCCCTCGTGTTTGGGTTTCGTTTAGCTGCCCCCTTTTCGCGCACAGCTGCCTTTTACGCCATCGGCGGTGGCCGCATATGGAAAAAGGTTATTAAAAAAACCCCTGCACTGATGTTTTACTGCTAATAGTATTGTTAGTTGTTTAGATTGTGTAACGGATTCCTATGTCACAGCCTTAACTATGGTTTGCAGATCGCTTTGTATATTGTGAATCTCAGTAGAAATTCTGCCCAACGAGTTCTTTTGTAGGTCGGCTTTTAATGTAAACTGTACCTCAGATTTCAGAGGATGTCACCGAAGTTGAATTTGGAAGTCAAGTCTTGGGAGAAACCAGGAAGAGAATTATAAACGTTACGAATAATGGAGCGTTAGGAACTCAATTTACATTCAGAAAGATAACAGGTATTTCACTTCAGTTTCGTTTAAAAAGCCATGTTCATCTGAAGTTAGTCTATGACACAAGCTAAGCTGAGAAGACTGGGTTTGATTGTCAAAGTCGAGGCGTAACGTTAGAATACGCCCATATATTCAAGGCAATCAAGCGAGCGCTTACAAAGGACGAGAACTCACCGTGACAGCGGCACTTTTTCACTTTCATACGCCGCGGTTCTTTCAAGAGAGCGTGCATCTCAAACGTAACAATCAAACACTAAAAAAAGTAGAGCGTGCGACACAAACGAAACAATCAAACACTAAAAAATTAGAGCCTGCGACACACACGTAATAATCAAACACTTAATACAGAGAGTGCGCATCACTAACGTAACAGTCATACACTGATCAAAGAGAACTCATTAACGTTAGACACTTAACAAAGAGAGCGCGCGTCAATAACGTGACAATTAAACTCTAAACAGAGAGTACGCATCGCTAACGTAAGATTCAAACACAAAACAAAGAGAGCGCGCATCGCCAACGTAATAGTCAAACACCAAACAAAGAAAGCGTGCATCATTTTAACTTAAGAATCAAACACCAAACAAAGGTAGCGCGCATTACTAACGTAACAGTCAAGTACTAAACAAAGAGAGCGCGCAACGCTATCGTAAGAGTCAAACACCAAACAAAAGTGCACGAATTACTAACGTAACAGTTAAACACTAAACAAAGAGAGCGTGCATCACTGACGTAACAATCAAAAAACGAAACAAGAGAAAGCGTATCACTAACGTAACTATCAGACACGTAACAGAGAGGGCGTGTCACTAATCTAACAATAAAACGCTTAACAAAGAAAGTGCGCATCACAAACGTAACAGTCAAACACTTAGCAACGAGTGCGCGCCTTACTCACGTAACAATCAAACACTAAACAAAAAGAGCTCGCATCACAAACATAACAATCAGACACTCAACAGAGAGCGCGTTTAACTAAAGTAACAATCAAATACTAAAAAAAAAGAGCGCGCATCGCTAACATAACAGCCAAGCACTGAAAAAAGAAAGCGGGCATTGCTAACCTAAGAATCAAACACAAAACAAAGGTAGCGCGCATTCCTAACGTAACAGTCAAACACTCAACATAGAGCACTTGTAACTAACATGACAGTCAAACACTAAAAAAGAAAGCTTGCATCTCTAACCTAAGAAACAATAAAAGAGAGCGCGCATTACTAACGTAACAGTCAAGCACCAAACAAGGAGAGCGCGCAACACTAACGTGACAAATGGCATCCCGTCTGCTTTGTCTTTTAAAATGTGCTATTACTGAAAATCCTGTACATATTCTAATCAGCCTAAATCCCCGCTTATGCTGAAAGGGATGGGAGTTTTTGGAACGTGTCAAAGCTTAAAAAAAATGATATTACTGAAATTTTTTGACAATTTTCTAACTACGTGATAGTGAGAAAGGAAGAGAAATTTTCAGTTTTCAAGAGAAAAGTGAAGCAATTATTCTGCTCTTCTTTTTTCGCAGGCTTGGCGAGATCGCTCTCCTCTTCAGAGCTGAGTTCTATCGGCGGAATGGTATGTGGAACTCTTTTGTTTCAGTAAAGATAATTTGGTTTTATCAACTGAGTTGATGATGTAAATTGACCAACCTAAAGAGTTTCTTAAGCTGAAGTTTCGAGCTTTAGTTCTTCGTCGAAGAAAGGCGAACGCTCAAAACTTTAGCTTTAGAAACTCTTTCCAGTGGCTAATTTACATTATCAACTCAGTTTATAAAACTGACTAATCTTGTAATACCATCTACCCTCCGCCACTGACGCAGCACCACAGTTTCTTTAGAAACCTACCCCCCTTGTTTTAGTTGGTGAGACTGACTGTCTGTGTAGAGGATGGCGCAGCACAAAAATGAATTGTACGGCAATTTTTCATCATTTGATAGTGTTTTTGTATCGTCTTTCGATCAATGGTATTATGTTGTCGAAACCCGACAGCCATACAGACTCAGAGGGCCAATTTTGTAATGAAATTTAACGTAAATTTGCAGTTTTTGTTTATCATTAGACGATTTATACAAGTCTCATGTGATATTCCCCAACTGTCTCCTAGACTGTAACGGACGTAAATGTGACTCAGCAAGACTCCAACCCGACGGAGCTACAGGTTCCCCCTGAGGGGATGGCAGAAGACGCAAAAGAACCTCAAGGGGCTAGTGTAACAGAAATTCCTAGTGAACCAGGTCAACAAGGTAGTCCGGCCCAAGTCGTATGTCGACGTTTATATCAGATCACTTTTGTTTTTATGCCGAGAGAAAACAAAACGTGTGGCAAAATGTACTTTGAGCTCACGACAGTGCCACTGTTATAGATGATTCGACATAGACACTACCAAGGAAATTGATTGTATAAGGGTTATGGAAAATCTTAATAAACTAAGTTTGTCGTGACAATTTCGTTGACAAGTCCTCTTCGTTAACGTTTACAACAAACGATAGAGGTGCTAGAATCTCTTTGATACGGCTCGGTATCGAAAAAACCGTTGCTCTTGTAGCAGAGACACATCTGGTGTCACTCGTTTGTTTCTGTTTTTTATAACTTTTGTTGATCTTTACAGAGGGCGAAAGCCCGGAGAAGGCCTTAGAGCCCAGATCTGGTAGTGCTGTTAAGTTCGAGAAGGGATTGGCAACTACTGAAGGCGAAGTTCTCGCCCCAGCAGAAGAGACTGGAGACCAGCTAGATGGTTTGTGGTGTAGTTTTTCAATTAAATACCAAAACTCATGACCAGCATATCTGTTTTGACTATATATTTTCTTCTTTCATATATCAGTTGATCTGACCTCAGCAGCACCTCAGACTATCTCATCAATCCCTACAGAAACCTCTATATTAGAAGGTCTCAGAGTCGGAAAGGTGAATATATATGTATTTCCTCCAGTGCTGTCACGACAACTTATATATCTTGGAGTTGTTTGCGTAAGGGTGATTTTAAGATTCACGGCTATGATCCTAGACCAAGTATGCCAACTAGGTTTAGTTTATGTGTCTTCGTAGTTTAGCTATATATTTCCTTTTTCTTCTATAAACAGGTTTCTTCTGGAGAAATTGCACCGTTTTCTTTAGTCCAGGTGGAAGTGGTATTTAATCCTACCAAGTCAGGCAATGCCCTCGCCGAGTTTGAGATATCCTTTTCAGATCCTCTCTCACCCCCAGTAAGTGAAAGCTTTGTGTGTAACACCGTCCTCTTAGGTTGAAAAGTTGCTCGGTTTCATTCTGCCTGATGAAAGGAAATTACTTAGCGATTAAGCTTTTCCGAAGTTAATGATTTACGTATGTTTATCGATGCTCAAAAGGCTTGTAATGGGGCTCATAAACTATTGACTACTTTAGACTCCTTGTAAAAGCGGCAGTTCGTTCAATTCAGAATTCATTTACTGACTATAGTTATCCTGACAAAACTGCACCGTCATAGGGTAGATACCTGTGTTGTCGCCCCAATTAAAATGATGCTTTCGAACTTTTTTCTTCAGTGGAACCTCCATTCAGGGGATACCTCCCTTGACTAGTAAAAGTGTCCCCTGAATGGAGTTGAAAATAGTGACAAAGGCCATGAGAGCAGCCTTTTTTTCTGTCGGGAGTAAAGTTTGTGTCCCTTTGGATGTTCCAACTGAGACAGTACCCTGTTAATACTAATATGCCACTGTTGCGGATGTACTATTTTTTTTCTTTTTTGTTCGTCTGCAGATAGTGATCCGAGCTCGAGGAACGGGAATCGATGTTCCTGTCTGGGTGGAGAGAGAGGTAACGCGTCATTTTTCTCCCCTCAAATTTCTGGATGTTGTTCGGGATATCAACCCTTTTCACCCTAACATCAGTATGCATATTCTCAATACTGTTCTCCATACGTCTACTAAGGTGCAGACAAGGAGAATTTGTCTTACAATCAAGAGCTTCTTAAGTTGGTGATCATTTCCTTTACTCTCGTGACCTTCATGTGTGTTTTTGAGGGATGATATTGTAAGGAGAAATTAGATGCTAGTCACTCTTAGGGTTCAAAGGGTTAAGAGGTTTCGATATTTATTTATATTTCTGATGTTTATCAAAAATTTTAGGGTTAGTTAGAAACATTCATAACTTTTAAGCTGAGCCTGGGTGGAATTTTTCCTTAAAAATAATACAGTTCTCTGCCAGAATTGCCTGAATATTTTTCGATCAATCGACCTCCTCCTTCATCAGGTCGTCGACTTAAAGATGTGCATGTACGACCGGCTATATCAAGATGCAATACTTGTCAACAATAGAGCCACTTCAGCTCTCAGACTGAAGTTTGAAGTTTGTAAAGAATTGAGGAATCACTTGGAACTGCTTCCCAAGACAGCTTACATACAAGCTGAGTCCCAGTTCTCTGCGCAGCTCAAGTTCCTTCCAAGGTAAGAGGGAGTTACCTTCAGTGCCATGTGAACCTTGACAAGAGCCACAACTTTGACCATAGGCACAACAAATTATGCTGCAAACTGAAATTTTCTACTAATTTTTTACTTGTGATTTCTTTGCTTTTCTTTTCCCATAATTTATTTAGCCTGCACTGCTTTGTGGTTACTGTTAGAGGTTGTTGACCATTATATGCCTGGTTGTGTTTCAGACAAACTCTGCCAGATGACTGTCCCACATACTTTGACGTAGAGAGCAGATTGCTTGAGGCACCTATGGTCGTACGTGTCGCAGATCAGGTTAGTTTACTCCGCACTCTCTAATTAACTAATTTCTTACTTACTTCAGCCTTCGCTTTGGTCTTGGTAAATTAACAGCCAAGAAAAAGCAATCTGTGACAGAAAATTTTGATTTTCGTTTTTCGTGCTTGGGTAATGGCACAGATTTCAATAACATCCGGTTGCAAGCGGTCTACTGCCACCTATAAGGCCTAATACCGCCGTCTGTTTAGCTTACGAGCAGGCTTTCGTGTTTTGGTTTTGCCTTACGGCCCCTAAACCTTTTAAGTCTCACTAGTGACCAAGACAGAATTTCTCCCTACTCTATCAGTACAATATCAAGCAAACAAGTAATGAGAATGAAGAAAAATATCAATCAGGGGATTATTGGTTGACCCAATTCCAAATTCTCCAAACTAACATCACAAGAATTGTATGGCAGACAGTAAGGAGAATTACTAATGAGATCTTGGGAGTTAAAGGGTTAACCGAGCATAGCCGTCAATTACAATAACGACAGTCGCTTATGGAAAGAGTTATTGAAACCGCTGCTATGGGATTTCTTTTCTGTGTGTTGTATGTTACATGTGGTGATCTTGTACTCTTGTGTAAGGTTCGTGACAGAGCGTGCACTTGTGGGTGATACTCCTCTACTGTGCTTTTCTTCTGTAATGTGTACAGAAATAACATGATTTGCAACTCTTCGCAGTGGATGCGACGTTTCGTGACATTTTGTACTTTTTTGTAGTTGATGTACGCGTGCGTGTGACAATGTTAGCCTCTCTTGTGAGATTTCGTGTCGCTGTGCGCTTAAATAGCTTCTTTCTTTTTTCATTTGTTAGACGCGGCCAGTTCCGTTCACAGTAAGAGCGATAGTGACGTCATCAGATATCGAGTTCAACGTTCAAGCGATTGACTTTGGTTTCTGCACAGTGCTGGAGTCAGTGAGACGAACAGTGACTTTGACTAACAAGTCTGTATTACCTCAACAATTCGGATTTTGTGGAGTTCCTGATGTGAGTAGTGTTTTCATCTGTTCTGTTGCAACTGCACTTAGGAATACGGAAAACTTCAAAACTTATTAGAATTTAAATTTAGTTCTAGGAAGACTATTGCCTAACAGTGCATCCTTATGAAAGAAAATCAACTTATTTGCAATCACCGATGTGCGTCAGAGCTTAAGATTTTTCAGAGATTTTGAAGTGTGATCCTAACTTTAAACCTCTGTCGCAGAGATTTCGGATTGTCATTTTAAATTAAAACTTCTGGTATCATTCCTTTTCTTAAACATTAATGCCCAGTATTCTGCGCCGATATCTCATAGCTTTGTAATTTTTAATGCTTCAGACGGTTGATGTTCAGCCTAATGATGGATTCGGTACCCTGCTGCCATTGGAGAGCTTTGATGTGGACATCATGTTCAACGCCAAAAAAGCTAAAGTGAGTCATGTAATAGAACGGTCAGCGGTGAGAGTGACTTTCAATTAAGTGTCTTAAATGATCAGAGATCATGTTGATTTTGCTTTTCTTCGCCCTGTTTTAGGTTTAAACAAACTCCCGCGACTCTATCAACTGATCAGAAGCAGATCTAAAACCACTTGTGACTTGATCACTTTGCGTTTTCCTTCTCGTTGGCTCCTACTAATACTTTACTTAGTTCTGATTGGCTGTTTTACTCAATCGAAATACGCCAAGCCGTGTATGTACTAGCCAATTGTCTTTGATAAGTTTTCACGTTACAATTTTACCCACGGCAGTGTAACTGGATACGTGCGACAAGTTTTCATCTGGTTGGGCCACTTGCATGTCAATGACTTATCAAGGACGAAAATTTCCTAGCGCAGATATCGATGAAAAATTGTACCCCGACAAATTTTCTTTGACACGTTTGATAGTTAAGAAATGATCCACGTATGAAAGCTACAAAGTTCATTTCTGCAGTCCCTTTGATTGAAGCTCACTTGCGAGGTTATTTCTCTACTGAATATCATCCGTAGATCAAGATAAAATTTACTAAATATAATTTTGACAAGCTTTCTTTGCCAAAGTCAGTAGTTAAGGACATTCATTTGGTAACAATATTTATTTTAGTAAGATTCCTATTCTTACGGGGTCGGAACCGTTCTCTTCTCTCGCTTGTAGGAATATGAGTTTGATCTCACTTGTAAGACTGGCATCGGCCGCGAGTTCAAACTTCACTGTAGAGCAGTGGGCGTCCTTCCCCCGCTGGAACTCTCTCACTCTGTGATCAAAATGAAAGCCACAGCTGTCTCGGATACATGCGCGGCTCACATTGAAGTCATCAACTCGCACACCAGCGCAAATGAATTCACCCATCCAGTGCCCAGAATTGGCTCTGGTCCCATTGTAGAGGTGGGCCCCACGTCGTTCGAATTTATGGTCCCTGCTGATGCGCCCCTGACTGTGTCCCCAGCTGTAGGCACTGTCAACGCGGGAGAGGTACGTTTAAAGTTATTTCTTTTTTATAGGATTTCAACCTTTTTACCCTCAGCTCTCGCTTCTCTTCCCCTCGATACGCTGTTTAAAATACACTGAAAGACACGAAAAGACACTTCGTCGCGAGGATTATTCAACAATACTCACTTCTCCCTCGGCAAATAATTGTTAATCAGAGGTAGTTGGAGTCGTAGTCGAAAGTAGTTGAAGTTGGAGTTAGAGCTAGAGTTGGAGTTACGCAGAAAAGAAGATACTTTTGACGTCTAAAAGAAAGCTCTATGGTCCGAGACTCTTGGTACCTCCGCTTGGCGATTTTGCTCAGGCTAGATTTTCCCTAACGTCCCAACTTCTTGTTGAATTTAACCACAATTGCTGCACGAGGTGATCTTGGTTATTAACTATAAGTACAAAGGATAACGTGAGAACTTTACATTGCCATCAGTGCTATTGATGATGCCTCGGACAAAAAGGCATTGTTGCGGAGAGGTTTTCGTAATGGTTTGTGTAATGCATTAGTATGCATTTACAGTAAATCAAGTCGCACTGCATTTGCCTAATCTCTTGTTGAACTGTGATTGTTAGACTGCAGCTGCCAAGTCGCCTTTTTTTCACTTTCTGTTTGATCACTTAAGTTCGTTATTGTTTCAGCGCTGCCTTGTTCATGTGACCTTCAGTCCTCGTATGGATCCAGACATGGTGCGACAAGAGGCCGTGCGTATGATGGAAAGAGAAGCTGAGGCTGAAAGGAAGAGACTGGAACTAGCGTCACCTCCAGAGAAGCCTCAAGAGCAAAATACAGGACAGGTAAGAGTCCTTGTTGGTAACTTTTCGCTCTTGAGGTCGTTCCTCGCGACAAACAATGAATGCTTTTTCGTATCAACCGTGCAGTCGTTTACATTAAGGTTGGATTGAATTTTGCGTAGGGTGGAATGTAAAAGGGAATCGGCAAAGTATTTGGAAAATTGGCGAAATTCGGGGAGTAACCTGCTATGAACTAGCATCCTGTCCAAGGGGAAGTAGGTATACTTTGTGCTCCAGGTTAACATCCAGCTGTGTGGAGTTCTTTGGTTCTCTATTGCGTATTTAGATATCGATGATTCTTTACGTGGGGAAGGCCTCCATTCAAAGTGCGCAACTTTAAAGACAGGAAACAAAGCCACAGAGTGGGGATCGGTTACCGCAGGGAACAAAATTGGGACCGTGGCTATTCTTGGTTATGATAAAAAAATTATTCTATAACTTTTGTATCTGAGACTGTCATTGAAGGAATACTTTTAAAGAGGGGGAGGATGTCCCGCAGACAGAGGCTAAACTGGGTAGATTTCGGCTTGATTGTTTCGTTTCTTCTTTTCGTTGCTATAACAGAAAAAGAAAGGTGGCAAAGCTCAGGCTGGAAAGAGTGCCAAGGCATCACCAAAGCGAGGAAATACGCCGAGCAACACCAACCTCGCCGCTACCACGAAGACTCCAACCAAAACTTTCACTGTCGCTGATGTAATTGACGGGTGGGTGTTCAAGAACTTACACTTAAATTCCGTATTAGAAGGGCAAATACCCAGTCCAAATAACATTAAACTACATATGAATTAAGGGGACAGTTTCTAAAGAAACTGTGGTGCTGTGTCATTTGAGAGGGGGGTGGGGGCGTTACAAGATAATTTGATTTCATCAACTGAGTTGATAAGGTAAACTTTCCACAATAAACAGTTTCTAAAGCTGACGTTTCGAGCGTTAGCCCTTCGTTAGCATGGATGACGAAAAATTAACGGTTGATTTAAGGGAGAACAGGAGCAAGAGGTGTTCCAATTAGGTGTCCCATGCCTGCGAATGTAGGCTGTGTTATGAGCATCTTATTACCGCAGGAGTCAATAAAGCCGAAAGAGTAAAAGTAGGTGGATGAAGATGTTGAAATAAGTTAAAAAAATTGTTTGTTGTTGTCTTCCAGGTCCAATGAATACGAGTCAGCCCACTTGGCTTTACTCAGGACTTATCAGAATGCGTTCTCTAGATACTTAGTTCCCTGCTTCGTAGCCCCTGGGCGATGTACTGAGCCTAACTCTTTGTCATGCAGGTGAGATTTTCCAGGAGAGATTTTAGCAGATTCCCTTGAGCTGCATTAACGCCGTCACAAATTTGTTAAGAAATATAGGGGGTAGAACTTCCCTTAAGCTATTTAGAATTTCGTTTAAAGGTATCTTGGTCGAGTCTTCTACAATGTATTAATTACTGCGCCGTTTTCTCAAGCTATTCACCGCTTCTTGGCTCAGTTCAGTGATATCTCCAAGATAAGGCGTTGACGAGATGCATTTTCGTTCCTACAAGCATCAAAAATTGTCCTCATGAAGAAAATATCACCGAAACACTTATGATTTTGTCAAATACTCGGCCATAACAAAGTTCGCAGCAACCAAACTTTATTTCGATCCAGGACATCAGTGCCAATTTACCCGACTAATGCGAACAGTGAAATTTGTGAAAAATCTCACAAAGGCATTGGTGTGGTTGGAGAACATTTTATTGGTGTCGCAGGCGTAAACCTGATCTTCAACTGTGAATATTATTTTCTGCTTGGATGTTCGTGCGTACATATTAACATCGTTTCTCTCTGTTCCTTTCACAGTGTTCACAACACGATCTATCTAGAGGTTCACTGCCCGGCCGTCCGGCCCCATTTGGTGGTCGTATCTGACAGTGGAAGATCTGTTGTGGACTTTGCAAATGTGTCCCTTGGTAAGATAAAAAATATATTGTTGTCCTCGTGAGTTGCGTCAAGGGAAAGAATTTACCTCAACAGAAACTTTATTTTTTCATCAGTCAGCTATCCATCAGCGTTATTCTGTTGTCCACGTTAACTTTAACTCCCAAGATCTGATTGTTAATTCTCCCCTCTGGCTAATACACATTTCCTAATAAAGTAGTCACAAGAATTTTTTGTCAGATCAAGATGACAACTTCTACCTGATAAGTTTGAGTATTCTCATTACCTGTTTGCTGGATAATGTATGGATATTATAGGGAGAAGTTAAATGTTGATCAATTTAAAGGGTCAAAACAAAGAACATGTGATTGGAAAAGTTTCACAATAATAGTGTCGTTTTTTTTTTAGTGATCCTTTATACGTTGTGAGCGGTGTTACAGCTCGTAACTTGACGCCAAAACTTTGAAGACCTTTTGATGTAATTTTTGTTTGTAATGGTTGTATTGTTTCTTATATTTCTCTCCTTGCTTGTTTGTGTTTTACAAAGGTCGATCGGAGATTAAAAGTTTCACCATTCAAAATATTTCTGACGAACCAATAAAGGTAAGAGACACTGAAAAATGCTACAAAGTAATGCTACCATTAATCATGGTAGAATAGCCCGAATTGGTATCAAAATTCAGCAGTAAACTTTCAGCTTCAGCAAGGGTCTCTAGGGAACTGACCAAAGAGTCTATGGAGTTTGCTTCCTAGCTACGTAATGGATGTTAAGAGTTTTAACGCTGTGTTTCTTGTCTGGGCTTGTTCTCTGTGCTCTTTAAGAAGTCTTCATTTTTTAAAAATATTTGTTTAATTCTATACTTACTTGTTCACGGTTGCTAAGTATTGTCACACACTCTCTTTTTCTGTTCTGCTTTTCAGTTGAGCTCCTCGTTACTAGATCCTCACGGTCCTTTTCAGATGTTGAACGCATTAAGGACCTTGGATCCCCAAGCGACTCATACCGTGATTGTGTCGTTCGGTCCTAACGCTCCCAAAGAGGTAAGATTTCGACTTTGTGGGGTAAAACTAGAGAAAGAACATGGATATCAGGATTTGAAGAACCAAGAGCGTTTTTTATTTGCAATTCATGTTAATCTTCGTCATTTCTAACCACAGATAACCAGTTATCATGGTAGAATAGCCTCATTTTGAAGTTTTAAAATTTATCATTCAACTATTGGCTTCAGGGAGAGTCTCCGAGGGACTGACCATAGAGTTTGAAGGCTTTGTTCCCATAGTTTATTGGTGAATGTTGTTCGTAAAGTTTTGATGTCAAGCTTCGATCTTCTTCGTGCTGAATTTCTGATGAATTTTCCTTTCGTGTTTGACTTTTTTGATGTTTTTTTTATGTTTAGATGCTTTAAACGTGACAACATAACCTGTTAAAAAACCATCTTTCTCTATAACCTTTTATTGTGTAGTTACCACTAAACGAGTATAAAATCAAGTTAACATAAAACAGCGTTACCCAGCAAAATTACTGAGAAAGAAACCGTTTTGAGACAGCTGGTCAAATGCGGCCTCTGTTTCGATGAGACCACATTTCTTCTTCTCGACCGCTGGAAAATGGAATTAGGACTCTGGAAACAAGATTCCAATTGTTCTTACTGTTGTGTGGATGTAAATTCAATGAAATTTGGGCCCTGCTTCGTGGCCTTAGAGGTTCGAGATAAGCTGTTTCTATTCGCACGTAAGTTAACTCTTACAACCTTTGTCAAGACAATTTTGCAGCGCATTTTTTCACGTAAGCCAACGTTCCCTTATTTGATAAGGGCACTGTTCTAATCGAGCCTTGTCTTTTTCGTCGATACTTAGTTCCATGAGGTCCTAGAAGTGCGGTGCCCCCGGAATACACTATACCTCAGACTGAAGGGCAGGGGGGTTCAACCTGTGATCTCTCTGTCAGTGGAGGATGGTTTGCTGGACTTGGGAGACGCTCTAGTTGGTGATACGATCTCGTCCAGTTTTAAGGTAAGAAAAAGGAAGAATGTATCGATGAGATAAAATATTTTTAGAGAGTTTTTCTCCCCTTACCCCCTCCAAAGTATCAGGAGGGCTTATGTGTTGAGAAATTTGCAGTTGTACCTGTGATGGGAGATGCGATCACTTGATCTGGTTATCGTGCACTTATCAAGAGGTCTCTTTTGGAGTCCGGGGCGAAGTCGCTATGTTGTGTTCTTGGGCATTACGTGCACTAACCCAAATAGACTATTGATTTAGGACGTAAGTACTGGGGCTGAACAAGCGGGGCGGAGTGATGTAGTAAATATAACTTTTAGAACGAAATATATCTTATTGAGATGAGTGGTTTTATTTTCCTGTTGGTTCAAGCAAAAATGTATCTAAACAAACTGATTTGCGATCACGTTTGGTTTCTAAAACAGTCTGCTGAGTCGACTTCTCACCTGTGATACTTTTTTTCGTGATTTTGTGGGATCGTTGTATAATAAGGTAGCCAGACCTCATTCCTATTTAATCTGTCATCGCCTTTCAACTAGAAAGAATAAAGATAAGCGGGAACGAGAGGACGTCGTCATGTATCAGTATGAGGTTGTTTCTCCGCGTTGGCATGAATATAACGTGGCAATTCTAACGGCTTTCCTCTGCTATTTTTCTAATTGGTTTCTGGAAACCTCATCGAACACAGCTACACTAATTTTCGTCGTAACTCATTTTGCAGAGTTTATTCTAGAACGCGGCTTTGCGTGATTGCTGCAAATCGCAAAAACAATGCCGCATAAAAGTTACGTACGCAAGGTTTCAAAGAACCATTTTTTGAAACTCAGTATTCGAAAACATACCTGAAAGCAACATTGTTATGACACTTGTTGCATAAAATTCACTTTAACTTCATGGCCTCGTTCTGTTTTGTTTCCATCCCCTCAACTTTCTTACTGACTAGACTATACAAATAAGTTCAATCACCCTTTGGAAAACCCTATATCTTGAGCCCCCTCTCTGAAAAAGGGCCTAAAACTAAAGAAAAGGCTCAACTGGACCCTCTTCAGCCAATTTTTAGAATAACTCCTGATTTTGACGGCTATTTCTTCTTGCAGATATCTAACACTTCAGAGCTGTCAATCACCTATTCACTGAAGCTTGACAGCTTATCTCCATTACGTCACAGCCGAGCGCAAGTGTTACCCAGGTTCCTTCCGCCGTTTAGCGAGATGCCAGAAACTCAACAGCACGCGTTAGGTGAGATTGATATTGCGGAAGCTACCAGTTACGGCTTTTACTGCTGTTGCTATCTTTGATGCTGTGAAATATTTTTTTCTGGTATTTGTAAAAAAATTGATGTGCTGCGTCGATGTGCTAGTGAAACAGCTGATCTATTACAGAGTAAGAAAGATGGTACGTTTTGAGATCAGTAAGGAAGTAGAAAAAGACGAGAAAGATATTCTTTTGTCTTGTCACAAGCGTGGGACAAAGAAAAAATTCTGAGTCGCCATGAGGAATAGAACTTCAGACCTTAGGATTTGGTGGGAATTTTTGTAAAAGCCTGGCTTACCATAGAGTCTTAATGGTTCAGTGGTAGAGCATCGGAGGGCAGAATCCGAAGGTCTGTGGCTCGATTCCTCATAGGGACTCAGAATTGTTTTTCTTTGTCCCACGCTCGTGAAAAGACAAAAAACATCTTTCTCTAATTAGTCTATTTCCAGCAGTTCAGTCGCATGTACACTAGAAGGTAAAGAAAGGAAAACAGAGAGCTAGGAAAGCCTGTAAACGACCCCTGCCGGAATATAGTTACTGTAAACGCTTTCAAATACACTCCAAAACAGTCCCCATAAAGTCATGTACGCTGTTAAGAAAGGATGCTTCTTTACTCTGATCGAGTTTACTGTTTCAGTCATACTTAGTGGAGGAAACTGTTTACTTAGCAATATAAAGGTTTGTTCACGAAAAGGCGATGTTACGTTTGTGTCACTCCTTCCACCTGTAGTCAAAACTTGTTTCAATTCTAATGTCAATCATACGTTTGTAAAATTTTCTTTTCTTTTCTGCCAGGTCCGTCGAATTACAATGGGATGGCTGTATTTGACTGTGTTCCTGCTCAAGGTGTGATCGGCCCAGGTACACGAATAAAATGTGAACATTTCACCAAGCTGAATAATTAACATCATTACATCGCTGGCTTTTAACTGAATTTTTTTGACCCATGTAAGATTTTTATACGTTACAGGCGAGTCTAAAGAGATCACTATCTCTTTCAACCCGGATCACCCAAGTCAGCTTTACGCCGATGAAGTCTCCGTGGAGATAAACAACGGGGTGAGTAAGACTAGATTGTGATCTTGGAAACGTCTGCGCATTTGCGAATGTTGTAATGACTAGATGACATGCTTTCAGGCTATCAACATCAAGTTGTCTCACATCAGTTACAAGCAACCACACAATGCGTAGTAACGTACAACTTTTTCGGTATAGCTCAAAACAGATTAGTAAATCAACAAGAAATTCGTGCTTGTGTGCGAAAAGTTTCGTGGTGTCCTTTCCTCCACTTTTGTTTCCTTTTACAGATGTCTATTGATGGTTCGATTTTCTTCCGCTTTTTTTGCGAGACAGCGTTTGTTTCTTATATTTTCTTTGAAATTCCTAGCGAGAAATTGGCGCGCGCGCGCGGGCCAAAATTTCTCTCCTCGTGCATACCCCACGTTTGACCGCTGTGTTTATCTTGAATGAAGTCGAGAGGCTTCGCGAGAGTTGAGTGTTTGCACATAAAGACAACATAGTCACGTTGGTCACTTCTCAAAGAGGATTTTTCCAAACTGGAGGACAACACGCAAATCATTGGCACAGTGTATATCCTACTGCATTTACACTTATCCTTGTTACATTCTTTTAACTACTGTACGACGAATACATCTTGCTATGGTCTTAATCCGTATCTTTTTGATGTTCATACTTCAGGAGCAGCCCTATTCTGTCCGACTACTGGGCCGCGCCTGGCCAAATATCGTGTACCTGAGGGGCTGGGACGAGTTGATGCCGAGAGCTGAGTCATTACGAGCGGAAGTGGAGGAGGAGGAAGAGGAAGGTCAGGTTTCTAGAACAGAAAATTTTGCAGTAGTATTTTTCTTGAGTATTTTATATTTTATGGTGGAAGCTTTTCTTGACTGATTAGATCTAATTTCCCTTGTGCCGTTGCTCTCCTTCATCTACTATGAATTGCAGGTAGTCAATAATTGCTTCGCACCCTTAGTTCTTTAGAGTTTCAGGTTCGGGGATTGCCGAACTCGAAAACTGTAAGATTCGGTCAAGTGTCGGGCCTGTGATATGTCGGATTCAGAAACAGCCAGTTGTCAGGTTTGACAAATATTGGGTTTGGGGAGTGCCGAGCTCTTGAAGTGAAGGTTTTCGAAGGTTGGTTATACTTTGCTCGTAAAGGTCTTGGTGTTTTACACCAACATCTTAAAGCACCCAAGACCTGCGCGCGCTTTATGCGTGCATACATTAACCTTTTACGTCCTAACATCAGTGTGCATATTCCCAATGCAGTTTTCCATACATTTCTTAAGGTGCTGACAAGGAGAATTTGTTTAACAATCAAGAACTTCTTTACCTGGTGATCATTTCCTTTATTCTCATGACCTTAATGTGTGTTTCAGGGGTGATATTGTAAGGAGAAGCTAGATGTCAGTCACTCTTATGGGTCGAAGGGTTAAGATATAGGCTCAGCCCGCCCTTGTTGATAAGAGCGACCTTGCAGGGTTGTTAAGTGCATTTGAATGTATGCATACATGAATTGCGCACTTTTAACATCAACATCATTGCTACAATTTTTTTTCAGAGGGAAAAGCAATCCAGAAAACAGTTCTGCTAACAATGAAAAGCGTATCAACTCCTGATGGATATGAGGCTGTGGAAAGAGCCGTGGAAATTGGCTGTATTAAGTCCAGTATACAAACTAAAAAGGTACATGAAAACTTCATCCTTTAATACGCTATAGAAAACCGTAACATTTTTTTAAATACTAATCTTTGTGTTTGTTTTCCGTTCAGTCAAGTGACTTTTATTTCGACAATCCCAAAGAAGCTAACGAACTGGGATTCTCCTTTGAGCCTCAAAAGGTTTGTTTGTTGTTTTTGTTACGTCACTGTCCCTGAAAACAGTCGTTTTCAGTACCACTCTCGCACAAATTACTCTACATGATTGACAATTATTTTTCGCCCCTTATTTGGTAATATTTAGTTTTTTTTTCTGATTATGAGCGTTGCCGTATTTAATTTTGTTCTACGAAGGTCTGGCTAGCTGTTTATATCTTATTTATTTATTTATTTATGCATTGTTTTATTTATGCTACTTAAGGCGGGAGTTGACATTGGCGTGAAAAAGAACATTGTGTTTCGATGGCAACCGCCAGCTGGGCATGATGTAAGTATTCTTCACTTGAATTTCATTTCCTCTTTTAAAGAGGCACGTCGTCTTTTGAGGAAGATTATCTCTTGCTTCAAATAGGCATGTGCCTTTTTTATTTCTGAAAGCCTATCCGTTTCAAATTAAGGTGTGGTACAAACTTTTTTTGGAAAAATGAATGTTATTACATGAGAGCGTAGAAGTCATTTCATATCAAGACCTTCGTGCTTTCACTAATTGTAATATCTCGAGCGTAGTGTATTCGGTAAATAACCCTTTCGAGTAAGGCGACCATTTTTGGTCCTTAGTATAAAACGTCCTGTTCCTGCACGTCTAGCTTCACAGCTAAAACAAGTTTTCTTGAGAAAAAAGAAATATTTTTATTCCCGGGGACATTGAATAGTCGTCGATAGATAAGAGTCCATTCCAAATGAAGCGGTCCCAAGAGGGAGACGTAGAATGACTGCCAAGTCTAAAAGCCTCACCTCTTTAAAAAAGTAACAACACAGCCTGAACACATTTGATGATAAAAAAAAATGTAAGTCTCTCTTACACGCCAAGTTGTCCACGCAACTTGAACGTATGCTGATGAAGACTACGACTGGGGTATTACCACTCCCTTTGGATAAGATGCAACTTCATTGAAGGTACCACATTCCTCCCCTCCCTCAGCTCTTCACTGGGTTCCCACCCATACCCCCTGGGTAGAGAGAACCATTGTGAAAGTCTGGTATCTTGCCTTAAAATACAACACAAGCAGCTAGACCAGAACTCAAACCCACACTTTTCGAACCGCATTCCAGTTTATTGAGCCTGCGAGAAGGGTCTCGTGTCGGGGTTACGCCTTGCGGCACAGCTGCCTATTACACCTGCCGTTTATGGAAAAAGTTATTGAAATCTCTGCTACTTTTCCGGTTAACGGTATAATTTCCTTTCTGTTTGTCACAGCCTAATGAACCTGTTAACACCAGTACTATGGTAAGTTTGTTGTGTGATCTTTTTAGTTTTGGTTACATTCATTGTCTTAAACGTTCGCTTGTTCTTCCCGGTTATGTCTTACTCAAAAAACATGAGGTGAAAGTGATTCAAAACGCACCATTTTCGCAAAATCGCGAGGTTTTAGTGTTACGAAATATAGTTTTTTCGCTGCGAGTTTGAATGGTCAGGTACTCCATAAAATGCTTTTACTTTGAGCAGTCAATTCTTCGGGTTACTGATATACAGGTTGAGCGAGAGACATCTTAGTCAGGCATAGGACAAAGGAATGAGACGGGAGAACAGTTACGTTGTTCAGCACCCTCAAGGGAATTAGATATGTAATCACCCTTTTAACATTGGGGCGCTATTTTCAAGAAAAGCATTTTATTTCCACCAAAGGGATTTAAGCAATCAATAGAATTATGGTTTTCCCTTCCCCCCCCCCCCCGCAAACTCTAGCATCCGGTGAACGCTGGAGTTTTCGTAATCGTAACCATTCATTGCAACATTCATTCCAATCGTAACCATTCATAATATCCTTGACAAGAACCGGGAATGGTGATATGTTGCAAACTAACCCTTTCTCGTCCGACTTTTTTGTTATTACAGTTGACAGTTAAGAGTGACGTAACAACCCAATACAAGATCCTTCTTCAAGGATTAATCACAACAGAGCAAAGAGACCCGGATGTTAGTGGTCACGTGGTGTCTTTAGCGGAAGACACTTGAGCTTTCTTACAAACGTGTTGTGAAATATAACTCTTCGTAAAGTTTTGTCATACGATATGTAACACTCGTAATACTTAAAACGTTCTAAGAAGCGTCCAGGGGTTTATTTAATTTAATTTAGAGGAGAGTCTTATTTAAAACTCATTTGAAGCCATTGTTTTATTTCTGAACAGCAGCCCAATTTTGGTGAATTCCGTAAAATGTATGTATTTCTTTGGTTGGAAAACCGACCACGTTGAAAACTGAAATTGATGCAGGCTTCCGAGTATAATCACATTTTTTACTGAAACACTCCCCAACCTGAATGAATAACAACACCATAGCATTACCATTTGTATTGCGTCATTTCACTACTAATCAAAGTGTGCTTTTTACCCGAATTTCGTGTTCTAAAGAAGCTGTGGTACTGCGTCGGTGGGAGAGTATAACGGAGTAACTTAGTGTCATCAACGGAGTTGATAACGTAAATTGGCCACCGTAGGGAGTGTCCAGAGTAATTCGGAATCACTTTGGTTTTGTTTTACCTCACTTTTTAATTAGTCCGGGACATTCGCACCACTGGTGAGTTGTCTGGTATTGGTCATCCTGTCGAGGCTGTGCGTATAATTTTGTACCCCTACGTCTAAAGTCCGTGTGATTGGACTACAGTCAAAGAATTGAACGCGATGTTTAGTGTACATGCTGTGGAAACGAAATGATAATAATATTTTACTCGAGTGTGTAATTATTTATATCATAGAATATATTCGGTATTTCAATTATAGTTAATCGTTTCAGTATAAATTTGTACCTTTATTTGTTTGAGGTAAGATCAAATGTATTAGTTTGATACGTTGCACGCAGTTTTTAGTGTCGCTGTGTTTCGAACTGTGACAAGCTTTTACGACACTGCATTTAAGGCGTGAAAATAAAGCTTTGAAAGAAATGTTATGCTTCTCATTTCTGTGTGCAGAGTTATTGAGTGAACAAGGTGCGGACGATTATCCGGCCGATGTACTGGCTGACTTACAGTCTAACTCTCTGCCTGACTTACTGACTGTCTGAATGACAATTTGGATGGCAGTGCCAGTTAACCGATTGACGGCCTGACAGGCTCACCGACTAACCAATAGATTGCTTTTTTGGCTTACCCGGCGACCGATTTTCTGGCCGACTAACGCCCTTAGTAGCTGACTGGTTCACTGACTGACTGGCAGACCGATTGCATAAAGGGGTAATTTTTCAAAGAAACTGTGGTGCTGCGTCCGTGGGAGAGTATAACGGGGTTACTTGGTGTCATCAACTGAGTTGATAACGTAAATTGGCCACCGTAAAGATCTGAGAAGCCGGCGTTTCGAGCGTTAGCCATTCCTTCCAATTGACTAACTTATTGACTGACTGACTGACTGACCGACTAACTGATTCACCGACTGACTGACTGACTAACTGGCTGACCGACTGATTCACTGACTAATTGATTCACAGACTAATTCACTGACTGACTGACTGACTGACTGGCTGACTGACTGACTGGCTGACTGACTGACTGGTTGACAGACTGAGTGACTGACTGACGTGCCCTAGCCGCTTGCTGTGAACTTTACAACTGAATAGAGCACATTCAAGGCTTCTTTATTTGCTATTGAGCTAGTTCGTTCCCAGAAACCACGTTCCCCTAATCCCCCGCGGAGAGGAATTGAGGACCTCGACTTGGTTCCTCCCCTACAAAAGATTAAAGGTAATGAAATTATTTTTAGGAACAATTTTTGTGTCTACTGCTTTAGAAAGCAGTAGGCAATAGCCATCGAAAAAAGGCGAGCGGGTAATTAAATTGGTAACACTCCGTACCCAATCAGTCTAATGAGTAAACGATGAAATACGCTGGAGTTTCGCCTGTACTCAGGGTTCTTCCGACCAATTTTCGTTCCCGTGGTGTTCACAACAAATGATCAACTGATTGGGGAAAATGACATCCGGGCGGCCGCGCGCAGTTCCCAGCAAAATTCCTCTTTTTCGGCTTAAATGGATTGAAGAACCAGCTACTAGCTTCAAAATTAGCATTTCAAACACTTGTGCGAGCTCCAAGGAGAAAAGCAATTGGAAATGGAAGTATTGCGAATGTAGAAGCAGATGTAGTAAATCCTATTTCACCGTTACATAGGCTACCGGTCAATACAGCTACTATTCAAATTTATTAAAAACGGAAACTTTCAGTTTAAGAGTTCTGCTTTGTTTGTGAATGTGAGACCTTTCAAAGTATTGGAAGCAGCAAACTCTGCAAGAAGGAAGGAAATTTCTTTGATTTGCTCATTACAACTAGCTGACGTAAGCAGGTTCTTTTTCTGACGAAAAGTACCATTCAGTAAGCATTAAGTTTATTAGTTTCACTAGGGATTCTTTGTGAGGATTTGAACTCCTCAATACCAAATTTAGAAGACCACTGCATAGGGTTTACATAATAATAATGGTTTCTCTGATTAACTATATTATAAATTGTACTTAAACTGCTCATTCTCGTCAAGCCTACTTTATCCGTACTAGCAGAAGACACATGCAGCCATTGGTTGCCTACTTTTGTGATTTTGGCGGGAAATGTAGACTCTAATTATGCGCATGCATAAGTAGAGGTGTGGCGTGAACGAAAAGATTGCCATTTTCAAGTATGGCTGGAGAATTTTAATTACGTTTTCAAAGTGACAATCTTGTTCTCAGTTTTCATGGTGCAACGTAATTTAGACGAAGTGGAGGAAAGCTAGAAAGAAGCTTAGTGTAATCACATAAAAACGTTGAGTATGCAAATTAGTAAGAAGCTGAAGCCCACCTAGATGACGTGCTGATGAATGGCCAAGATTACATGAAGCACTGCCCGAATCCTGCTTATTGAGGAGTACTACAATGATTTCCTGAGTCGCCATTTCTAGATAACCCAGTCACGAACATGGCAAATTCGCTTCAGGTGAGAGATTAAACTTTCACTATCTTAATGTGATTCAAGCTCGAAAAATTGTCTCCAAACCAAAATTTCATGGGTAGCGCCTACGGTAAACAATATCTTATTTCGGTAACACAAAGATGAAAACGAGTTCTGGAAATATTGTTGAAGGTCATTAATTCTCTCTCATACAAACCAGCTTGAGAGAACAGCATTTATGACCAACGGGAAATAGGTTTGTAGACATGAGACGAGGACATACTCGGAAGTACTAAAGGGGCTGGAACATTTTTCATGTGTGATAATCCACTCCGGATAAATACAGTAAGACTCTTTAAGATGCAAGCTTGGGTTGTACTTCTGATATTGGCCAGATTTTTCCCGTCTCTTTTGTACTTAGTACGAACTGCACGTGCTGGTTTGCACTTGCTCGCAATTTGCATATACTCCTCGACAACAATGTTTACGTAAGCTCAAATGTGGTTTAATTCCTTTCAGTTTCAGATTAAAAGGCCTTAAAGCCGTGTTCTTTAGCCAGTAGTCTTGATTCTTTTAAAGAAAATATTTTGCTATGCGTCGCGACGCTTTGGCATCCCAAAGTACACTCTGAATTCCAACGTGCTATTCTAACAAAGAGCATTTGAGTAATCATAGTGTTAATTAGGGCGCCTAAAAGACTATTATGGTATTTTTCTAGAATGATCTGATGTACTTCCTTTCACAGATCTTTACTTGACTAAAATATTTTTCTTCTCCCACCCTTAATTAAAGATCTTCCGGCAAGTTTTGTAGATCTACGATCTTTAATTGTTATTACGAGATACTTTGGGGAGGACAATGCAATAAACTGAGTTATTTCCGCAGGTTCCTGAGTCCCTGTTCGATTTTCAATAGCACCTTCAAATTCCTTTCCAGTTGTGAAAGAGTGGCGATGTATGTTTAGTTTAGCGGCTATTACACTGGCTGTTATTGGAGAAGGTAACCAGCTTTCATTTTCTTTGTAAGTTGTTCATGCATCTCTTCTCTACATCGGGAACTTCTTAATTTTAATCTTAAATAGTTGTGAGGGTACGATCCATTTTTCCGATCCGTTCTGAAACACTTCCGGCCGGTGTTGAAATACACTGGCTGCTCATTAATTTTATTGCGAATGAATAATTGATGATTCCTATTGAATTGTCAATATCCACCCATTCACCCCAGTTCTGAGTTAGCTCTAAACAAAATGTCGCCACAAAGTTTTTACTTTGCTGGTTATCCAAATATTCCACTAATTAATCTTATTCACAAACATTTCCGGCCCGTGTCGAAATACATTAGGTGTTATTACTTTTTGTGTAGGAACAATTGATGCTTCCTAATGGATTGGGAACTTTCTTTTACCTCAGTTTGAAACTGCATCTTCTGAAATGTCGGCTTAACAGACCGATGGTCCAAATATTTGCTCGTCGACCGTCGAAAGCCTCATTTTACGCGATCAACAAGTGAAAGGCAATTCCGTGCCCATGATAGACTTATGACAAAAACGGAAACTACTGGACGTAAAGTCTGGGAGTCAAAGCATGCAAGACAGATGAAGATTTTTACTAAGAACTCTATGACCATTTCGAACGTTACCAATGGTAGGGAATTATAAGGCTTCACTAATTTTTTGCTAAAAATCATCTTTTCTTGATTTTTAAAGAAATCCCCCAATTTTTTTTTTGTCCTCGGGCGTGAGAATTTATCGTATTAAAATTCTTAATATTTCTGAGCTACTTGCAACAGGTAACATGGTTGAAGCCACGATCCAAAGAAACAGTGTACTCAAAGGTTAACACTGCGTACTTTCAGATGATTTCACATCTCCTATCAACATGTGTTTCGATCTTTTTTAAACAAATCAACAGACCAACTGCCCCAGCTGATGAAATAAGAGCCCTGCAGATGATTGATTGAATTATGATGTCAGCATTACTCAGCAATTTGCGTGCGAAACCAATGCGGCGTATTTTCATTAACAAATCAGTACTGCGAACTCCTTTCTGAGATGGGACCAGAATATATTGAGGCTAAACCTACAGAGTTTATAGGAGAAAGAGATTGATTCTGAAACTATGCTCAATGAAAACGTAGTAGATGGTTTATTAAAACTCCTTTAGAAAGAAGCTACGCACCGGCATTTTTAAATGATGCACCCTGAAACAATAATTTGCCAGCCTAAAAAAAAAACGTTGGAGAGATGGAGATAGAACGGAAAAAGGAACCAATAGGAAAAAAGAAGATCGACGCGAATTGCAAATGACGGAACTGGAAAATTCAGGCTAAATTTTCATCAGACACAACTTTAGCCCTTTTGAAAGTGTATATCGTTTGAGGACTAAAAGGATGTATCGTAGGTACTTCTCATAGAGGGATGGCAAAGTCTTTTGAAAACTGTAGAAAAATTTTTTCCATGGTTTGCTTGGTGGAAAGGTAAACATATTCCAGTTTCGAAACTACCGTAAAATTGTTTTCTGCTTTCGTGATGAATAGAAATACAAACAATTCTATATATAGATAAACAGATATCGTGGAAGGTTCTCGCAAATGAGAGCAGAACAAGCGAGAAAGCCGTAAATCACCATTTTAAATAACGTATAGGGGAATTTTTTGGTGACAATATTAAGACGACAATATTATTATTTATGGAAATTTTTCTCAGTAATTGTTATTCTTTGATGAAGTGGAAGCGTTCATGCATTGTAGAGTGACCTTTCAAATGATTCAATGATTGATTGATCTGTTGAATGACTGTGTGCAATGTTAGTTTAGGTGCGAAACATTATCTTTTAGGATTCCCTGATCCGAATTTCTACGCTGTTTTTCACCTACTGCTAAGTATAGTTAACGGCAACATGATGAATACTTAGATTCTGCCAGCAATTTCGGCTTGATGCAGACATCTTGTCTTAATGTGGGCAGTTGATCAGACTGCCGTACGTCGATCGGCCAGATAGAGCAAGCTGCGACAACATGAGTTAAAGAATGCTCGCCTATGATTGGCCGTCCGCGTCGTAAAGCTTGCACGAACAATACTTAATTGAAAAACTGACGGTGTGGCGACAGTACTATCCTACAAATAAAACACAACTGATCCAGAACCAAAGCCTTCTAACCAAGAAAACAATTGAGGGATTGCAAGAATCAATCATAAACACAAAGGCAGTGAGATTTGAAGCGTATGATTTGTTGTCCGTAATGACGTCAATAGGGGCTTGCAAGCGGGGCACGCCGTCCATGCGTGAATGTCACGCCGGTCGTGAATCCGTTTGGTTCATTCCTGCACGATACACTGTAAGAGATACGAGTAAGAGATACAAATTCTACGGAATATTTGATCGGACTCAAAAGGGCGGTCCTTGATTGCGCAATGTTTGACAGATTCTTTTCGAGGTAATCATTGGATTAATTTTTTGGACGCGCTCCCACTGAAGAGGTTGCATTGCAGTCCGGGAAGGCGTGCGTGATTTTTTCCTCGACCAGGTGCGTTGAAATCTTAAATCTTGAATCATTAAATATAACTTCGTCATTTTGTCAGCTGCATTTGAATCGTTTGGATTACTTTTTTAATTTGAAGGCAAACCAATAGTCTTATCCACATCGCTTTTCCAAACACAACAACAAGATTGTAAAATGGCGCAAAATTTTTCTTCGTTATGTACTGTATACTTGGGTGAAATATGATTTTTCGTTTACGGACTCAACAAAAACAGTTACTAGTCAAACGAAATTGGAAGGCAGCGCAAAAGTTCAGTTACTTTGAGGTATACAGGGTGATATGTAAAATTTCTAGGTCAAAGCCCTTTGCTCACTTACTGTACACAATGAATTATTATGCTTTGTCAACGAAAGCATTTTATTCCATTGTGGCTGTGCCAGAAAGAATTTCAAGAGATACAAAACAGGACGCGTAGATGAGCAGGACATTCCATTTTTCATGCTGTTAGTGACTAAATGAAATTATTCTCTTATAAGGACGGTTCTGAAAAACCTTTCATATTTTTTGTTCTGACAATTTCTCTTGCCTAAATCAACCAAACTATACATTACAACGTGCTAGCTCTCACGCATTGCCATTACAGCATGGAACCCTTACCGATATGGTTTGCAATATCACTTTTTTTCATCGCCCAGAGTGACTCCAGTGAAACGTAACTGACCCACTAAAAGCGTCGTTAAAGTTTTTGTCAGATCTGCCTTGCTTTTAAATTGGGCAACGAGAACTGGCAATATCAAAGGACAATATTCGTAAGTTGTTTCCCTAGAAATTTTACAATAAATTCGTTACCTGTTCAGTCGATGTGCACAAGGCAAGTGTGGACTCATTGTCTCAAGGAAGCATTTAGTCATTGTTCTATGAATTTTAGAACAGGCGAAGTTCATTGCGTGGTTAAGTTTAAGTCGTGCCAGTGAATAAATTGAAGAGTGATGGTTACATATCGTAGAGTTTCATTAGCCAGATTTGCACGAAGATCCGATCTTTTTTTTACACTAAACTTTGGTCGGCCTGTTAAAATCAAGTTCTCACGTATGAAGGAGCAACTAGTGAGAATGTTTTCTCCCCTCAGTTAAAACATGACCTATTAAAGTAAAGGCCTCGAAACTGTTGTAATGTTTTAATGTATCACATCAATGTTCTAATTTTGTTCGCTTTGGCTGTTGTCGGATGATACCACGCCAATCCGATCGAGTTCCACTAAATTGAGTTTCAAATCTTTTTTAAGGAGTAACTCAATATCCTCTCATCTTAGTGTTTGAAAAACAGTGGTAAATTTTAGGTTCTATGAATAATGTACATGTAATCGAAAACTGATTTCTTTTCTAGAGACAAGCAAGAATGATCAGAATAAGATCATGAGGATAAGATGTTCGTGTCCCTTGTTGTTAACAACAGCTTAATTTCAAAGTAGGTTGTGATGCATGTTCTGACTTGCTTCTGACAGGGTTTTAAGCTTGTTTCTCGGTAAACATTCTCGATGGGATGCCTTTTTTGTTTTGTATATTCTTAAAATCAATCTGTTAATGAAATTTAGAAGCTCTTATCACACCAATGTTGGTTATTGATATCAGTGGTAAAGACTGAAAGAGCTTGCATCGAGATATCGTGTGGGGAAGTAACTTAGATGTAACCGTTCAAAGAAAGCTTACAGCACTCATGCTGTTATTTTACACAATACCGATGTCGCAAGCTAAGGCAATTTACGTGAGAAGCAAAGTTATCAGTTTGTTGAGAAATTGTTATACAGGGTCAGTCGGCAGGGAAGAGATTTAACGCTAAATTGCCTGTCAAAATTTAATATAATTCAAATGGACACAATACCCTTGGCTTTTCGAATTCACTTTAGAGGCTTGCCTTCCGCTATCAACCTCTTGTTGATAAACAAGCAAAGAAAAATCTAATAGTTTTGTTATGCAATTTTTTAAAATTCGCTATTTAACTCAATTAGAGAATCGATTTACTACTGGATAACACAGTAACTTACTTCAACCCATATCTTTGGTACATGAGGTCAAATAATCAGCTCTGTGCCAGTCCATTGTCTTTTTATTTGAATCCTACAACGGTGTTCATTTCTTTTTCTTTTCGATGAGAGAATCTGCTTCGAATTTCGAGAATTCAAATTCTGTCTAGCTAAGTTGCTTTATGTAAAATATATAGACGAGTAACCATGGGTGCATCTCTCAAGTAACTTTCATTGAACTGGAATCATGCTTCGACGACGAAAGGGCCGAGTAAAGAAAGGCAAACATGTCAAGTATCGTGGATGAAATTCAGTTTATGAGATTAATGGGAGTCTAAGTGAATAATGTGTAAATGTTATTACGAGGCAAGATGACCTTGAATTTGTGATACAGAACACAGATGGAATTCGCGCACTCATTTCCGGAAAAATAATTGAATAGAACTGGCCGTAAACTACAAACAGTTGTTAATGTGCGGTCGTTCCATCAAATAAAATCAGTTGTGATTTTTTATTTTTCTTTATGATAACCTAACTTTCGTTCGAACATTGTTCAGTAAATTGAATACTGAAAATGCAACTTGCAAAGTAGACTCTAAGATATGCTTGACTTGCATCCAATTGCAACATTATTTAGGGAACTCCATGCCTTTCCGTGTTATGTTGTTCAGTAGCAAGCCTGAACTGAAACTAAAACTGGTCCTTCATCCGTCTGAGAATTCATTTTAATACGCAGAGGAAAAGGCACTTCATTGAGTCTCTCATCTAGACTCTTAATAGTTCACGAATCAACTTAGCAGCGACAGCTAAAATGCAGGTATTGCAGGCATTCCTCTTGAGAAAGACTGTTTTACAGTTGGGTTTTACAACGGAGATTGATCAATGCAAAAACTTTTGACAGAACATCATAATAGCATTGAGCACTGATGGAGCCTAGTCGTTCGAAAAAGCTCCAAACAAAGAGCGAGGCAAACAGAGCACTAAATTCATAGGTCGCAAAAGGAGCATGGAATCTTTCTTTCTCTGCCAAGGTTCAACACGTTTAATCCAGAAGTGCAAGGGCCGAGGGTTCAATGTTGTATTTATGTTGTTCTTAACAAGGACAAAAGCTCTTCAAAACAGGGTAAAGAATATCCCACACAGTCATAAAACGTCAGCAAAAGGCGGACTGTACTTCTTGCTGAAGAGAGAGATAATCGGCGGATTAGCCAAGCGCGAAGAACTGTTTGGTCCATTTTATTAGGTAACACTTTTAGTCCCATATTCACTGTTGTAAGCTTGTATGATTAACAATGAAATTTGCTAATTGAAGTGCTTTAAGACTGTTTTAGGCAAGACAAACGATTAGTTTTGCTAATAAAATTATGTAATATGAAGTCAAATTTGTATCTTTCTAGCTGTGGGCTTCTCTTTCCATGAAAATCATGGCGCACGTCGAAAACGAAAGAAAAGCCGAAAAAAAACTCTTATATTCATTAGATTAAAAATTAGAGGGAATTGATGATGACGAATGCAAAATTAATTGTTTTAAGCGGGAAGACAACTGTTGTGAGTCGTAAATGGCGGTACCCTTGAAGACGGCGAAAGAAACCAGCAATAAAAGTGTTGTTGTAACTCTCCAACACTTTGCAGCCCGCAAGCAGAATAATTTGGCCTGTTGCTACTTTTGGTTAATAGACTTCTCAGAGCGTTTACCGTTTCGGGTAAGTAACTTTACCAAATTGTGAAACGTAACTGACTTGTCGAAGCACCGCTCACCGCGAAAACAGGGTGTATGCAATTAGCGTTGGCAAGACTGAAAATATATGGAAAACTTTTACGAGAAACTTTGGGTCATTTGTTGAAAAACACACAGAAAAGCTTTGCAGAAGACTTGAAAAGACAGAGGTAAAAAATTATTGTAATAAGCTATAGAAAAGAGACATTTCTTTGAAAAATAGGGAAGCTTCAGTGAAATGTAACTCAGAGTCAATATTTGATAAGTTTATTTGTTTCAGTCTTCCCGGCCCAACCGTATGTTGTGTTAGATTTGGCGTCAACCTTCAGCTCAAATCGGACGGCAAGAAAGAAAAGAGGCAATGTTGCATTTTGCGAGAGAGAATACAGCTTTTCCCTAGATATAAAGCGTTTACATTGTGTGACTGACTTCCAAGCCTTAGGCATGCACGCCATTGGATTTGGGCAAAAATCCAGCACTCCAACTTAATAGCCGACGGATTTCCTCTAGACTTGTAAGAGGCTGCCGGAATTTTCCGTGAGGGCGTTATGGAATAGCAAGTCTTTTTTTTAATTTACTTTTTCTTCAATCATAGTTTAGATTCTATATTGTATGCAGCTATAAATAGCAAGATAAGAGTTGCAAGGTGATGAATCAGTCCTTATTACAGTTACTTCGACTGAACTGATTAACTTAACGTTCGTGTTGCGCATGGCTAGTAGAGCAAACAAAGAACATATTCTCCGGTGTTTAACCAAATCATTACAAAGATCACTTTGTTCAATTGCTGGGCCTTGAACTGTAATAACCTCAACTGTACAGATGTCGACGAAAGTTTAACAGTGTTTTTGGAGGTTCTTCTCTTTTGTCATGCTTGGATAAAGGTGGGAATGAAGTGACCATCTAGTTGCAACTCCAACAGAACTTGTAGGTTATATAAACAACTAAATCATGATTGCTGGGAGTGTCTTAATCCTCGCGAGAAATACCTTCTGCAATTTCTTGATTAATGATCACGTTAAAAAGAGACCACGTTTGTAAATTATCTTTGTATCACTGCGCTTCAATATTCTTATTTCAGGAAGCAGTATCGGATTTCTGAAATGATACCACCTTTTCTAAATGCAGTCTTCGGCATAGAAGAACACTGCATACTGCCATAGTTGGCTCAATTTGAAGCACGTATAATGTACTAATGTAGCGTTGTTGAGCAAGGAAGTCATGAAACGATAAAAGTCGTTCATTAACTCCTTCAAGTTTAATGAACGATAGCATGACATCATTGGCTGACAAAAGATAGACTACATTTTATCACTGGCATGTTCTAGCCTCTCCCGATCGCTTTACGCACGATACAGCTACTACGCGATATTGCACCTCCCTTGTCTAATCGAGCTTTCAAGCGAAACGGGGAGCATAGAAAGTATGTTAACAACAAGGCCATATATTATTTGCAGTCAGATCCCAGAAATTTGATTTTTTTTTCTTCATTACCCTTAATAAAACCTTCCTTTAAGGATGAGTGATTTTTCTTATAAGCCAGCGTAACTGATATGGTTGAAAACTCTATTTCTTAACTATCCGCATGAACCATAAGTCAGTTGAAAATCACTTCGCCTTTTTTAAACGCGTCAAATTTAGCTATGAGCTCATCAGTTGTGGGTCGTTACAATATATTCTACGTTGTAGAACCTTCACAGTTATAATTCAGTTCGACGCCTTTTTAATACAACGCGGGTTTGCGACATGCAAGGTTATTTTTAAATTCAATCCAACGCTAACAATATTAGTATTACTTTCCCTCATCGAACAAGTATCCATCGCGAATCCATCGGACATCCGGTGTGATAAGTAAGCGTGCATTTCCTGAGTCAAGTGGGTGAGCAGCCGTCGACAATTGGAACGAGATAAAGCAATTGTATATTGTAAACATTTGAACAAAATGAAATGTTTATCCTGAAGCAAAGGAAGAATTTAAAGGACAGCGCAGTCGCTAAGGCGAAGTAGTATCATTCGAAACTAGCTGAGTGATTTCTCACTTCTGTGTTCACGAAGCTTTGTCATATCTAAGCGCGTGATCCCTTTGTTTTCTCAGACCCTCCCAATAAGCTTTTTATGTCAGCGTATTAAAAAAATATTGATATTAATAAAAGAAAAATAATGAAAATCTGGCATTAAACCAAGGTCCGATTAAATTCAACCGCTTGAATAGTGCGTAGATATCGTTGACAGCTCGGGTTTGCTTGGCAATTACAGCGCAACCACAAGGCTGATATATTCCATTTTCGATATCGTTGAAAAAGTTAAAGCGAACGCCTCTACAATTTGAATGAGTTTTGAATATTGCGCGATCGTCGCGTGACTGTAGAAGAGAATCGAGTGCAGAAGGATTTTGTCAGAGTTCTCTTAATTCTTTGAGAAATAATTTCTTTTGATTAAAAAAAAAACATGCAGAAGTAAACCTTATTTATCCTGCATCAGTTGTCGCCCAGTAATTGTGGTATTAATTTACTGACGGCCGTTCCGGTGTAATTGCGAAATCGCGCAAAATCTCTGCGGCCGCCAGTATTTAACTATCAAGAATGGTGAAAATGCTTCTAGCAAAATCTTGCGATCTCTTTTCCCTTTTTTTACGGGCAATTGCACCTCAATTGAATCCCTCATCCGGTCATCGTTCTCGTTATTCCTGGTGAATCCTTTGCCTTGAAGAAGAAGAAATTTTATCGCTCGTTGGTTATTTCAATGTTTAGTCTTGATCTCTTGCGTGGGCTGAATGACGTCATAACCCTACACGAGAACAATGGGTTGATTATAGACAAGGCCGTGGGACGTGTTCATGCATTATTTAAATACGACAGACGTGCTTGAAATCGTGAAACTGATCTTTTTGCATCGCTCCTGGAGAATAATATTTAGAAAGGCTAAACGGTGTCGGGAATATATGTAATTCTTCGGCAGCGACGAATTTTGGCGATGTCATCGTTAGAGTTGGCGACAAACTTCAACTTTTTACGAGTTCCTGTCGAGTTTGGCGGAAATGTGACGGGGAAATGTTTCCTAGCTGAAAACGGAAGGAACTTGATTTAAAATTGGACTATTGTGATTTCGTAGGCAACATTTCGGTTTCTGAAAATCAAAATAATGGCCAAATTTAATTTTGCGTTCTCTCTAAGACAAATTGGCTGGCAGACACAAAGTTAGTCTTCATGACAGAACAATGAAATACCGTAATAGTAAACTCGCTATTCACTAAAATGGTCGCTTTCCATTGGACGATCTAACGATTAACGTTTCACTCCGACAGGTCGCTAGCCAATCAGACAAAAGCGATGCCAGCAAGGTATCACATCAAATAAAGAGCGACAGGTTTTATCGGCGACAGACGGCACAAAGTTTGTCGCCAACGCCGCCACTCCAAAACACAAACGTTCGCGGAGCAAACTTTGTGTCCGTATGATAACTTCCGAGGAGGTTCGCAACCAAGCCGTTTTGATGGAGCTGCAATTTTTTTCGCCTCAAGGACACGAAAATGGCTGCGAGTGACTCTGCTGAGACAGTGCCGCCGCTTGGAGAGACGACTACCGGTTTGTCACATGCTAATGAACTTAAGACACTACGAGAAAAACTTGGAACCAGCGATAATCGTGACGAATCTCACGAACTGAATGCCGACCGCAGCATCTCCGTGCAAATGCCTCCTTTGAATTCGAGCTCAAACTCGGTGGCGAAGCCTGCCGGTCATGGCAGCTTTATCCACTCTGAAAGCTCTAGTTTTAACGTGAAAATAGAGCCTAGTGATGCCAGCCAGAAAAATATAGCCGGCGATCCGGCTCGCGGCTTTGACAGTGTTAGCAGCGAAAGGCCAGTCGGATCTGATCAAGGACTTGTGACGGAAGAGCCGTTAGAAATTCAGTGCGGTGAGAATGCTGCCCTGTTGTACGTGTCTAAATTGTGCCAAGGAAGCAAAGGACCGTGTATTTTATTTCAAAACGACTGGCTTACACCGAATGAGCTTCAGTACATCAGCGGACGAGAAACTGCCAAGGACTGGAAAAGAAGTATTCGCTACAAAGGAAAATCTCTTAAGAGTTTGATTGCGCGCGGGTTGATAAAAGTTCACCCACCTATATGTGATTGTCTGGGCTGCAGAATCTCGTCACCTGTGGTAAGAATTGATTTTCTGTTTGTTAACATCCCAAAACATAACAAAATGCTTTAGTTTGAAAAAAGATTTTGCGACTTCGTTGGTTTCAAATCTTGTAGTGTGATGCCACCACTGAGATAAGGCTGGTTTTATGCCTGCTAGCAGCGCTTGTGGTGTGTTATTTTAATTATGCTTATTGTTTATATCATTATCGATCTTCGTTTTGTTTAGCATAGCTGGCATCTTAGCTGAAATCAAGTTCCCGGGCTAGGGCTGAGGTAAACGGCGCTCCAATATATGCAGACACCATTATTAACGATTGAAAAACAGCTTGGTTATTCCGCCCCCGGTGCATTTCTTAGATACGATTTGTATTTTGGTACTAACACCTTGAAAAATTAATGACAATGAGAAAGCACAGTGGAAGTTAAGACAATTATATTCTGTTCAAAAAATTTTGAGGGAAACGAGGGAGGAAAAATGACCGAAACTGGTTGCATGCGGTTGATGCTTTTTGAAAAGAGCATAAGACTTTAGTGAAATGTTTGCGGAGACTATCAAGGTGACGGAAAAGGCGGTGCAACGAGGTGATAAAATTGACAGCTTTCAAGAAACAATAGCTCTTGAAATTGTTTCACAGTTTGGGTCCAGCTGGAACGGGGGGCCTCTATGAAAGAGAGCACATCAGACGGTCTACAGCGAGGCCAGTCTGCTTTGTACAAAAAAAATTATTCCTATCTCGGCTGGAGATGTCTTTAGCAAACTAGTTGTGTCGTTCATGTGTGAAAGTGAGTTGTTAATGCTATCTTTTGTTCTTTTGTTGATTCGATTGAACAGAACCTGAAAACTTTTGATTATATTGACATCGTAGACAAGATATTTCAATCACTGTTTTTTAATCATTCCTTTTTTGTCATTTTTACGACGGAACTTATGTCTAAATAGGGCAGAATGTGACATTCAACCCGTTCCGCATTTGGCACACTTCTACACATTATATAATTACAATTCGAAATTATTGTTCTAAAGGGCACGATCCGCCCGGTTTTTGACAGATGACCAGCTTGACAATGCACTTGGCTTTAGAACGAATGAAAATATTTCCGGCTCGAAGTTGAAAAAGAAATGACAAGTTCACTTTTCACGTCCGGCGACTGAAGGTCATGAAGTTGCCTCAACATTGTTGATAACAGTTGCGTATTCTAGACGAAGGCTGTGGACACGTATCATCTGCTGGATATTGCGTGCAGATATCAATATTTTCCACGTTCGCACCTGCGTTGTTTTGGAAGGATATTTGAAATCTTGTCGTCTTTTGACGAGCTCAATTGGCAGTAATTTCCGAAAGTTTCGCATTGTTGAACCGAAGAATCGATAGAAGGGAAAAACCCTAGAGTGGTTAGCATAGCTGCCTTTTAATATAATTAATAAAGCTTACGTCCCATAGGTCAAATGTCAGCATAAAACACGGCTTTAGTTGAGTAGCTTTGGTGCGCCTCACAGACGTCGCGCAAATTTTATCACGTACGCACCAACTATTGTATTTTTTATACAATTCCTTTCGTGCTGGTCCACGAGAAGGAAAGTGAATGGAATTTTTATTAGCGTAGATCTCTTATAATATCCTTTTAATGCTTTTTACGGATTATCCTATATAAAGTGTACTATTCCCGCCCGAGGTTCTTAACTTCGTTTCCATAAATGGATAAATATCCTAACATTTATCGACTGGAATAAATCTCACCGTGATCAGCTCGATATTCATGTGGTACTTCATGTAACGCGGACGTCCTTCCTTATCTCTTGTTTATTCCGCTCAATATTGTAAACACTGTGGCAACGCGCTATGTTTATAGAAGTAAGTATTTAACCTTTATTTTCGCAATCCCTTACGCCGGCTGCAAGACGCAACAGCTTGAGGGCAGCTTTTTGTAAAAGGGCACCATTCGTGCGATTCTTATTGCTGGCACAGTTCGCTAGGCTTTTTACAACCGACGTAATAGTGCTTCAAACCTTTCGTTTAATCCATTTGTTTTCCTGGAAACAGAACCGGGGAAGATTAGCAAGCAAATGCAGTGTTTCCTCTCCGCCCTCTCCAGCTAGGAAACGCAAGGACTCTTCGAAGCCGGTATGGAGACAAGATGGTTACGAACCTGGGTTACATTTCGTCGGTACCAGACAGGGCTCTTCATCTGACCTAGAAAACTGCACGAGCGGCCAAGTTCGCAATGGTGGCGGCGGTTTGAGAGATTCGCCGGACTCAAACTCGTCCACTGCATCGGAGTGCTCTGAGCCCTTAGACGACAGCCCTTTTTCGCCCGCAGTCGAGCCTCCGAAACGAGCCCGAAGTTTATCTCCCCAAAACTTGGGAAAAGTCAGCACCATGAAACGGCGAGCTAGTAAGTTTGGTCAAGTTTTATTTTTATAATGATTAATGTTTGTTCGTTCACCAACTGCGCGGATCTCCTTTCTCTATCCTTGTTTATTCCTTTTGCAAGAAAATAATCACTTATCTCAGCTGTTTGAAGAGTAGAGTAGTCAAAATATCACCCGTTCTGGCTGAGAGCTTTGTGTTAGACGAAGAGAATCTGTGAGAGGTAGTTCAGGCGTACACAGCTGCGTGATCACAGAGCCCCGATGTTTGAGTTGCAGATAGCTTGAGATCGTCTTAGCTTAAAGCTCTATTAGTTAAAAAAAAAGGCAATTTCGCAATCCCTCATCGAGTGATAAAGTTCGATTTTGCAAAACAATTAATTAAGCATTTAAAAATATCACATTAACTGTGAATGATTGAAATACTGAATTTATAATTTAGATTGTCTTTTTTAATCACTGCTCTAAAGAGTTGCAGTCATTCTTGAACCTATCTTTATTGCGTTGAATTGATTACAGGTTAACCCCAAATTTTCTAATTCTTTCAAGAGGTCTTATGAAGCAAATTTTGCACTTGACGGGTTGCACGAAGGATCTAGTATCTTCTTTGGTTTGCTTTCTCAAAACAATATCATACCTTGGAAAACGCCTGTCGCTATTCTACAAGCTTTAATACGTGATCTAAATTTATGTCTTTATTTTCGAACAATGAGCCTAAGAAGTCTCAGCCAGGCGTTTCCAGGTTAGAATGACGCAGAACGAATGCGAAAGAAAACCATAAATTTTATGAAAATTGCAGAAGAGAGCATCCATGCGCTCAATCATGGAAGGCCTTTTTGGCGTAAAGCTTGACTTTTCTTAAAGAATAGTTTAATATCTTGTTATCATAATGCCAATCAAACAGAACGTTTGTGCGTAGATTCCTGATCAGGGTCAAATTAAGGCAAAACATACCTAAAACTTCCTTGAAAAAGTTCCAGCTTACAGCTTTTTAAACAAAATTCTGAGAAGTGCAAACTAGGTTCTTTGGTTTTGATGCATGTTGTTAAACTTATAACTATATTCTGCTTTTTCTTAATGTCATCTTTACTTTTTAAAGGAAAGTAATCCGCAGATTGGGTAGTTCAAAACGAAACATAACCTCTGCTTTCAGATTTATTTGTACAATTCACTTACTTCAGTTTAGGTTTTTCTCGCAGAGGACACAGAGCAAAAGCACAAAGGACAGACAAGTCAATGATACTTGTCTTTTCCATTGCGTGTCAATTCCGTTTTAAAGAAGAAAACGCGTCTTTGACTTTCTAGTCTAAGCATTTAACATTGATCAGGAGTTCTATTATGCAGGGAAAAATAATCAAGTCAATTAAGTCAACCAAATCCTCGAAATCAGTCAATTCCAGACGGAGAGTAATTGAGCCGTAAATATGAACGACAGGAAAGCTCAGCAAAAAGTTACTTTGGACTCTATACTTTTGCTTACTGCACAGTGTTTTGACCCAATTTGTGCAGTGTACATTTATTTTCGCCACTATAATGTCATTCTGGAAGCGATTGATAAGCTCAATATTTAAACTAACTTTTCATTTATGAACAAATGTTTTAATTTACTACGATTTGGTGCCTGACTCTCAATTGCGCGCAAATAGGCGAAAGAAATATCGTCATTATATATTTGCTCCAGATGCTGACAATTCGAGGTCGCCATTAGATTTTTTATTCTATCATTTAGTTTTCATGTTAAACCCCCTAGACCTGAATTTAAAGAAAACTGTCATAATTGCTTAATTCATCATTTCATCATAATGTCAGTACGTGAGACTATGTTGTTCGAAAGGCAAGAGCGCTAGGATTAGTGACGTCACTGATCACGCACTGGGGTACCGGCGTGTCTGCAGCAAGCCTTTTTATCTTTCTTGCAAGTTAGCAAAGAAATTAATTTTGAATGGTATCTCACTTTTCGTGCCTTACTAAGCCGGATTAACTCTTCGCTGCTGGTTGCCAACTTTAACACCCGTTTTCCTGATGTACTTTCAGAGCGGAAATACGTTATAATTAACTGGTTACTGTGAGTGCTCACCTCGCGAATGCAAATTTCAATTAACGACTTTAAAATGTTGGCTTATATTTCTCTTACGTTGTCTTCTTAGACGAGAAGAAGAAAACAAAGCTTGCGGACGCTTTTTTAGTACCAAAAATGTGCAATATTTGCACTGGTCATGTTGACATTAAGACAGTCTGCCATGAGACACTATAAGATCGATCTCGTGTGGTACCCGTGTATCCCGCAGGAAATGCCATCTCCAGAATTAACACAATATTATGTGACTTTCCTAAGACTCTTTGTCATTCTCTCACCGTTTTGTACGACATGTTAAGATAAGAAATCTTTAGGTTGTATTGCAAATAGTGACAATCTTTCGCAATCTTGTCCCGACGAACATTAGAAAATATAGCTCCTAAGTCAAACTGGGCTCCTGTTGTCATGACAACAAATACATGATTTTAAAAAAGTAAGATTAATTAAATCAGTTTGGATATCTCCGAATAAATTCTTTTCTAAGATCTCTGAATACAGGAGCACGACTGACATGTCAATGACCGTTATTTTGCCTTCTCACAAGTGTGTTAAGATTTTCGTCTGAAAGTTACCGCTCTGTTTCGGCTGTTTCCAATATACGAGCCAGGGTGTCTGAGAATTGACTTGTGATGGATACGCTTGAACTCTGGTATACTGAAGAGGGCGGCAGAAATCTGTCAACACACAGCTGCCTTAAATTGTTGCTGGCTTCTTATTTTACTAATAAAATGAGACACAACGCTTCATAGATTTTTCATTTTACTGTCTTATCAGAAAATAGCGGTGTTGAAATTATATTTATTTACTATAGGTTTCACTAGATGAGTAGCAGAAAAGCAGGTTGAAAAGAAGCGCTGACTAAGTAAGGAGGAAATTCCCTTTTCCTCAGCCTCGTTGAATCTATCTGTCTCGCAACAACTGGTTTTTAACTAACATTCCTCTTCCATCTGTTTCCCTTCTACAGCAGATAGGTTCCAGTTTGACCCCAGGAACACGTTCTTCTTCAGAGATATCCCTCCGGAATGGGCAAATGCCACTGTTGTTGATAATTCCAAGCAAGTTAGAAGAGATCATACACCTCGCATTTCTCCCTCACAAGAAACCGGGGGATCTCCAGGAGGACCCCAAGGGGGACCTCAAGGTGCCTCAGGGAGAGGAAGTGCTTTCAGGGCGGTCCACCAAGGTGAGAAGAACATTGTTATGGCGAATTTTTGAGACAAGAAAGAAAAATGATCTCATTCTTGGCTACCCTTAAAACCCTGGTGTGATACCCCTTGAGTTGTTTCAAAAATTTGAAACGCTTACGCAGAAAGATGCAGATCAACATGGTTTGTGTGTGGTCGTATACTGTATTCCTCGGCAATCTCTCCTCAAATCTCATCAAAGGCAAGGTGAACTTAAGCACCAAGGATTCAACCAAAATAACTACCATTAACCTTTAACTCCTAGAAGTGATTAACATGTTATTTCTCCTTACGATATGCATACGTTATCCATCAAACAGGTAATAAGAATACTCAAACTTATCAGCAAGAAGTTGTTATCTTGATCTAACCCCAAATTCTCGTGACTTACAAGAATATGAGTAGTAGCGAGGGGAGAATTAATTATTGGCAAAGTAAAACTTGGTTTCATTTGCGATTCGATAAGGGGTATGGTCGATTTCACGGAATCCTTTTTTTCGGGACTTGCTATGGGGTGACAAGAAAGGTTTTTTCCACTGACAAGAAATTTCTAAGTAAGGAAAGCTGTATAACCGGCAGCGTTCTAGCGAAAAAGTGTTTGTCAGTAATAGTGAAAGATGTGAAAACATTTCTCGTTTTGATCTTGTAGATGCGTTAAATTCGCACAGTGAGAGGGCTGCTGAAAACCATGCTAACCAGGATATACTGACGCGTGAACTTACGGCGCGAGCAGGCTCAAACTCCAAACAACAGCAAAAACCACAATCAGTCAACTGTCAACCTTTCATCCCGTTCACTCAATTACCCAGTCCCTCCCCCCTCGTAAGTCCATCACACAACTCGCCGAGGTTGTTACCAGACCCCCTGCTTTTGACTTCACCTCACAGCCCTAGCATTTACCATCAAGCCCTGCGTGGTGGACTGCCGGGAGTCTCATCTGCACTTCACCAGAGCTTAATGCACTACAGACTACTGACACCTCCTACTCAACACAACCCATTGACGCAGAACATTCCTTTCCAATCCTCTTTCATCCAAGCCAACGCAGCTGCTGCGGCAGCCGCTCGCGCGGGGCTCCAGGGCCTCCCTGTCTCACATTCATCATTGGTAATGCATCGAGGGTCCAGATCTTCATCGCCCAGGAACACACCGGTGGTCAACGGTCACTCGGAAGACAATAATTTTGTGACGAAGGCCCGGATTTCGAACGTGGAGGAGGAGAGACCTGCTCCTGAGGTTTGCGAAAATAAAAAAGAGGCTGAAATCGGTAGCGAAAACCGACACTCTCAGGCATTGACCGCTGACCGCGATTGTGTAATACGAAGAAGTCCCGAAGTTGCTACAGCCTCAGATGAAAGACAAAGTCCAACAGCTACACCCAAAGCCTCTCCGAACCCTAAAGAATCGTCACGAGTATCACCACACAAGCTTGTGCCTCGTTTCCGACCGGATTTAAACGAGAATGTACTGGAATGGACAGTTGATGACGTTTGTCAGTTCGTCGCTTCGTTGACGGGGTCTGCTGAAATTGCGCATGCTTTCAGGGAGGAACACATTGATGGACATTCATTTGTTTTGATGCAGGAAGATCATTTGTTAACTCGAATGTCAATCAGACTTGGACCCGCCCTAAAAATCATTGCGCAGATCAAGAAACTCACTGAGAATTTAGAATTGGAAAATGGCACCTCGAATTGAAAGTTGAATATGCCTTAAAGATGACGAAGATCCTAGCCAGAAGATCTCGTTTTCAATTCAGGGAAGTACAGTAGTTTCGCGTGCTTATATCCTTGGCTTGACTGTTTGAAGTCAAACAGTATTCAATCTGTTTGAAAAGGGAAATTCAGAATATAGTGACGCTCCATTTGAACACGACTTGGATGAAAATGTTTGATCATTTAAAGTAAAACAAAAAATCGTGGAAAAGTTCAGCGCCATTTGTATGTGCAGCGGTGTAGTTAAAGCCATAGAAGAGATTTTTTCGTGGGGATAATCTCACGACCCTCGTGGCTGCGCCATATGGCAAGGGCGAAGTTCATTTGTAATATGTGCCATAATTAGACTCTATTTCCGTCAGTGATCTCCATTTCGTCTAGCAATCGAACCTAAATTATTTAAAGACCTCAGACCTCTCAAGGTAGGCGGATTTAACGCATTTTCATTATCACATGGTACGTGAGTAACGCCCGTTCTTCGTCGCTAACTTGACCTTTTATCACAGTTTTACTGACCCAGCGGAAATCATGGTCAAGATTTTAGGATTTCCGTCATCTGTCATCGCGGTTAAAGCGTACGTGCGTACAAAACAATTAAGCATTTTTTTTTTTATCCAAGGAAAAATGTGGCTGGGAGTATATCGAGTGTAAAAAAATATCTTTGTTAAGTTTCGACACAGAACCACAAACTCAAAGCATCTTTTCAATGGAAGTAAGTTTGTTTTCGAAATGTGTATAAACAGGCTTTGGCATTTTGAGTTGTTGTTCAGAGTTTTCCTAGAACATACATGTTGTGCTTCTCTTTCTAGGCAATCGGGGAATGTGTTTTCTGAGCGTTTGTGACAGGGGCGCTTCGAAAAAATCGGGACGACATTTCTTTTATTTATAATAAAAGAGTCGATAAAAATTGTCGCTTAGAGTCAAAAGCGTTTAAAAACGCTCTTTATTATTATTTTTTTATACATAGCTTGTCTGTAAAAAAAACGCGAGTAGGACAAAGTTCTACATTCCTGGTCCATAAGAGATTAGATGAGAAATAGCTTGTAAATTAGATAATATTTATAAATACATTATTTCTTGCGATCTTATTTGATATTGTTGAAAAAGGCAACTTTTATAGCTTTCGCATGTTCAGGGAACAAGCAGTCCTTCTTTCCGGGAATAGTCCATATTTGAAGTGTCACGCCAAGACTGGTGAGAATTGTGTGACACTCACCCACACAAAACGTCACGGCCAATGCCTCGGCCGGTAATGACCGCGCGTGCGCCACTCGTTAGTGAGAACTAAGGACGGACCGATATGCTTTTTCCGAATCGATACAATACCAAATATGATACTGACGTTTTTCTTCGATATCGATTTCGATGCTGTGACATTATTGAGTCGAATGGTGAGTCACATGATTTGATTGACGAAAAAATAGGGTTATTTAGCACTGTTAATGTTATGCAGTGTTCAGTATTCCATAGGAGCATGAACAAGACACTCAAAAATTTAAAACCCGATTAAGGACGTTCTTAATCGAAACTCACGGTTGTCGATCGGTCCACTCTTACACCGTTCACACGCCGCTTAGACTGGTACACTGTAGCGCTCATTTCCCATTTTCGAGCCCAGAGTATTTTTGGCTCCTTGTCGGTGGTTGGTCAATGGGGTGAATCAAAGCGCAGACATGTCACGTGCAGTTTCGAAAGCATCGATACTCTTCGCTGGTATCTTAATTTTCCGAGTTGACGTCGGTATCGTTGGTATCGAATATTTGTTATCGGCCCATCCTTAGTGATAACGAGTTTCTGTCCCACTTTTTTTCGTTTCACGCCACGCTGGTTAAACTGGAAAGAAGGCCTCCTCGTTGACTGTTCGCTTCTTTCTGGGGAAGATGTTGCCCCCGCTTCTTTTCACAGGTTTATGGCTGAACATAAATTGTTTTGTCTTCCTCGGTACAGGTTGCCGCGAATTTAATAGAACACGTTGACGTTGATGCATTGTACTTAAAGCTAAAGAGTGTCGATTTTGAGAAATAAAAGTTTAAAATACTTACTCGTTTGTCCGTGGTACAAAACTCGAAACGAAACAAAACAGTGAAGCGATAATTGATTGAAAAAGGATGGGTAAGCGATACAGCCTCCGAACATTCATATTCTCTATACCCTACTCTTTTCATGTCCATTGGTACCGACAAGGAGAATTTGTTTGACAATCAAAGCTTCATAGGTGGGCGATCATTTCCTTTGTTCTCATGGGCCCAATAAATGATTCGGGGGCATTTTATAAGGAGAGATTACATACTCTCATGAATGAAGGAGCAAATAAATGGCGAAATGACAAAAAGAGAACATATTTCCTTATTGACGAAGTCCAAAAATTCTGCAACCATCCCGATCTGTGGAAAAGAGCAGAATATGGGCGCGCGAAAAATCATGGTCGCGGACTAAACGGGAGCGTGAAGAAAGAGAAAACGAGACGCGACACAGCCGTTTTCCTGGCAACAACAACCGTTGGGTGCGCTTTCTTGTCGACGTACGTACGCCCGCATGTCGCTCCTCTCCACTGTTTAAAGGCCTGACACAGGCTACCGCCAACCCTTCCGAATTCTTTCTGTAACGTACACCAGTCTAACTGTGCAATGAAGGCAGTCATTCGACAGATGTAGAAATCACTTGAACGTGAGCGCAAACTGCAAGTTCATGTTCACTTGCAAGTTCACTATGCATTTCGTCAGATATGGGCACATATGGTGTAGTTGTACCAATTTTAGTTTCAACAATAGCATTGTCTAACACTGCTCTATTGCTCCTTAATCGTAACACTTTTTAAAAAGGTTCGAGATATGCTCACATGTTTTATTTGAAGTGATCACTTACACACAGACAAAGTTTCATGTTTTCACAAGTTTACTAAATATCAAGATGTGTTATTCGTCATTGAGATCTACAATTTCAAAAGAGTACAGATATCTCATAATGATTTGATCGCGCCGTCTTGAGCAAAAACCAAACAGAGGAAACGCAAGTCACGTAGACTCGTATCATGTCATACAACAGTTCTGTTCCCTAAAGTAAACCAACTTCAATGCATGTTACACAACAGTAAACTGATGGGGAACTCTTCAGCTAAGGTTTTCAAAGGTACTAAGCGTCACACAAATGCAATACATGTCACACAATTATCAAACTGGTAAGGAACTCTTTAGGTGAGTCCTCATTTCTCGCAGAGCGCCGTGACAAGCCCTCGATAGGGTAACTTTCGAAACCAAGGAAAGGTGCTTAAGCATTACACAATTGTAATATGTGTCACCACAATAGAGGACTTTTGAAGAGGACCGTTCGTACACTAAAGTTACGTCGCAAGCACTTGTCACGCAAGGTTCCAGCAATGTCACGCGGTATATTCACAAGATTCACTGACCATCAATATAACCTTTTTTCATATGAATGCAAGCCGTGGACGCCTCCTTCCTTTTGCGCCGACGGAGTCCTTTTTTCAAACTTAAGTCGACCGCTATACATCATGGATCGAGTGGCAGAGAGGCTCCTGGTACCCATGTCTTGGCAACCATGTTGAATACCCGCGTAGAGATATGGAACAAAGCGGTGGACACTTCCCTTGTCTGGCACCGTTCCAGACACCCCTTGCGCCACTTTCAGTCTGTCGCTTTCTACAAAGTAACGACTTTGGCTTGATCCATGCTCCAATGCGTCCAGTGAGCCCATACCTATCGAAAAAAGAAGCATACGAGCTGGATTAGCCGTCGGTTGGACTTCATTCGTTTATCAGTTTATACGTAAGTTTAAAAATAAGACCGAGTTTTGTGCGTCATGAAACATCAATTCGGATCGGAAGACAATCGGCCGGCAATCGGAAGACCGAGATTCGGATCATTACAGGGACCCCACAGTTTTTTTCATTGTTCCATGTTGGTGAGAGATCAATGTAACACCACTCTGTATTTGAGCTCAAATATCCACCATCTCAGTTCTCACTCTATAACCACTGAAATAAGTGTGAATCTCATAACGCATTCGTTTTTATCATCAGACTCAAACATGCGATACAAGGCTGCTTGTGGTTAGCGCGCTCGAACTTGACGTGACGAAATGCAAGGGTTTACCTCTGATGGAATCGACTTCCCATCCAGGGTAAAATCATTACTCCTTGAAAGTTCTCGCCACAGAGAACGAGATCACCCACGACAGTGGAGGGAACAACGCGAACAAGACTTCATGTTTCCATCTGTGGTAAGCATTTGTGAGACAGGCACACCGAACCTTTGGCATAATCAGTGTACATTAATGATAGCTCTATGTGTCTTAATTGAAGACAATGAGTTGTTGAGTGAGAGCTTATAGAGACCGAGAAAAATCGAAACGGTTATAAGCAAATGCACCACCGAGAGTGCACTAAGCTTCTCAACGCGTTTCTGACATATATGTTAAGTTTAATGATTCATCATATACCAATTTATTTCTAAATATAGGAATAAGAGGCTATAATTCCTTTACCCGCAGGAAATTAAAGATATTACCACCGAGACTAAGAATAAAACAGTATCATCAATTAATGTGTATATAATGAAACGGTTAAGGCCGGATGGAAACCTTTTTCGTCAGGACATGATTCAAACTCTAAGTCGAGAGATCAGCAGATTCTATTCGCAGATGCCATTAATACCTTAGAGCAATTGAGTAGAAGTAAAATTATCTATCAATCAACCAAAGCTTCTTTGAGGTTTGAAGGAATTAGAAGGCGCTTGGAAAGACCGCACACCAACCTTAAAACATTAATCAAATTGAAGGCAGGCCTATGTCGGAATTGAAAAATTGTCGGTTTATTAAATTCCTCGCGGCGAAAAAGGTGTCTGCTGTCGCTTACACCTACTGCAACTGTCCTTTATTGCGCAATTGGCGTACCATTTAAAATAGATCAACGAGTTTTATATTTATGGAACACAAGAGGTAAAGAAAACATACAGAGAGATTTTAATTAATAGAGCCGGAAAGATTTCTCATCTTTTTTAAACCCACTTAACGGATAAACAGTCTTTCTCCACGGATAAAGATCATCTCGTGTGGCTTTGATTGCCTGATTTAATACAAACTTTTCAATTTCCGGGTGGTTATTTGGCGGGCGGAACTGTTCATAGCCTTCATGACCTTCTGAATTGATAAATGCGTTCTCTGCACGCAATGGATAGCAGCAAATTTGTTACTTCCTTTGCAAAAAAAAAACATTTTTGCCCAATTTTTTAAACAGGTAGAGTATACAGGCGTGAAACAAAATAAAGATAAACAAGATTTTCATTCAAACATACTTTCATTGCAGGGTTTTCTGAAATGCTCGAGTAGTGCATTGCGAAACATCACGACAGTTCATTAGTTTCAAAATCTTATATTAGTAAAACGGAAATTGTTTTGAGTTCCTGCTTATCTCCACATATATCACTCAATCTTATGACGGAAGGTTTAAGTACGGTTTGCTCACATATCTGAATCGAAAAATTAAGAGAGAAAGCCATCGAAACAGTTTTAAATTGTCGGAAATAACGCGGAAAGGCCTGCAATGAATATGGAAATCTAAATTGCCCCTATCGATGGAAAATATCGCCAAGTGTTTCCCAAGGTGAATAAGAAATCGTGATTTTCAACCGAGCGGCGTAAAAAGTAATCCAAGATTACATTGGTTCTGCTTTTCTATGCCTTGTGATTAGTCTAAGAATTTCGCACGACCTCAATCAATAAGATGCGAAACTAGAGTGCTTTTCGATTGAGTGTCGTGAGACTAAAACCAGTAATCACATTAGCCAATCAGGACAAAGGAAAATATCATAGGGAGCCAATAACAACTCAAAGAAAAAACAAGCGCGGGAAAACTCGAGCGACCAAGTCGCGAGTGGTTTTAATTTTGAAACTGATTGGTCGAGAAAGTGGTACGAGTTTTATGAACCAATCACAGACCCAAGTAAAGCAAGCCCGGATTACTTTGGATCCTCATTTGAAAATTGTTCTAAAACCAACTTGGCCTCCCGCGTTTTCCCGCGCCTTAGGCAGTAGTTCACTTTTTCTTGTTATTATTTCCCCTTAGCTCTGATTAGCCGTTAAGATAAACTTGGTATTGTTGTAGAAAAGTACTCAAGTATGATGAAAAAGGCGAATAACATTAGATCTGACTCCAGAAGCGACCGATTCATTTTAAAAAAGTACTTGGTGCTATAGTAGGCCTTTACCTCTATACTTCTTTAGTCGAACACCATCCGAGAAAAAATACTCTCCAGGTGTCTCTGTGGTCCCCGCCAGGAGCGAACCCATCATGACAGTTGATGCTCCAAGAGAAAGCGCCTTTAAAATGTGACCAACATTTCTAATTCCACCATCGGCAACCACAGGTATCCCAAACCTTCGCGCATACTCTGCCACCCGGAATACAGCTGTGGCCTGGGGCCGACCGACTGCCATAACCTCTTGTGTAATACAAATTGACCCGCTTCCCATTCCCACTCGAAGAGCGTCCGCGCCTGCGTCTATCAGGTTTTTTGCCTGAGCAGCGGTCACAACATTTCCGGCTATCACCTTCAAGAGAAAGGAGAGAAGAGGATGGTTTTTATTATTTTAGCCTTCGCGTTTCCCACCAAGTAAAGTACAAAGCAAAGGGAAATTATTACCAACTGCGAGAGGAAGTAACAGTTACAACGAATTCAAACGAAGTTCAAACAGGAAAACACTCGAGGATCACAAGAAATCCACGAGGCCAATTGTAAGAAGAGCATCTCTAAACCCACTTAAAATTTCATTCGCAAAATCAATGGAAATTAGGCAATGGACGTTTTACAATGTGTCCACTGTCCACTGTCTCCAGGTCGAATTGGATTTTGGTATGTTGGTCTGTTGAGAGGAAAACCGGAGGACCGGAGAACCATCAACAGACTCAAGTCACATGAGAGGCTAGGTCCAGGGATTAAATCCGGTGAGAGGCGAGCGGACGAGAAAGGACGGTGACTCTCTAAGTGCGTTCATGATCGTAATAGATTTTCTTAAAATGCTCTGAAACATACCTGCAGATTCGGGTAGTTCTCTTTGATGTACTTTATAAGGTTAATTTGGAAGACAGAGTTTCCTTGGGACGAGTCCAGCACAACAACATCGACCCCAGCTTGAACAAGAGCCTCAATTCTACGTTTATCTTCCTCACGCGTGCCCACGGCAGCTCCGACTAACAGTTGTTTTTTCCCATCTTTTGATGCCAGTGGAAAATCGCGGTTTTTCTTTAAATCTGTATGTGCCATAAGCGACACTAGCTCTCCTTCATCATTGACGATGGGAAGCTTCGCCTACAGGAGACACAATTCAATAAACTCGTCATTTAACGTAGCCAGCATTTGCTCGACATAACTGAAGTCTTCGGACAACGCTCAGGATATGATCGGGTTAAGCTTTCGGTCTTGCTGCAACTGCATGCCTATAAATAGGGTTTTGCGTTCGCGTGAAAGATAAGAAGAGGCTAATAAAAAGCTTCCAGAACTTTCCTTCAGACATAAAGAGGTGCCAACTTTGTATGATAGGTAAAATGCATTAAGTGTTTTACAAAACGATGCTATTTCTAAATCGAAATTACATTTTATTGAGAATCACACGAGATCTTTGTCTTCACACAAACAAAACAGTTTCCAATTGATTGTCGGAAGTCATCCGGGATTGCTTTGGTTCTACTTTACTCGAGAAATCAGTATTAAGCTGATCACTTTGTCCATTTTTATTACTCGTCTGCTGGATAATCTATGATTAATTTTGAGAGAGGTTATATGCACATCGATTTTAATAGATACAGTCTCAAGCGATGCGCAACCTCAATGCGCAAAGAGTAAAACACTGACCTTTTTGCTTTTCTGTAGGATTTGATTGGCCTCTTTCAGGCTGCATCCGGACTGGGCCACAATCAGCTGATCTCGTGGTGTCATGACTTTGTCAAGCTTCAAATCATATTCATGCTCAGCCAGAAAATCAATGTCACGTGATGTGACAATTCCAACCAAGACACCACCAAGAAGACCAGTATCTGGGGAACAAACAAACAGACAAACGAAAGAGTAAATGGTTGAATGACTCATGCCATCACGCGAGAGTTTGACGGAAACGTAGCACTTATGATCGCTGCAGACATGAAGACGCAATTGTCAGGTCTTAAAAAACTCGCGCCAATCTTTCAACTAATTAATGTGAAAGAAAAAACCAATAGTGACTCGACTGATTTGACGATAGCCAATCGAAAGCACGCTACCATAATCGAGTTTTCATAGTTATTTTTCAGTCAAACAAACGAGAGTTTACGGGTATCCGCTATGTGACTTATGTCTTTAAGTCTGATCAGCCTAGGATGCATAAATGCCTTTTGTGTACAGGATAAAGATTCCCTGCGGGCTCCCTTTAAGACCTTGAAAAGGTATACATTTCTCACCTGTTAGCGGTATTCCGGAAAAGCCATGTTTCTTTTTAATTTCCATAACGTCACGCACAGTGTTACTTGGGCTGAGCACTATGGGATCGCTTATAAATCCTTGTTCGAACTTTTTCACTTTGCGTACTTCGTTGGCTTGAAATTCAACGCTGCAGTTATGGTGAAGAATGCCTTGAAGGAGAGATTAGATTAGCAAGAAGACATACAAAGTTATTTCTAATTATTTTTTTCGTTAACACATTAGCCACTGCACCGACCAGTAATCATCAATACTTTATCCATAACATCATTAATATTTTAAAACACCCACATAAAACAAACCTGACAGTTGGCGTGCATTGCAGGCGTCTTTCCATGAAGCGCAAGCTAGCTTTAAAAAAAAAAGCGATATTTCGCCAATCGATTACACCCTCTGTCTCCCCGTAAATCTTTGTGTTTCAAGAAAAAAGAAAACATAGCTCGTTTGTTCGCTGAAGATACGTTAGGCGC